GCAGCACACTCACCTGGACTGGGCAAAGGAACAGGATCGCGCTCGAGTCTGCCGTCGGCCTCGCCGCGCTCGCGGCCGACGTGTCGAGCGGGGCGGTCGGAGCCGTCGGTGCGACCGCCGGCGCAGTGGGGAAGGGCGTCGTCGACGCTTCTTCGCGGCTCGCCAGCGCCGACACGGAGCCGACGCACGGCCTTGCCGCCGGCGAGAGCGACACGGCGGCGGCGGAGCTCGGCTCGCCGCTCCGGAACGTGCGCGGCCTTGCGGGGGGCGCGGTGAGCGTCGCGAGCGCCGTGAGCGCGATGGTTGCGTCCGATTTCGGCGCTGCGGCGACCGAGGCGAGAAACAGCCGAGACGTTGCCGCGATATTGGCGAGACACAACCGCGATACAGCCGAGACATAGCCGCGATATAGCCGCGAGATAGCCGCGAGATAGCCGAGAGATAGCCGAGATACAGCCGCAACGTCGGCGTCTGACTTCGGAGCCGCGCCGACGGAGGCGACGGCGCCGTCGGCCACTGCCGCTGCTTTGACGCTCACGCGTCGGGGAAGTGTTGCGTGTGCGTGTCTCAGGTTGAAGGGTATTGTCTAGGTGGTCGGCGACGGGCTGGCGCGAGGAATGACGCGCGGGCTCAAGGAGGGGCTAAAGGAGGGGGGCGGCCAGCTGGTGGAGCGGGGCGGCGCCGTCACCGGTACAATCAGCTCGCTCGCAAAGGAGTCGGCGAGCGGTGTCCTCGACACTTCCCAGACACTCCCTAGACACTTCCTGGACACTTCCTAGGAGTCGGCGAGCGGCTTCCTCCAGCTCGCCACCGACGTTCGCGAGACGGCCGGCGCGCTGTCGCCGAGGCGGGTGCGATGGTGCAGGTGCTGCGCCTCCACTGAACCTTCTCGGAACCTTCCGTACAGGCGCCGTCGCCGACGTCGGAACTTCCACGCTTGCGCTCGCTCGGCCGCTCGCGGCGGGCGGTGGCGGTGGCGAGGAGGGGGGGGAGGAGGGCGCGGCGGCGGAGGAGGAGTCCGGCCCGCCGCCGCCGCCCGAGCTGGCGCCGTTCGAGGCGCTGCGGCCGGCGGTCGTCTGCGGCCGGTGGCGGAAAGGGAGAGTGTGAGGTGTCGGCTTGTGGCGCGCGTAGGCTTGGCTCGACAGGCTGGGCGGCTCTGCCTCGCTCGGCGCGCTAGAGGGGCTAAGGGACGGAGCCTTGCTGCGGGTGCAGCTCCCGCTCGCTGATCCACGAGACTCGGGCGCCAGTCAGTCCTCCTTCCTCAACGAATCAGCTCCTCACTATAGGTGCAGCTCCAGCTCGCACGCCTGCCCGCCGCCTCGACGCCGCGCATCGAGGCCGCGCTCGACGCCATCGCCGTGGCGCTCGAATCGGAGGCGTCGCCGGCCGCCGCCAACGCGCCGCCGCCGCCGCCGAGTCGGGGCGGCGCGCCGCCGCCGACACGGCTGAAGGACGCTCTCGCAGCAGCGCTCGCGCCGCCGGTCGCAGAGCTAGAGGATGCGGTCGGTCGGGGAGGCGGCGCGGGGGTGGCGGCGCGCGTGTGGGTAGGCGGCGCGACGCCGAGGGGCGGCCTGGCGTCTAGTAGGTGCGGCCGAGGGCGGCTTGGAGGGGGAGGAGCAGAGCTGGACGGAGGAGGAGGGTGTGGCACGGGTGCACGCCTACTCCGCGCGATGCTTCGGGCAGCTCGCCACGTGCGCGCTCGTGGTGCTTCGGAGGCTCGGGTTTGCGCGGGCGAGCTCTGAATGACGCCGTCCTCCTCCATCCAATGAATTCTCACACTCCTAGGTTCGGGCTCGCGTGCCAACGCGCGCCCACGCAGACGCCGCTCGGTCTCGGGGAGGACGCGCCGGCGGAGGCGATGCTGCGCGGCGCCGACTGGCCGTTTCTGTCGCGGGCGGAGCAGGCGGATTGGCTCGCCACCTCCGTCTGCGCGGCCGCCGCCCACTTCGCTGACGCCGTCAACCGAGTCTCTGCGGCGTCGCTCGGGGCGGAGGCGGCGCGCAGCTGCTCCGCGGCATCCGACGCGGCCGCGTTCAAGCGGGCGCGCCGCGCTCTCTGCACGGCGGTGCACTTGGACGCGGGGGCGGCGCTGACGCTGGTTCACGAGGCGATCGGGATGCTGACGCCAGTGCTGCAAGAGGTCGCGCTCGGCGATGCGGCGGCAGCGCCCAATGGTGGCACGCAGAGTGCCGACGAGGGCTTGTGCTAAAGAGTGCTCTGTCAGTCCGTTCCAGTCACTTGTTTATAAATTGATTCCATGGGGGTGGAGACTGATAGGAGACTTGAAGTACAAAAGAGCCCCCCCCCCCCCCCGCGGCGGCGGCCCCCGCCCCGCCCCCCCCTGCCCCCTGCTCGTAAAATCTTGCGAACTTACGAGCAGGAGCGGAGGAGGACGGGCGGGCGATTTTGCGCGGTTGACGTCACCAGTATACTGTAGCTAGACTCTCTCCCCCCCGGCAGGGGCTGGCGGCTGGGGTTTTTCACAACGACACACGTGCATCGTGATTGTGTCCCAAAAGTCGTAAGGTAAGGTAAGGTAAATTTCTCCACACACACAAAGTGGTGGGGCACGCCACCACACAGGGATTTTAAGGAGAGGAGTGTGGTGCGCTAGCCGTCGCCCACCCTGGGGAGTCTGCCTCTTCGTATCTCTTTTCGCAGTCTCTCGCCGCTTCTCGCTGCAACGCGGCCAAAGGATATCCACCTCGCGGAGAGAAATTCTTTTTGAGAGAGAGTTCTCTTGTGTAAATTCTTTTTGCTGCCATGTCATTTGCCCAGACTACAAACCATTCGATTGCTTGCGCGAAATTGCGACGAGTCGCGACCATGCTCCGTCGGCCCACGTCGGCATCGTGGCTCGCCCTGCACCTCTCTATCGCGACTGCGAATGCCTGGATGCCGGCGGCTCACCAGCAGCCTGCCGCCGCCATCGGCTTGCTCTCACGTCGAGCTGCCGCCATCCACGCTCTGGTTGACCCGCTCTGCCCTTCCGAGGAGCTCTGCGCGCTGACTTCTGAGGAGCTCTTCACGCCGTCTCCTCCTGACCGACGCACAACGTTGGGCCCAGCAGCCCGCGCCAGACGCTTCGGACAGCGCTCCGCCGTCAAGTACCGCCGCCTCATGCAGCGCAGATATCTGCTGCTCGCATCCGTGCAGGCCGCAGTCCTGCGCGGCGGCGCAGACGTCGTTGGGCGCTCCTTAATACCGGCGGAAGCCTACGCGCTTGACGTAGAGGCGACGAATGTGTATGTGCACGGCGCGGCGTTGGGCTTCGTGCGTTCTTCGTCTCGGGAGTGGGTTGCGCTTCGTGGCAGCGGCTGCTCGAGGCGTCCGCCGGCAGCGAGACCACGCCTGAGATCATCGTCCTCAAGTGCACGGCGGACTACTTCATCTGGGCACCCATCGCCAACACTTTATACTTGGTCCTCGTGCCGCTGCTCATGGGCCAAACGCCCGCCGCCGCCTTCCAAATCATGCTCGACGGGTTTGGGGCAGTCTCCTTGCTCGAGCTCTGCATTTGGACGCCATACAACCTGCTGTCGTTCCGCTTCCTCCCCCTCGAGCTGCGCCCGCCCACGCAGTCCGCTCTCGCTGCGCTCTTCACGATCGGGTTGAGCTTGTACTGCTGAGGGTGAGGCGGGCTGGGCCTTGAGTACTGGGCCTGCAGAGTACTGAGTTCTGGCTGGCAACTTGGACAAATAAATAAATACACGCGTAACTCTATTATCTCCATGAGAGATGGGCGACGCACGAACACAGAGGCACAGCGCGCACCCCGCCCCCTGGAGTGGCGAGTGCGTGGCACCGATTTCATTTTTGTAACTCTCATGTCGCTTGTTTTCCCTGGTGTGGCAGTCCCGTGCCCAGTGTCGCTCAGCGCAAATTCTTTTCGAGCTAGCGTGCGGGGAGAGCGGCATTGTGCACGGAGCTAAGTGCATTGCCGTTCTTAAGACTTAACGGAGTCGCTTGATTGATTGATGGGAAGGCGAAACACAGTCCGACCAACGACTGGGACACCAACGCGGTATGGGTGGACGCTAGACGGGCGATGACGGTCACACAGGAGCGACACACAGAACCACAAGACAAGACACTCAGCCAACGGGGCGGCTGCCACACATCCTGAGCGAACTTCCCTAGTCACCCGCGCGGGGCGCGGCCGGACTCCATCCGGCACGCGTCGCTGGGCGCTCAGAGTCGCTTAGGCGGCTCCGGTGGTTTGCCTGTGATAGTGCTAGCACGCGCCAGTTCGCACCTTGAGCCTGTCTGAGAGGGAGTCGTTTGTTCAATTCGAAATTCGAAAAATTCTTTTTTACTTCGAGAAATTCTTTTTTAGCGCTAGCACGCGCCAGTTCGCACCTGTGTCGAGCCTGTCTGCTGTGAGAGAGAGTTCGGCTCTTTAAATTCTTTTTTAGCGCCTGTGTTAGTGCCAGTGCGCGCCAGTCCCGTGCCCAGTGTAAAAGAAAGAGGGGGGGGGGCGGGGACACAAGATTCCAGAAATGGTTGTGTCCTCGCTCCTCGCTCGCCCGGGCGGAGGGCATGGCCGCGGAGGAGGCGCGTACGCGCTGCCAGGCCTTCCGCAGACAGCCTCTTGGCCAGGCTGAGGGTCGGCTTTGTGTGGCGTGGCCCGTGCGCTGCGCTGCACAAAGCTGCGTAAACTGCGGGAGCATCCTGTGCTTCCTTTGGGAAGTGCGCAACTCCTGCAGCTGGTGGAGGGCCGTGCCGCCGCTCGTCTGCTCCGTGGACAGGGCGGGGAGGCGACGCCGCAGCGCCGCAGCGTCCGCTGCACGCCGGTGCAGCACTCTGCTGCCTGGTGGGCAGCATGCTGGTGCTGTGCGCGACGTTTTCGAGGCTGCAGTGGCGCTGCACCGCGAGCCACGGCGAGTGGCACGCGGCATGCGCGGCGCCGCGCTTGGCCCGGACAGCGCCAGAGAGTGCCCTCGATGGGCCAGCCTGCGCGGCGCGAGCGCCGCACAAGCTGACGCATCGTCTGCCATTCTCTGGTCGACGGCGGTCAATCTCACGATTGTCGATCAAAACCGGCGGGCTTTGTGACGCCGTTCACGCAATCGTTTTTTGGCCTCGCTTTCTCTTTTGCGTGGTTTTATTTTGTTTTTTCTTTTACGAAGCGACGGAGGGGGGGGCGGGCGGGCGCTAACTATGGGCAACTACATGTCGAAGGTTCGAGGTCGACTACTCGCCGCCTGGGTCGTTTGGGGCGCGCGGCTCCGTCGAGGACCGGGCGCGCCCCTTTCCCGGCGCGGCGTAGGTCCCACTCTGACGTATAGAGGGGAGGCACGGACAACGGCCCAATTCATCAATTCCACTCATCTTCTGGTGCCTAGCCCCGTGCAGCGGCGGTCCGGCAGGCTGCCCCCAAGGCCCCCTGGGCCGCTGCGGGTTTTGGAGTTATGCTTTGGCACAGCTTCGGCGATGGCGGCCCCTCTCTGGGGCTTGCATAGGCGGGGAGTCTCCCTCGCTGGTCTCCTCATTCCCTTTTTTCTTTTTCTTTTGAGCTGGGTGTGCCGCCGCGCGGCGCTCGCGCGGCGGCGGTGTGTGTGTGTGTGGGGGGGGGGGGGGGGCACGCAGGGCAGAGGCTCGACGATCATCGGCTCGCCCAGGGGGGAACGAGGAGGGGGGATGGGCGGTCGGCGACGAGTAGAGCAGCAGGCGCGTACGGGGTAGCCGTCACTTTCCTGCCTCACAAGGGCGGGGCTGTCCCGGAAAGTGAGAAACGCCGGGCAGCGTGGCGCATCATTGAACCCTCCCATACGTGCTCGTACTCCTCCTTCGCTGTCCCATCTCCTCATCTCTTTCCCACCCAGGCGGGGCGGGGGTCGGGGGGGCGGCGGGCGCGGGTGCGAGGTGCGGTGCGGTGCGTGCAATCGTGTGTTTGGCGTCATGTCGTGTGTGCCTTCGCTTGTTCCTATTAACAACGAAGTTCTAGCTCAAAGAAAGAAAGAAAACAGACACGCACGCCAAACGAGGGATGGGACGAGGACAGGGTCCCCACCTGCACGAGCAGGATTTTGGAAGGACGATCAGGGGGACAGGTGGGGCTCTCCTGCTCCTGACAAGGGACACGACAGGCTCGCAGCGCGGTGCGCGGTGGACTCCCACATCCACTGGCGGTCTCATCTCAGTCTAGCGACCTGCCTCCAGCTTGTCGCTGGCAGTCTCTCGTGCCCAGTGTCGTGCGAGGGAGTTTTGTTGTTAAATTCTCTTTTGGTACCGTGGCGTACCTGTGTCGAACCTGTGTGCTGTGGCGCAGGGTGAATTCTTTTTTAGCGATCGCCCCGGCCCCGTTTGTCGTCGGCCGGCTCCATACACGGCTCCATACACACATCAACCTCATGAAGGCCGGCAAAGGACTCTCAAAGAGCCTCTCTGAGCCGCTGCTCGACCCGGCAGCGCCTCCGGGCGCCACCCGACGCCGCAGGCTTCAGCTCACCCGCGGCGCGCACGAGTTCCTCCTCGTCAGCGCTGGGCTCGGCTTGGGCTGGCTGGCTGCAGTTTGCCAAGACATCCCGCACGCGAGAAGCGTCGCGGTCTTCGCTGCCGCGGTCCTAGCTGCGCTGCTCGCCCGGCAGCGCTGGTCCCGACGCGCCATCGCGCCGTCCCACCCGCTCGCTCGACTGGCCGACGCGCCGAGCCGGGAGCTGGTCTTCAGCCTGAACGGGCGGGAGCGGCGACTCGTCGACCCGCCTCCCTCCCTCACCCTCGCCGAGTGGCTCCGCTCCGAGGGCCTCACCGGCACCAAGATTGGGTGCGCCGAGGGCGGCTGCGGCGCGTGCACGGTGCCGTCGGCCGCCCTTTGGGGGTGGAACTGCCGCCGGCCACCCCTCGCCTGAGTGTGGTGGGAGAAGTAGGTGATCGCCGTCGGGTCGGACGGCCACCCGCGGGCGATCAACGCGTGCCTCCGCCTCCTCTGCGGCTGCGACGGGCTCGCGCTCACGACTGTCGAGGGGCTCGGCTCGCAAGGCGCCGGGTACTCGCAGGTGATGAAGGCGATCGCCGAGGGGCAAGGCAGCCAGTGCGGCTTCTGCACGCCCGGCTGGGTGACTGCCATGTCGGCGCTGCTGGGCGGGGCGGCGGCGCGCGGCGCGGCGCACCTCACTGCCAAGGAGATCGAGGAGAGCCTGGATGGAAACCTCTGCCGCTGCACCGGCTACCGGCCCATCCTCCAGGCCCCGCCCCCTCCCCCTCTCACCCTCACCCTCACCCTCACCCTCACCCTCACCCCTCACCCTCACCCTCACCCTCACCCCTCACCCCTCACCCCTCACCCCTCACCCCTCACCCTCACCCTAACCTAACCGTCACCCTAACTTAACCCTCACCCTCACCCTCACCCTCGAGGACCGCGAGAACGCCTTGACAGCACGTCACACACCGTGACGGCAGTCACTCCCTCGTACTGCAGGCATTCAAGCGCGCCTTTGCCCACGACGACTCTTCCTGCATCACCGACCTCGAGACGTGCGCGCCGTGCCACGACGTCGCCACGGGCAAGCCGTGCGGCCGCCGGTGCGAACCTTCTCGGAGGTGTCTCGGAGGTGTCTCGGAAGGGCCACAGCCACGCCGTCCGGTCCGAAGGTGCGACGCGGCGCTGCAGGCGTCCTCTCTCTCAAACGGCGAGGCGGGCCGGAGGGCGGCGGCGAGGCGCGAGTGCGACAGGGCGCTGCGGCTGGTCTCGCCGACGGCGGCGGTCGCGGCGCGCGCGCGGGCGCCCGTCTCTCTGCGGTATGAAGACGAGGGCAGCGGGGCTGAGCTACTCGCGGCCAGCCTCCGAGACACCTCCGAGACACTTCCGAGACACTTCCCTCAGGCAGCGGGCTGAGCTACTCGCGGCCAGCCTCGCTCGAGGGTCTGGTCGAGCTGCTGCGGCGCGAGCTCTCCGCCTACCTCAACCAGTCACTTCAGAGGAAGCTTGTTGGCTAATTAGGTCGAGCTGCTGCGGCGCGAGCCGGCCGCGCTGCTGCACTGTGGAAACACGGGCATGGGGGTCGGAAAGTACTACACTCCCCGCGGCCCGACGGCGGGCGGGCTGCCGCCGCAAGCAAACGCCGCGCTGGTCGACGTGAGCGGCGTGCCGGAGCTGGCAGCGGCGCCCGCGTTCCACCCTGCCAGCGGGGAGCTCTCTGCCGGCGCCGCGCAGACGCTCGAGGCTCTCCGCAGCGCTCTCGCCGCGGCGGCCGAGGCCCCTCTCTCGGACGGGAGGGGAGGGGGGCCGCCCTGGGCCTCCGAGCAGCGCGGAGGCGCCGCCGCACCCGCCGCCGCAGCCCTCGCCCGCCATCTCGGCCGCGTGGCGACGACTCAGGTGCGCGCAGAGGGCTCGTGGGCGGCCAGCCTCCGAGACACTTCCGAGACACTTCCGAGACACTTCCGAGACACTTCCGAGACATTTCCGAGACACCTCCGAGGCACTTCCGAGGCACTTCCGAGACAACTTCCGAGGCACTTCCGAGACACCTCCGAGACACTTCCGAGACACTTCCGAGGCACTTCCGAGACACCTCCGAGGCACTTCCGAGACATTTCCGAGGCACTTCCGAGGCACTTCCGAGGCACTTTCCGAGACAACTCCGAGGCACTTCCGAGGCACTTCCGAGGCACTTCCGAGACATTTCCGAGGCACTTCCGAGGCACTTCCGAGACATTTCCGAGGCACTTCCGAGGCACTTCCGAGACACCTCCTTCAGGTGCGCGCCGTCGGGTCGTGGGCTGGCAACCTTGCCCTCGCCGCAGCCCACCCGGCCCTCCCCTCCGACGTGGCGGTGCTCCTCGTTGGCGTCGGTGCCTCTCTCACGGTCATCGACCGCACCGGCCTTCGCCGTGGCGGCGGCGGCGGCGGCCTCCGCACAGTGAGCGTGTCCGAGTACCGCTGTCTGGGCCTCGCACCGCGGCCCACGCCCCCACTCCACTCACCACATTCGCGCTGCTGAGTCAGGCACCTCTCCTGCGGTCCTCGAGACACCTCCGAGACACCTCCGAGACACCTCCGCGACACCTCCCTCAGGTACCTCTCCTGCGGCCCTCGCTCCGCAGCCTCGCTGCTCATCGTGGCGCTGCGCCTCCCTCTCGCGTCGGCGGGCGGCCGCGCGGGCTCGCTCGCCGCCTGCTTCGCCGACAAGGTCTCGTCGCGCCACGCCAACAGCCACGCGCTGCTCAATTGCTGCCTCGCGCTGCGCACTGGCGGGGGGGCATGTCGCCGGCCGGCGGCTGGGCCATGTCCCGGACTGTCGTGGACATGCCCCGCAGGCAAGGGCGGCGCCGTCGCGGCGGTGGGCGGAGCCTTTGGCGGCCTCGTCTCGAGCGGCACGTGGGCGGTCCCACCCTCCGCCGCGTCCCGTCTCGTCGGCGCCGAGCATCGGTCGCGGTGCAACCTCGGACAGTCTCGTCGCAGTCTCGCCGCGAGATCACCCGTAGGCGCCGCCCTGATGAATAATCAATTAATCAATTAATCAATTAATTAATAATTAATTGATTAGCAAGGTCGTCCGTAGGTGCCGCCCCATCCGACGCGGCCGCGATGCGCGGCTTCGTCGCCGAGCTGGTGCAGCAGGCGGCCAAGGCCGGTCCGTGTACCTCCCTGTGAAGGAAGTCACTCTCATGGACGCGTCCCTCAGCAGGCGGCCAAGGCCGTCGAGTCGGACGCGGGCTCCGCCTCGGACATCGGCCACCTCGCGCCGCACGAGTACCGCCTCTCCCTCGTCGCCTCGTTTGCGTACAAGCTGCTCCTCTCCGCGCAGGGCTCGCCCCTCCCCCCCCGCCTCGCGTCCGCCGTCGCCGGCTCGCTCGCCGCCGCCGCCGACCGGCCCGTCTCTCGTGCGGCCCTTTCACAAGGAATGGCTAGTCAATGACGAGGCTACTTCCTGAGAGCAGGCCCGTCTCGTGCGGCACCCAGTCGATCGGCGTGAGCGACGCGTCGCTGGCGCCCGTCTCCCTGCCGCTGCCCAAAGCTCACTTTCCTAGACCTTTCTTGGACCTTTCCTGGACCTTTCCTGTAGGCGCCCGTCTCGCTGCCGCTGCCCAAGCTCACTTCGCTGCTGCAGGCGTCGGGGGGAGGGCGGTCTACTCATGCAGTATTCATCACGAGTGCAGGAAGGAGTGCGCTACTCAGGCGTCGGGCGAGGCGCTCTACTCCTCCGACGAGCCAGCCGTCGCGGGCGAGCTCTGCGGCGCTTTCGTCCTCGCGCCGGACGGCTCTGCCGCCGACCGAGGAGCGCTCAGCTCACCACTCCATACTAGGCGCCTTCGTCCTCGCGCCGGACGGCTCTGCCGCCGACCGAGGAGCGCTCAGCTCACCACTCCATACTAGGCGCCTTCGTCCTCGCGCCGGACGGCTCTGCCGGCGCTTCCTTCTGCGGGGCAGACTGGAGCGCCACCCTCGCCTCCCCCGGCGTCGTCGACGTCGTCAGCGCGGCGGACTTCCCGAACCCCGCCGCCAACGCCACCGCCGCCGCCGACTCGAACTGCTACCCCTTCTACCTCCACCCGGTCGGGTCGCCGCTCCCATGCGTCGGCGCGCCGGTCGCCGTCGTCCTCGCCGACTCCCTCTCGCACGCGCGGCGTGGCGCGCAGCCATCCGCTCACGCCTCGTCAACGCTTCGGCCGTTCGCGCGTTGAGCGAGCTGTGGCCGGCCGACTAGGCGCGCAGCTGGCCGTGCTCAGGCTCAGCCACTCGGCGGGGCTCCTCAAGCAAGCCCCCCCCCCGCCCCCTCCCACCTCGCGCCGGAGTCCGCCCGACGCCGCGCGTGTGGCGGCGGCCTTCGAGCAGCTCCGCTCCTCTGGGTTCGCGCGGCGGAACGGGATCCGGCTCGAGCGGCTGCAGGAGGAGACGCGCAAGGCGAAGGCGGCGGGCGGAGGCGGCGGAGGCGGAGGCGGAGGCGAGGGCGGAGGCGGAGGCGGAGGCGAGGGCGGAGGCGGAGGCGGAGGCGAGGGCGGAGGCGGAGGCGGAGGCGGAGGCGGAGGCGGAGGCGGAGGCGACGGCGGCGCGCAGGAGGTGAAGGAGGACGATCACCACTCGAGCATTGTGCGCGGGCGGCAGGCGAGCGAGCGTTCACTCAGACAAGGAGGTGAGTCCAGCCGGTCACACACTGGGGGCTGACTGGTTGAATTGGAACTTAGGCGGGCGAGTGGTGGTCTCGCGCGGCGGCGGAGGGCAAGGCCGCCGTGGAGGGCAAGCTCCGCATCGGGGGCCAGCGCCACTGTGTCCTCCTATGGTGACCCGCAAGACGCTGATTACTAATGGGTTCACTGGTCCATACCAGGCCAGCGCCACTTCTACCTTGAGACCAACACCGCGCTCGCCCTGCCGGTCGACGGAGGCTGCCTCTCCATCACCGATACCGATCAGTTCGTTAAGAGGAGCCCGTTCATTATTGTAGGTCGAGGGAGGCGGCCTCTCCATCACCTGCGCCAACCAGAACCCAACCCGCACGCAGACGGCGGTGGCGGGTGCGCTCGGCCTCCCCCTCGCCACGGTGGACGGCGAGATTGCCCGAGGTTACCGGAGATTACCCGAGATTAGGCGCGCTCGGCCTCCCCCTCGCCACGGTGGACGTGCGCGTGCGCCGTATCGGCGGCGCGTACGGCGGCAAGCTCAACGCGCACCTCCCGACGGCCATCGCCGCGGCCGTCGCCGCCGCCAAGCACGGCCGCCCCGTGCGGCTGCACAACGACCGTTCGGACGACATGGCGTCGACGGGCGGCCGGCCGCCGATGGAGGGCTCCTTCCGGCTCGCGGTGGACCAGGGTGGCGTACCATCCCCTCTCGAGCTCCCCGCAGCGCCGCGACACGTCCGGGACATGTCCGCGACATGTCCCGACAGGCGGCGTCGTCTCGTCAATCGAGCTCACCGCGGCGTTCGACTCTGGCGTCGTCGACGGCGGCGCAGGTGACCTGACGACGGGAGTTATATTATATTATATTATTATTATTTATTATTATTGGTGCTCGACAGGCGACCTGACGACGGGCGCCTGCTCTGATTCGTGGCGAAGGACGAACAGTCAGTCAATTGGTGCTCGATAGGCGACCTGACGATGGGAGTATTGATTATAATTAATTAATTAATTAAAATTGGTAATTAATTAATTGGTGCTCGACAGGCGACCTGACGATGGGAGTCTGCTGGGCGGACAACGCGTACCGCGCCGACGACTTCGCGGTGCACGGCTCGTTCTACAACTCCGGCGTCGTAGGCAGCGCCGCGCGCTTCCCCGGGGGGGTGGTGCAGTCTCGGGCAGTCTCGCGCAATCTCGCCTCGTCCCACACGTAGGCAGCACCGCGTGCCGAGCTCCCGGCGTCGTGCAGACCATCCCGCTGCACGAGTTGGCGATGGAGGCTGCGGCCGAGGCGGTCGGCTTGCCGGCGGACGCGGTGCGCGAGGCCAACCTGTACGCCACGGGGGACGCGGCCCTCTGCGGCGTCACCGTGGGCGAGAACGGCTTCAACTGGAACCTGCCGGCGATGTGGCAGTCCGCGAAGGCGCGGTGGGAGGTTGCGGCGCGGCGCGAGCAGGCGGGGGCTCGAAAACCGCGCCCCAACCTATTGCAATCGCATTGACTCGCATTACTCGCCATGGACTCGCATTACTCACAATGGATTCGCATTCCTCGGCATGGATTCGCATTGGCCAGCATTGATTCGCATTGGTTGGCGTGAGCAGGTGGAGGCGTTCAACCGCTCCAACCGGTGGCGCAAGCGCGGGCTGAGGATGGTCCCCGTCAAGTACGGCATCGAGGACAACGGAGGCGCGTACAAGGAGGGCTGCTCGCTCGGCGTGCTGGCGGACGGGTCCGTCCGGCTGGCCCACGGAGGGTGCGAGCTAGGGCAGGGCATCCACACTAAGGCGGCGCAGGCGGCCGCCTTCGCCCTCGGCTGCCCGCTCGGCGGCGTGTCTGTGTCGGACACCTCGTCGCTCGCCACGCCCGGCTCGGCCGACACGGGCGGCTCTGCCACCTCGGAGTGCGTCGTCAAGGCGCGCTGCTGGACGCTTGACTAGCGCCTGACCAGCCCCTCCCTTCACACCCCGGAGTGCGTCGCCAAGGCGGTGCTGGACGCGGCGGAGACGCTCAACGCTCGCCTGCTCCCCTTCCGGCCGGCGGCTGGCGCGGCGGGGGAGGGCGCGTGGGAGGCCACAGTCAAAGCGGCGACCGACGCGGGCGACTCCCTCGTGGGGGGAGCGGCTGGGGTGGAGGGAAAGGCGCCCGCGGGGAAGGGGGAGGGTGTGAGTAGGCGTGTCCCTCGCGGCGAGCGGCTGGTTCGGCGGGGCCGCGCCCGAGGGGGTGCCCAAGTTCGACTACGCAACCTCGGGCGTGGCGTGCTGCGAGGCGGAGAGCGCGACCCGCCGTCGGTGACCCAGTGCCGAGTAGTGCTGAGTAGTGCTGATTAATCTGCGAGGTCGAGATCGACGCGCTGTCTGGCGAGACCTGCATCCTGCGCGCCGACCTGCTCATGGACCAGGGGACGCCCCTCAACCCGGAGATCGACCTCGGGCAAGTCGAGGGGGGCTTCGTCATGGCGCTCGGCCTCTTCTTCTCCGAGGCCGTCTCCCGCCCGCCGAGCGATTCCTCTCCATCATTCCCTGTCATTAACCGGCGTTGCTCTCTCTTCCCCGAGGTCGTCTCCCACTCGCCGAGCGGCGCGCCGACGACGCTCGGCACGTGGGAGTACAAGGTGCACCTCCGAGACACCTCCGAGACACCTCCGAGACACCTCCGAGACACCTCCGAGACACCTCCGAGACACCTCCAAGACACCTCCGAGACACCTCCCAGACACCTCCCAGACACCTCCGAGACACCTCCGAGACACCTCCGAGACACCTCCGAGACACCTCCGAGACACCTCCGAGACACCTCCGATTCCCCACGCTCGGCGCGGGGGGAGCACAGGTGCCGGCTGTGCACGACATCCCCCTTGAGCTCAACGTCTCCTTCCTGCCGCGCGCGCCCAACCCGGCCCCGGGCGCGACGCTGCACTCCAAGGCGTCTGCGGAGCCGCCGATGGCGCTCGCCGCCGCCGCCTTCCTCGCCGCACGCGCCGCGATCCTCGCGGCGCGCGCCGACGCGGGAGACGCGTCCAAGCAGCCTCCGCTGCACGTCGATGCGCCGCTGACTCCGGCGGCCGTCCAGGCGGCGTGCCTCGTCGACACGTCGCAGTTCGTCCTCCGGTAGTCGCGGGGCAATCTCGGGGAATCTCGCAGCTTCGTCGACGCGCCGCAGTTGTGTCCCTCCGGAGAGAGGCGCGGGCGGGGAGGGGGTGCGTGTGCCAGCAGGGCGGCCGAGCCGGGCCACCGCTGGCAAGGGGGGGTGCCAGAGACGGGCGGCGTACGGAAGGAGGGGGAGGGGGGGGGGGGGGTAGCCCGGGGCGGGGGCGGGGGGGGGAGGCTGGACGTTTGAGAGATGGGCCAGGTCTGGCTGCTGATTCATAGCACACCTATGGAGACGCCTGTGTGTATGTGCTTGTGCCTGTGTGTGTGCTTGCGTGTTTTGTGGGCGGCTTCGTCACGCTGCCGACACCGCGATCGCAGCGTTTCGAGTGTGAGCGCCTTCGTCTCTTTATGTTTAACAAGGCAGTTCATGCGAGTGCAGTGTGCAGTAACTGCACTACTAGCTATAAGGCCGTACTACAAGATACCGTATTGCAATTGTACATTATCTCTACGTAGGACGACAGAGGACGACAGAGGACGACGGCACGCGTGGTACCAAAGATGCTAGCAGGCCTTGGCAGCGCGACTGCAGCGTGGGCAAAGTGGTACCCAAATGCCGGGCAGGTCCGGACCATCCAACCCTCAGAGAGGAGGGAGCGCCCTCCTGCGTCCGTGTGGTGTGCTCTGCCGGCTCGAGAGAGAGCGGCAATATTTGCTCGTCCGGCTCATCAGACTCGCACTGCCCTCCGCCAAAGTCATAGAGGGCAGGCGCAGCTCTTTGGAGGAAAAAGTGAGCTGCCGCAGCGCCGAAGTCCGCGTCTGGTCGCCGACAGCGCGTGCGAGCAGCAGCAGGCTTGCGGGCCGATAGATGCCTTCTTTGAGCGGCACCGCAACCTCCGCGTAGACCTGAGAGACAGAGGTGGAGGCGAGTCGACGGCACTATGCTACGCGCTGATGATGCAGCGGGAGCGCGGGGACTCACCTGTCGCTGAAGCAGCTCGATGGGGGTCGCGCCATCCACGCAGTCGAGGAGGTCGTCGAACTTGACGCCGGCGTGGCTGCCCGCCATGTACTCAAACGGCTCGCTCTCGTGAACCGGAAGCAGGTGAACGCGCCCGGCCAGGGCGGCCTTCACGTCGCTTGAGAGCGCGGCTATCCGCTGGTCATTCTCCGTCGACACCCAGGTGCGCTTGTCGAGGTACAGCAGCATGTGGCTGCAGGCCGTGAGGTCGGCGACGGAGGTCGTCACTTCGAGCTCTATGTCGAGGTGCTGCAGCAGGCAAGACAGCTCCTGGGTGAGCTCGAGCGCGCCGGGGTTGTGTGGGCTGGCGTAGATTCGAAATCTCTCTCCAGCGCGGAGCCTCTGCCAGGTGAAGCCAATGCCGGCTCGCGTGTACAGCCTCGTCGAAGCCGCCGCGCCAGGCTCAGCAGCAGCCTGCATCATCTCGATTGCGCGCTCGAGCGCCTCCGGGGAGAGACTCGCTTTCCCGTCTGCGCGACCAAGCCCCTTCTGCGCCCAAGACGGGACAGATTGCAAGATGAGCGCCTTGGGCTGAACCAGCATCTCGACTGTGCGCTGGAGCGCCTCCGGGGAGAGATTCGCTTTCCCGTCTGCGCTTGGTCGCAACATGGGCGCCTTGGGCTGAACCAGCGGTGTCACGCACGCCTGCAAAGTGACGTTCATGAAAGCTGGGACACGAGTCCACAGGAGAGGCTGTGCTGTCAGCGCAGCAAAGATGTCGGCCGTGGTCGGGACCTCTGCGCCCCAGGCCGCCAAGTCGCCGTCGAGACCCCACCTCGAAAGGTTCAGGCAAGCTGCTTCGATCGCTGCTCGGAGCACACCTTTGTCCATGTAGACGCTGCGCTCATCGTAGACGGTGATAACGATTTTTTGCAGGCTCATCGCCCGAAGCAGTTCGCGCACGGTGTTGGGGCGCGTGAGGTAGCCATCCGACAAAAAGACGACGAGAATCTTGGACATAGCAACTTCGGCTGCGCCTCGCCCGGACGCCAAGTCGTCCACGTCGAGAAAGATCTTCGTGTCCGGCAAGAGATTGAGCAGCCGTTCCTTCATCACTCGGACAGCGTCCTTATGCATATCCTGTCCGGAAAGCCACGAATGGGACAGAAAGAGATGGTACTTGTTGCCGTCTGTGAGCGGCTCCAGCTGCACGGGCTGGCCCGTTGAGAGATATCTCAGCCACTGCTGTCTTGTCCATTCGTGCTCGCGCTCCCGCCGACGGCGCCACTCTCGAACGGCGACCCAAATCACGACGACGGGTGTCATTACCGAAAGCAAGACGATCACGACGAGTACGCCAGTGCTCAACGGCGGCTCAGGAGGAGGTGCTGGCGGCGGAGGCGGTGGAGGAGGGGAGGAGTGCTGTGGCACCTCCGTCGATCCCCCGGAGAAGACGAGAGCGCCAACGTCTGGCAGCTGCAGTGTCGAGGTTGCGGTAGAGTAGCTGCCCACGATTGAGAACTCAAGCAACGAACGCGGCAGAAGTACCGAGCTAAGGCGGCGCCCTGACTGAGAGGCTTCGGTGAGCAGCCGGTAGTTGAGCACCTCCAAGGTACCGAGTCGATCTCCGCTGTCGTCGAAAACAAGAGGCCCGCTCAGCCCCGTCACGGTGTCAGCTGCCAGCATCGTCGCGTACAGCGCATCTGCGTCTCCTGGCCGTGAGCCGTTGCGGATCGCAGCATCGGCAGAGACTGCGAGCTTGATCACTGCATCCACGTACATTGCCGTGTAATCGGGAAGCGTCGAGGCGTCGTCGTCGTGGTCGCAGAAGGGTCGGGACTGCGGGCTCATGTTGGTGCAGCCCTGACTGCTCGACACCTCATCCCACAGCGCCTGATACTTTAGGCTGAGGTCGGAGGCGCTGCTCACGCCGGATGACTCGATGACTCCGAGCACCCCTCCGAGCCATGCACAGCGGACGAGTTCACCGAGCCATCTGCATTGTAGAGGGCTTCCTCAGCCGGATACGCGTTGAGCCAAGCGTAGCCCGGCCCCCAAAGCCGACCTTCGTCATAGGAGGCAGCAAACACAGCCCGCTGCGCATCCGGGTAGGCGACGAGGAGGATGATTTGGCAGTCTTCGAGCTGGTCGAGCAGGTCGCTCCCTGTCAAGTTGCCGCCGTCAAAAGCTGCCTTGGAAAATTCCGCCGTGCCATTGTTTACGATTTTCCCACCTGAGCTCTCAAAGATTGAGGTGAAAGACTGCATGACCCCGCGTCCCCATAGACCGTCGTCATGGAGCACGCAAATGGCTTGCCATCCCAGCCGCTCTGCGAGTGCTGCAACGGCGGACGTGACGTGCTTGTCGTTGCTCGAGAGGCGCAACAGGTTCGGGTATGCGCCCACGTTCGCCAAGATCGGAGCCGTCGACGACGGCGAGAGCACGACGGTAGAGATGTCGGCTCCAGCGCGCCACTCGGCGGCTGTCACAGCAGCCACGTCATCCGAACAGAACGGGCCGATGGTGGCGACTACTCCATTCAAGTCGGAGTACAGCTGATCGAACTGGCGTCGAATGGCCTCAGACTCGGCACAGCCGGTGGTCCCTGTCTGAACCATAGAGTAGAAGAGCGTGTGATCCGGAAGTAAGTCGTCTAGGAAGCCGTCCTTCTTGTCATTGATCCGGTCAATGATGTGCATCACATGCTGGCACTCCGACTCGCCAACATGATCATCACAAAAGACTCCGACGCGCAGCGTGTCGCCCACGAGTTCTGGCGGCTTGCTGTTGTCGGGCGTTGGCCTCGTCAGCGCCTGACCGTTGCCGGCAAAGCTCTGCTCCCAGTTGTCGGCTGGCTGCCAGGTGCCAAGCTTGACCCACGCGCCTGACGCGTTCACGTTCATCACATCGTAAAGGACGCCACCCGCGCGGTCGCCGAGGGTGGCCGGCTCGGACGAGAAGGAGACTTTGCCCGTCACGCCGTCGAACCGGACGGCGAGAAGGGCCGCCATCAGAGCGTCGCCGTCGATACGCTGAACCAACGGGTCGTCCACCAGCGCTTGCACTGCGTGCGCCACAGCGTACACAGCATCGTAAGCTCTCGGGGCATAGACGCTCTCGGGAAACTGATTGTTGGCACCGAAGCAGCGTGGCGCTCTATCCTCATCCGTATCAACTGACCAGAGTTTGTGCCCCTCGTCGTCGTCTGCCGGGTCGCAATTTGTCCCGTCGCCGAGCGTGGATGGCCGTGCGCGCTTGCGAGAGGCGTAGCCGTCGTACGCCACGCTTGGCGCGATTGAGTTTGTGATCGCGAGTATTCCGCGGAAATCGTCCACGGGGAGGCCACGGCCGGCCAGCGAGCCCAGCCCTTCGAACAGACCGATGTCGCCAACCCAGGTGAATTCAGGGCCGACGAGCCGTGCACCGAGGGCTTGCTCCAAAAGGCGATCTGCATCCTCTGCAAGAGCAATGGCGACAAAGACGGTCGCACACGAGGCGCGCAAAGCACCGAGGGGCTCGCCGAGGTTGCTCTGACCGTTTTCGAAGCGGACGGACTCAATGATGGTGATTCCTTGAGCAGACGCAGCCGCCTCAAAGGCCGCCACGCCGGCGGTGCAGTATGCGTCCGTGCACGCAATGGTGGCCACGCGCTTGACGCCGAGGAGATTTCGAGTGGCCTCAGCCAAAGCCACAGCCATGAGGGAGTCAGAGGTGACAACCCGCGCAAAGAAGGGAAAGTCGTCGCCGCTCAATTCCGGGCTCTGAGAGGAGTGAGAGACCTAATAGCAGTTGAGTCAGCAACCGTTATAGACTGCATAAGCAACACTCACACGGTCCTCTTAGAGTGAGTACCTGCGGGGTGGCCGTCAGCTCCGCCAGCCTCGCAGCGGGGATGGACGCGCTTGAGCAGTATGCACCAACCAGCGCGTCGCAGCCGGCGCCGTCGAACGCGTGGTGCAGTAGCTGGTAGGCCGCGTCGCTGCCGAATGCCGGGTCGCAGCGCGAGTCGCGGTGTGCGAGCAAAAGCTGCGTGTTTGGAAGCAGATCGTCCGCCACGCCGTCTGTCTTGTTGTTGATTTCCTCGATTGCCATGAGCACGGACGTCAGCTCCTCTGCCCGACCCAGGTGCATCAACTCGCCGCTTGGCAGCTGCCGCGGCAAGAGGGCGCCGATTCGCACAACTGCAAAGGGCGGCGGCGGCGGATAACTCGGCGGCGTTGGCGAATACTCCGGCTCGCAATGAATCCAATTTCCGCCGTACAAGCCAGTGTTGATGCCTGAGTCAGGGTCAGGGTCGGCGCACGGCAGCGACTCGACGACGCACCACGGTGGGTACGGTCCGTCGCACGCAACCGGCGGGCAACCGAACTGCGGCTCCCTGCAAGCGTGGCCGCTGTCTGGATCCGTCCAATTCAAAGCACAGGTGCACGGCTCAGTCGCCGCCGGTGCCGCCGGCACGAGGGTGAGAACGGCGAACATAGACTGGGGGGGGTGCAGGAGGTTGGCACGCCGTGCACAGCGGGATTTTTTTTTTCTATTTTTGTTCCGCTCCCATTTACTTTTCCTGTTTTTTTAACTTTTCTTTTTCTCTTTACTTCTCTTCGTCTTCGACTGCACGGGTTGGCCTTAAAGAAAGAAAGAAAACAGACAACCCAAGGGAGGGATGGGAGGACGGCACGCCGCCACCACACAGGGATTTTAAGGAGAGGTGTGTGATGCGCTAGCCGTCGCCCACCCTTGGGCGTCCGCCTCTTCCTATCTCTCTTCGCAGTCTCTCGCCGCTTCTCGCTGCAACCTTCATGCCACCTCGCGGTCGTCCCACTCTCGTCGTTCTCTCCCTTGTCATTTCCTCCTCTGTCGCGTCGTTCTCTTCTGTCTCGTCCTGCGACGCCGCCGCCTGCCGGTCCCTTGTTCTCGCGGCTTCTTTCGCCTTTCGGCGCAACTCCGTCCTCCTCGCGGCGTATCCTGGCCCCTCGAGTCTATCGAGCTCCCCTCGCGCAAGGACCACATTTCTGACTCCCACTCCGAGCATTTGCCTGCAGGTCATGTTGTTGCTCAGGTCCACTCTCTCTTCGAACACTCGTGCCTCTACGGATGATGCCGGCGCTGGGGTCCCCTTCGGATGCATCGTGACATCTGACAACTGAATTTCCACTGGTTCGTCCTCCTCGGAGTCGTCTTCCCCCGCTGCCTTCCGCTCAGCTCTACGTTCGGTACGTTCGGTGTGGCTCACCCTCCATGCCGTGAACAGGCGCTTTATCCACCCTATATTCTTCTCTCGTTCCTCTGCCCGTGCCTTGGTCTTGTCGTTGTTCCGCACCCATGTCTGTATGGCAATCGAGGCTGCCTTCCCCACTACCTGTAGTTCACTCGTCACCTCTCCCGCCCGCGAGCTCCCCTCTCTTTCTTTCGGGTATGGATTCCGTGAGTGCGGGTAGCGTGCAGGCAATCACGGGCGCTATTTTGTCGTGGGTTGGCCTTTATACGTTATTCTTCCGATTGTATATTCTTTTTCGAAGCGATTTTCAGCGGGAATAAAAACAATAGTTTCTCTGCTGGTTTTTTTTATGCATAAACCTTTTCATGGCGGCGGCGGCAGCATCCGCTCCCATGTCGCATCCAGCTGATTCGACTGACGTCAGGAGTCGGCCGCAGCCGACGCTGAGCAGCGCTCGGTACAGCGGGTCGGCGTCGCGGCCTGGCCTGCTCCGCGCCTGGTTCGACGCGTGGGTGGACATGCATGTCATGGTCGTCATCTTTCTCTTCACGTGGATGGACCGGATCAACGACTACCTCGTCGGGCTGCTCGGGAGCGCCGCCCGGCGCGAGAGGGTGCACGAGGTCGTCGCGCGCTGCGACCTCCGGGCGCTGCAGAGGTGGAGAGGCGTCGACCTCGAGGAGCCGGACGCTCGCGGCCGCACCGCGCTGCACGTCGCCCTCGACGAGTGGGAGGAGGCGGCGGCGGTGGAGCCGGAGCCGGAGTCGCCGGCCGGGCTCGCGCCGGGGCACGCGGCCATGGACCGCGGCCTCGACCGCGGCCCGGCCAGCGCCGAGTGGCAGACGCTCGTGCGGTGGCTCCTCCGCCACCAGGCGACAGACAGACAGACAGACAGACAGACAGACAGGCGGACAGACAGACAGACAGACAGACAGACAGACACACACACACACACGCACGCACGCACGCACGCACGCACGCACGCACGCACGCACGCACGCACGCACGCACGCACGCACGCACGCACGCACGCACGCACGCACGCACGCACGCACCACTCACTCAACACCGCTCACCCGCGCGCACCGTGCCTTGCACTTTGAATGCTTTGCGGCTCCTGCCTTCGGTAGTGGCGTTGCCAGGGCCCTCTGCCACCACCGCCTCGTGGGGTGGAGAGGATCCTCCCCCTCAGGCCGACTTCAGAGACTTTAGTTACTTGGTTGATTAGGCCGACTTTGTGCGCAAGAGCCTTTCATTTCTTTATTTAATTGATTAATTAGGCCGACTTGTGCGCAAGAGACTTTCGCGAGCGGGCGCCACTCGACGTGGCGGTCAAGGCGGGCGTGCTTAGGGCATAGACCTGGCGAGTTATATATTTACTAAGCGAATTAATGAGCGAGTCCACGTGGCGGTCAAGGCGGGCTTCCACGACGTCGCGCAGGAGCTGGTCGAAGCCGGCGCGCGCGCCTTGCACGTGGCCAAGGCTTCGCCCCTCCCTTGACTGGCCTCTACCCGGACCCTGTCCGGAGCTCTGCCGTTAGGCGCCCGCCCGCCGCAGCGTGCAAAGGGGGGTGCAATCTCGGGCAATCTCGGGCCATCTCGGGCAATCTCACCTCTAGGCGCCGACCCGACGGCTCGGTGCAAGGGGTGCTCCACTCTGCGGGCGGCGGCGGCGCGGGGCGACGCGAGGTTTGGAGTCGCGCCGCTGCCACAGGCACGTCCACGACACGTCCACGACACGTCCGGGACATGTCCGGGACATGTCCACAGGATGGTGGCGCTGCTGCTGGAGGCGGTGAGGGGAGGGCGAGGGGGAGAGGGAGAGGGGGGCGGCCTTTCGCTGGCCGGGTTTGTCAACCGGCGGGAGGGGGACGGCTGGAGCGTGCTCGGTCTGGCCGCGAGGTCTGGCAACGGCGACACCGCCGCGCGCGCAGACCGAGGCATGTCCACGACACGTCCACGACACGTCCGGACGTGTCCCGCAGGCGACATTGTCCGCGCATTGCTCGACGCCGGTGCGGAGCCCGCCGTGCTTCGCCATACCTCCAGAGTACCGAACCCAGCGTGGGTTCAGTCCCGTGGGTGGTGCGGTAGGTGCGGACCGCGCCGAGCCCGCCAACCCCGGAGGGAAGCTCGCCCTCTCGAGATCACCATGTATGGCATCATTGATATTGTATTATTTGTTGCATTTGGTATACAGGAAGCTCGCCCTCGAGATTGCGACGCTCAACAAGAGGGGCGCCGCAGCTGCGGTGCTGGAGGAGGCGGCGTGAGGGGCGGAGGCATCGCCAGTGCAGCGGTGGAGAGGGAGGTGGAGAGGTGGGGAGGGAGAGGTGGAGAGGTGGAGGGGTGGAGAGGTCCCCGCCGCCAGGGGCCACGGCGTATTGGCTCCCCGCCGCCGGCTGGCGCGACGCGGCAGCTGTGTGGGCACGCATCCAGTCGACAAAGATATGAGATAGCGGAGAGCCAGCCCACCTCTCGCACCGCGACCACGACCGCCCACTTCGGCGGGATGTGGGGTGTGTGAGCGGGAGATGTGGGTTGTGAGCGGGCCAGTTTGTATGTGAGTGTGTATGTGCGAGTCGACTGGTGTGTGTCGTCTCGTGCCTCTCGAGGTTTCGTAATCGTAATCAAGAGTTCAAGACGAGACCGCCGGAGGGCGGAGGGTCTCGTGGGTCGAGAGAGTATGGTAAACCGGTCGTGTGCGTGTCCGCCCCCGGTGGAGCGGGCCCCGCCGCCCGCCCCCGGCCGCCCCGCCCTGGCCCCGCCTTCGGTGACTTCTTCGCACTTCGGTGCGTGTCCTCGGTTCTTCGACCAAACTCCCCCCCTCTACGAGAGAACCGGTAACGTATCTCGAGAGATCAAAACAAACGCGCCCGGCCCATGCGTTCATGTGTAGAAGAGACGCGTCTTCAGGCGCTCGTGCACGTCGCATGCGGCGGCGTCGCTGCTGACCGAGGCCGTGTCGGAGAAGCTTTCGCGCTCCTCCTTGAGCCCCCACATCTCCGCAGCGAGGTGAGCGTTGTAGTTTGGGGCAACCTTGGAGACGATCTTCTTGCAGCGCTGGAAGAGGTGGCAGAGCTGGCTCGTGAAGCGCTGCAGGTCGTCGGAGGAGAGGTTGGGGTCGTTGCGCAGCACAGAGTACAGGTTGCCGCGAGACGTCCCCTTCATGCCGTGGTGAGGGGTCAAGTGGAAGCTGAAGGTCGACTCGTCCACCACCACAGTGTCGACCACCGTGAGAGGAGGCTGGTTGCCCATCTGCTGGCCGGGCACGCGCCCATTCTCGTTCGCAAAGAAGCGCGCGCCGCCGCCCTTCTGCTCCACGATGAAGACGATCTGAGGCTGGTACCCCTGCTCAATCGCGTGGCACGCCCGCTCAATCGCGTGTATCTCGACCTCGTGCACCTCCTCGAACTGGTTGTGCGCCACGCCGTCGCGATAGCAGATGATGCGCTGGGGAGGTATGCCGTTGTACCGGTAGAAGGCCTTCAGCTGCTCGCGCACCATGCTCTGCATGTCGTCTACCGGGATGCACTCCTGCCGGCCAGTCATTGCCCGCACCTCGGTGTAGTGGGAAGAGAAGAATTTGTCCACCGTGCCGACCAGCGCGCCGTAGGAGGGCCTGCTCGAGCCGGGCGCGGCGTGGTGGACATCGCAGCCGAGCAGCAACGTCGGGCACTCCCGCAGCAGCTGCAAGCCGGGCTGCAAGCCGCCGCCGGGCACCTCGCACAGCGGGTAGTAGTTTGTGCCGAGCGCCTTGAGGTTGAGCTTGTCCAGCAGGTTGCTCCAGTAGCCCTGTAGCCGGAAGTCGGGTCTAAGAGAGCGCAAGAGAAGCGGCGAGGAGCGGAGCGCTTAAACCGGCGGAGGCGACTTGAACTTGTTCACCTTGCAGTGTTGCACCGCGATGCCGATGCGCGAGCAGAGCGCCTTGTTGGTCGCCCGGATGGGGTGCTGCCACGCCTACGTGAGACAAAAGGGAGGGACGGTGGGAGTCTCGTGCGTTGGGGCGCCGCGGACAAGAAGGGGCGCGCGTTATTGTTCTGGTCAGGGATAATCGCCAGCAGCAAGACATTGTCCCCCAGCTCGCCAAAGGCGCGCGCCAGCTCCTGCTCCACCTCCTCGGCGCTGGACGTGTCCCGGAGGCACATCAGCAGCGAGGGGTCCTGAAGCCGGACCTCCCTCCCCTCGAGGCGGACGAGGGGCCCAAAGTCGAGATTCAGGCCCAGCTTCCCCGCATCCGCAATCAGCCCGCTGAGCCCACGCTGCAGCCCGCCCACGTCGAGGAAGTGCTGGTGATCCTTGCCGGATGGCGGGAAAAGGCCCACCACGCACCGCTGCACGTTTCCAGGTCGGATGTACGTGGCGCCGGGCGGGGTGCGCCAGTTGCCGCGGAACTTGCCGCCCGCCTCTGGAATCGCGACACGCGGGTTGTTCTCGGGCCCGTACCCGAGGCTCATCACCGGAAGGACGCGGCCGGGCACGTTGTCCAGCAGCGGTCCGACCTCGAGCCCGAACGCGCGGCAAGTGGCGTCGCGGCCGACGTCTCTCTGCAATGTCCGAATCTCTTCGAGTCGCTGCGCCGGAGGCTGCGAGGTCTCCTTGACCAGCTTGGAGCGCTCATCCGCCGTGGCCAGCCGCGCCGCCTCGCCCCCGACGAAGTCGCACAGCTCCATCGGGACGAGGTTACGGCCGCCTTTCCCAAACCCGACCAGAACCAGCTCGGGGTGCTTCAGCTCGATGCCGTACCGCAGCCGAAAGAAGTCCTGCACCGAGATCTCAGCCGCGGGGTGCTGCTGCCGCAGCTCCTGGGGTGTCTCGAAGAAGTGCTCGCGCGGCAGCTTGTCGCTCACGTCGGTGAGGGGGCGGCTCGGACCGATGCCGCTCTTGCCCTTGCGCTTGTGCTCCTCCCAGCGCTGGCTCCACTCCGCGTACTGCGGGTGGCGGTGCGTCACCTGCGAATGAGGCGGCGCGGTGGGTAGATGGTGGAGCGGGGGTGGAGACAGAGGCGGAGGGAGGAGGGGTGGGGGCGCGGAGGCGGAGGGGGCTCGCCTTGCGCTTGTTGAGCTGCTTGCGGACGTCGGCGAGCACCTTTGGCTTGCGCAGCTCGGCGGCCAGCTCTTGCGTGCTCAGCTTGCGGTGCTGCCGCAGCCCGAGCTCGACGCAGAGAAACTCGATGAGTTTAACCGGCCGCAGCACGCAAGTGACCGCCTTGTCGACGAGCAGCATAGGCGTGCCGCCCTCGCCGCGGACAACGCTCTGCCGGTGGCCGAGCCACAGCGTCTTGTTCAGGTTCTGGAACCTGTCTCGCCAGGTCTGCCGGTCCGGGTTGAAGATGGCCTTGCCGACCGCCTTGAACATCATCGACTGCTCATGCCGCAGCACGAGGTCGTACACCTGTCCAGTCGGGGGGGGGGGGGGGGGGGTTCTATTGCAATAGCGCGCAGAGGGGTTGGGACAGAGCAGCGACGGCGCCTGGTACACCTCCCGGTGGTCGCCCTCGAGCCGGAGCGACCTCGCGTACTGCCACGTCAGCTTGAGGCCGGGCCGCTCCATCGAGAGGCTGTCGATCCGCCGCGTCGAGATGAAGATCTTGTCCCCGTCCCACACCCACGCTGCCCCCTCGCGGACGCCAAAAGCGACGTCGATGTTGTCCTTGAACTCGAGGAGCACGTCGCGCCGCCGCTGCGTTGTCCGGAGCTCGAGCTCCTCTCCCTCGCCCTTGAGGTACGCCAGCGAGTACTGGTGCACCTCCACGCCGCCTTCCCTCACGCGGACGGGCGAGAAGTTGGAGAAGAGCCGGACGGGCTTGCCAAGCGTCCCTCCCCCGTCCGGCCGCAGCGCGACCCCTCCCCTCGGCCACTGCTGCAGCCGCTGCGCGGCCTCGAGCTCACTCACCCGCGGCCGGGACTGCTGCTGCGGCGGCGGCGGCTCTAGGGGCTGAAGCTGCTGCAGAGGCGGCTGCTGCTGTGGCGGCGGAGGCCGCGGCTGCTGCGGCGGCGGCAGGCTGCTGCTGGCCTGCTGCTGCTGCTGCTGCTGCTGCTGCGGCTGCTGCGGCGGCGGCGGCGGCGGCGGCGGCTGCGGCGGCGGCGGCGGCGGCGGCGGCGGCGGCGGCGGCGGCGGCGGCGTCTGCAGATGCGCCCGATGAGCCGGGGGCAGGGGCGGCGGCCCGCTCGACGCGGCGTCCAGCGGCCTCTTGCCAGCGTGCTCGGCGGAGCTGCCGGCGGCGTGCTGCTGCTGCGGCAGCGGCTGCGGGATCGCCTGCGGCTGCGGGGTCGCCTGCGGCTGTGCAGCTGCCTGCGGCTGCGGGGTCGCCTGCGGCTGCGGGGTCGCCTGCGGCGGTGGGACCGCCTCCGGCTGCGGCGGCGGAGCCGGGAGCCGCAGCGTGACCGCGTACCGCCCACCCCCACGAGGCACAATCTTCCAAATCGTGACCTCGGCGCCGATAAGGCATCTCTGGCTCCCCTTCATATGCTCCACGAACTTCTCGGCGGACTTGCAGTCGCAACGCTGCTCGAACTCGATCTCAGCCTGTCCCCCGAGGGCGGGAGCATGCACATGCTTCGTGTAGGCCTCCTTCTCAAAACGCACCGTTGCCGGCAGAGATGCGAGGCGCGGGTCCTTAGCGCGGTCGAAGCTGAAGACCTCCACGTAATCATCCCTCTTGGACGAGTACGTCATCACACTGGTGATTCCATCAGCCATCGGGGGATGGGGAGCGCTTAGCGGCAGGTGCGAGGTGGTTAAGTGGCGCCAGTGTTTGAAAAAGAATTCGCGGGAACAAGATAGCGCGCTGATGTCCAGTCCGAGCCTGACTGTTCTTCACCTTTCTACCTACCTACCTGTGGTTGATGACCGCACTCCAAGTGCTCCATTCAGGCATACAGGCAAGTGCTCCAAGTGTCCAAGATGCATCTCGCGTCGTCTGCGGCTCTGGTGAATCCGCGCGCTCTGCTTCCTCCTCTTATTCTCTTTTCAATGACCCATCCACCCCTTCCCTTCCTCTCTCTCCACCACCACCACCTCCTCCGCCGCCTCCACCAACCCCCCCCCCCCCCAAACAGGTGATCCACGAGATGCGCTCCGGCCGAGGCATGATCCTCACCACCCACCTCATGGAGGAGGCCTCCTTCCTCTCTGACCGCATCGCCGTCCTCGTCGCCGGCCGCCTCGTCGCCATCCTCCAGCGCTTGCTCCCCTTGCACAGCTTGATGAAGACGGAGCCGCCGCCCATGCGCACGATGTGCCGGTTGAGCACATCGTCGTCGGAGTCGAAGAGGGGCTGCTCTATGGGCCATGGAGTTGCCGGGCACCTGCTTTTGCCGGGCACCTAAATAAATAAATAAAACGGACACCTCTACTAGGAGATGGGTAAAAAGGAACAGGTCCCCGCCCTGCGGTCTTTGTGCAGGGTTCTTTGTGGGTGTGGTCGGCGGCTAGCCGGGGTCGTCCTCCCGATGGGGGACTAGCACTAGCCGTCTTCCACATGGTCCCTCGGGTCCCTGCTGCTCCTAATCTCTTCGTACATCCTCCTGCTGATCTCCGCAACGTCCTGCTCCCTCCCGGGCACCTGCTTTTGCCCAGGCCCGACTTTTTGCCGGGTGCGTAAACGCGCGATTTCTTGCTTTGCTAGGGGTGGGGGCACCCGCTCCTGCCGGGCACCTGCCGGGCACCGCTTGCGGCGCCTGGCAGGGGCACCCCCTGGGTGGGGGCCGGCGATTCCCATGCCGGCTCTCCGCCCGCCACAACCCCCGCCGGGAGGGAATCCCTGCTCACAGAAAAGGGCCCCGAGCCCTGTCTCGCGCACGCCCCTTGCGGGGGGGAGATGGGGCTCCATGGCCCGCCGCAGGCGCCGCTTTTTTCATTTTTTCTTTTTTCTCGATTTTTTACTTGTTTTCTACGGAATCGCTTAGGCGGCTCCGGTGGTGTGCCGGTGATAGTACTAGCACGCGCCAGTTCGCACCTGTGTCGAGCCTGTCTGCTGTGAGAGAGAGTTGTTTTGTTTAAATTCTACGGAATTCGGCGTTCTTGCGGCCACTTGTTTTCATGCTAGTCGGCGCTGCTGACCGTGCCATGATGCACAATTGATCACCTGCATAGCTCGCGGCCTTAGTATCAAGCATTCAGTGACGACCTGATCCTGCGGCCAGTAGGAAGGTGTCCTTCCAGCGCGTGCACGCTTCTGACGCAAATCGCAATGCGCGTCACAAACTGCCTCGGATTGGCTGCTGGCACTCTCGAGGCTATGCCTACACAGCCTCGCGCGCATGGGCAGTCAAGAGGGACCACGCACCTTCTCAGGACAGCGCCGGTGCCTCTCTCTTGGACCGGCAAACTTGGTGGTATCGTGTCACCAATGTGGGACCAGTGCGGCATCGCGCCATCGACAGCTCTGAACTGCGCCTCACCACTGACCGGGAAGGCCACCAAGTGGGCCAGCACCGGTCGCACATGGTGGCAGCAGTCAGCAGTGCACGTCTGATAGCTAGAGTAGCAGCGTCAGGGTCGCAGAGTCGGATCGTGTCAAGCCTCTCGCCCGGCCGGCCGCGTGCAGACGTCGGCCTGTTTGCTGTCTGCAGTGATCTGTCGCGGTCAGTACGACCGATCAGGTTGGAGGTTTCTGATGGTTGGAGGGTCTATCTGTATGTACTCCTCGAGATCTCTCCAAATCTGCCCTCTAATCAACCGTAATCATTCGGGAAGTCGGTGCTCTGAGCGACTCTGAGCGCCGGGGCCCCGTTTCCGGATTCCGCACTGCGGCGCGGCGCACGGTGCCTCCGGGGGGCCCCGCGCCGGCCCACACCGTGGCAGAGTCCGATAGCGGTTACCGCGCGCAGCTGCTGTGTCGGCTGCGCTCGTTCTCTCTACATTCTACAAGATAGATTGGAAGCCGCTTTCTGGAAGCCCCCCCCCCCCCCCCGTTTACATCTCCCTCAAACGCCGCGCGTCACGTACCGCCGGTCTCTCCAAACTCCAAAGGTTGTTCTCTCCATGCTCGCGACGGCGCGGCCGCCAGCGCGGTCGTCAATCACGGCTGATCAGTGATCAGTGAAGCATGGCGGCATGGATGCCCCCCGGGGCCCAGCAGGACCTTCCCCGGCTCTCTCTCTCTCTCTCTCTCTCTCTCTCTCTCTCTCTCTCTCTCTCTCTCTCTCTCTCTCTCTCTCTCTCCCCCCCCCCCCCCCCACTCTCAGCCGGAGGCCGCCAGGCGCTGTAGCTGGCGCGAGCGGAGGGTGCGCTCGAGGGAGGCGCGCAAGTGGCTCTCCCGCTCGCCGCGCTCGTCGAGCGACGCGGCGAGCGCGGCACAGGCGGACTCCCCCACAAAGTGTTGCCAGTCCCTCTTGCCGCACGGCCGCGACTCGCCGCCGTCTGCTGCCCTGCTCGCCTCGCGCGGCGGCTCGACGATGCCGCCGACGAGCTCGCTCGAGCGCGGCTCGCACCAGACGTGCGGCTGGTCCCGCGGTTCCTAGCCCCGACGTGCAGCCGAGGTGCGGCCGAGGTGCAGCCGAGGTGCGGCCGAGGTGCGTCCGAGGTGCAGCCGAGGTGCGGCCGAGGTGCAGCCGAGGTGCAGCCGAGGTGCGGCCGAGGTGCAGCCGAGGTGCAGCCGAGGTGCGGCCGAGGTGCAGCCGAGGTACAGCCGAGGTGCAGCCGAGGTGCAGCCGAGGTGCAGCCGAGGTGCAGCCGAGGTGCGGCCGAGGTGCAGCCGAGGTGCAGCCGAGGTGCAGCCGAGGTGCAGCCGAGGTGCGGCCGAGATGCAGCCGAGGTGCAGCCGAGGTGCGGCCGAGATGCAGCCGAGGTGCAGCCGAGGTGCGGCCGAGGTGCGTCGGGGGCGATTGTCCCGCGCCTCAAGCGGCTGTACGAGCCAGTGCCGCCGGCCATACCGGTCTCGCCCGAGCGGCGCGGTGCGGACGATGGTCTGTGAGAGCTCGAGCTGGCGCCTCCCCTCGGCGACCCTCTCGTCGCGGTACTTGTGCATCTCGTGCAGCGCGGTGTACACGTCCCGCGTCTCCGCCGCCACCCACCGCCCGCCCGGCCCGATCCCGTCCTCGTCGCAATCCCCCTCGAGGGCGGCCGCACGCGCCGCCTCGAGCGCAGCCTAAGGGAACCGCAGAGCGAGGGCGGTGACTCGGCATCCTCTCACCGAATCCGGCCCTGCGCGGCGCGCGCCTCCATCACCGCGATCTCCCCCTATCTCTCCCCCTATCTCCCCCTATCTCGCGCCTCCATCACCGCGGTGTCCTCATATCTCCCCATATCTCCCCATATCTCCCGCTACCTCCCCACATCTCGCGCCTCCATCACCGCGGCGTCCTCATATCTCCCCATATCTCCCCATATCTCCCCACATCTCGCGCCTCCATCACCGCGGCGTCCTCATATCTCCCCATATCTCCCCATATCTCCCCACATCTCGCGCCTCCATCACCGCGGCGTCCCCGGACGAGGCTGCGGCCCGCAGACCCTCCTGCGCCTACACGCCACAAGCGAGGCGAGAGTGGGCGAGATTGCGCGAGACTGCGCGGCCCTCGCAAGCCCTCTACTGCGCCGCGTCGCGCGCTGGGCCAAAGGTGTCCCGCCGGTGCTTGATCAGGTCGCGCCGCGCAACGATGCCCTCCAAGTCGGCGGCCTAACTCATGGAGAGCGAGAGTCGCGCATTGAGCCGTGACTCTTTGACGGTGCCACTCCCGATCGGCGGCCGAGAAGTCGCGTCCGTCGGAGTCGATCCCGTTCGCGGCCTGCAGCTCGAGCTCGACAGCGAGGTCGGACTCCGCCTAATAATTAATAATGATTACCTAACTAATTAATTAACAACTCGAGCTCGACAGCGAGGTCGGACTCCGCCTATTAATTAATTAAATGATTACCTAACTGATTAATTAGCAGCTCGAGCTCGACAGCGAGGTCGGACTCCGCCTAATAATTAATTAAATGATTACCTAACTAATTAATTAACAACTCGAGCTCGACAGCGAGGTCGGACTCCGCCTATTAATTAATTATGATTACCTAACTAATTAATTAACAACTCGAGCTCGACAGCGAGGTCGGACTCCGCCTATTAATTAATTAAATGATTACCTAACTGATTAATTAGCAGCTCGAGCTCGACAGCGAGGTCGGACTCCGCCTATTAATTAATTATGATTACCTAACTGATTAATTAACAACTCGAGCTCGATGGCGAGAGGTCGGACTCCGCCTGCTGCAGCGCCTCGCGCGACAGCACCTCCACCTGCCATGGAGGAATGAGAGATGGGGAGGGAGTCGTGAAGGAAGCGCCTCGCGCGAGAGGGCCTCCACCTGCCCGCCGCACGCTAGCGCCTCCTGCCGCTTCTGCACCTCGAGGCTAACCGCAACCTCACTCACCTCGGCCGGCAAGAGCTGCTCCCCCTCCTCGCCCGCCGCCTCGCGCTGCTCTGCTAGCTGCTCGCGCAGCGCGTGCCGCGCCTCGTCGCGCAGCGTGCGCGTCTCGCGCCTCTTCTCCTTCTCCGCCTCCTCCTCACGCTCCAGCACCCCCCTCCGCCTCGCCATCGCCTCGTCCACCGCCTTGGCGGTGTGCGGCGAGTCGCACGCGCCGTCGACGAGCACGCGCAGCAAGCCCAGCTTCTGCAGCGGCGGCAGCCGGCTGTAGACCTCGTGGGCGAGCGACGGCGACTGGCCCAGCAGCGCGCGGATGGCGGGCTCCAGCTGGCTCGCTCCGCCGCAGGCCGAGGGCAGCGCGAGGGCGGAGGCGTCACCGCCGGACGAGAGCGGCTTCGAGGGGGGCGAGGTTGGCAGCAGGCCGTCGAGCGAACCTGGAGGGGCGGAGGTGGAGCCGAGGTGGAGAGGAGATGCAGTAGAGGTGGGAGCGGGGCGGCAGGCCGCCGAGCGAGCCTAGAGGGGCGGAAGAGCCGCAGGAACGCGTTGTTGGCTTTGGAGGGCGGTCACTCTCGGCCACTCTCGGCCACTCTCGGCTCCTCTCGGCTCCTCTCGGCCTCACCTCGGCCTCACCTCGGCTCACCTCGGCTCACCTCGGCCACTCTCGGCTCCTCTCGGCTCCTCTCGGCTACTCTCGAGCCTTGCCGCTTGACGCGCGCGCGCGGCGAGGGGGCGGGGTCGGGGCAGCCTCCTCCCTCTGCGCTCGCCCGACCTGCGGCCTGCACGGACACGGCCAAGCCGCCGCCGCCGCCGGGGCTGGCGACAGCCGCGCCGCCGCCGCAGGCCGGCGAGGTCGAGGCCGGGGCCGCGGCCTCCACCTGTTCGGACATGTCCCGGACATGTCCCGGACGTGTCCCGGACGTGTCGCGGCACTGCGCGAGCCGAGCTGCCTCCATGGGGTCGCTCTTGCGTGCGGAGGCGCCGCCAGCCGAGGGCTGCGCTGGCTGCAGGCGCGGCGCAAGCTCGGCGGGCGAAGAGGCGGACGGCGCAGCGCCGCCCGCGCTGTCGCCGTGAGGTTGGCCGGGTGGGGCGTGTGGGTCGGGGGGCGTGTCGTCGATGACGCACGCCGGGTCCCAGTGGCGGAGGAGGCGCAACGCGACCGCGGCGAGCAGCGGCGGCCACGAGTAGGCGGTGACGTCGCTCACCTGTAATTCATATTCATAATTAGTAATCACTAGTAGGCGGCCACGAGTAGGCGGTGACGTCGGCCCCACCTCCGGCGCGGGCGGGTTGCGCGAGCGCAGCAGGTGCGGCGGCTGCAGCTGGTAGACGAGCCGGTGCTTGACCTTTGTGAGGTCGAGCCGCTCCTCCGAGTTGTCGTCGTAGAGGATGTGGTACTCGCGCGTCGCCGCGTCGAAGGCCCACAGCTGCCCCGGGTACCACGCCCCCGCCCCGCCCTCCTCCGACCACAACACGGACACGCGCGCGCCGACGAGCGCCTCTGGCGGCCCCGCCTCGCTCTTGAGGCGCGAGAGGGCGACGGAGTCCGTGTCGGCCGCGCGGTGCGCCTCCGCGTCTCGCGCCTCGAAGGCGGCAACCTTGGAGTGGTACTTTGTGCCGGAGGGGCCGACGTAGATCCAGTTGCCCCACTTCTGGCCCGTCTTGCCCTTGGCGCGCACCACCCACCCCTCCGCGGCAGCGCCCGTCCAGAGCCGCCCGTCGATCTCGTCGGTCGCCTGGATCTCCTCGCCGCCCTCGTCGCCCTCGTCGCCCTCCTCGCCGCCCGCCTCGCCCTCCTCGCCCTTGTCCTCCTCCTCGAGCTCGTCCGGCAGCTCCGAGGGGGCAGCCTGTAATCAAGCAATGAACTATAATGAGCGATTAATGAGCTAGTAATGAGCTATCAACTAGCTCCGAGGGGGCAGCCTGTAATCAAGCAATGAGCTACTAATGAGCGATCAATGAGCTAGTAATGAGCTATCAACTAGCTCCGAGGGGGCAGCCTGTAATCAAGCAATGAGCTACTAACGAGCGATCAATGAGCTAGTAATGAGCTATCAATTAGCTCCGACGGAGCAGCCTGTAATCAAGCAGTGAGCTAGTAATGAGCGATCAATGAGCTAGTAATGAGCTATTAATTAGCTCCGAAGGAGCAGCCTGTAATCAAGCAATGAGCTACTAACGATCACAGAGCTAAAAATGAGCTATTAATTAACTCCGACGGAGCAACCTCCGACGGCGCGAGCTCCGAGGCTAATTAATAGCTAATTAATATTAATTAGCAACCTCCGACGGCGCGAGCTCCGAGGCGCCGTCCTCCTCCTCCTCGGGCGGGGGCACGTCCTCGGACGTGTCCAAGGACGTGTCCACGCCGCCGTCCTCCTCCGCCTCGACCGCCGCCATCCCCTCCGCCGTGAAGATCTGCGGCCGGCTCCGCCGGACCTGGGCCGCGAGCCAAAGAGCGGCGAACTTTGTCGTGCCCGCGGCGTTGCCCTTCCAGTGCGAGATTGCGCGGTCGAGGTACCTCCGCACCTCGCCGTCGGAGGAGATGGCCCTCGCCGCAACCAGCGCTTGCCGGATCGGGACGCCGGTGTTTGTGCGCATCGGAGCAACCGTCTCGAGCTGCGCCACCCAGCGGCGAGTGCGCGACGTCGGCTCGCTCGACGCGAGGATCGCCTCGAGGTCGACCTTGAGCAGCGGCTTCGCGTCCGCCTCCCACCACTTGACCTTCTTCGAGTCGGACGACGCCCTCGCAAAGGCCGCCTTTGGCCCGTTCGGCGCCTCCCGCACGCCCCACCACTCGCCGAGCGACTTGTCGGTCAGCACGAGCTGCAGCAGCGCCTGCGGCAGGCCGGCCAGCTATGATCGCTGCTGCAAGGCAGAGTGCAAGCCTGCGCCAAGCCGGCTATGAGATGCTGCAATACACTGTCCTACCACACAAGAGTGCAAGCCTGCGTCAGGTCAGCGAGCTTCGGGTTCGGCTCGCCCTCCGACTCGACCTGTCATTAATTCGCTGGCTGTTACTCAGCTGTTACTCAGCTATTCATCAGCCTCGCCCTCCGACGCGACCAGTGCCGCCGCGAGCTCCGAAGGCGAGTACGAGGGCAGCTGCAGCTGGGGGCCGAGTGCGCGCAGGAAGTCGCAAACCTGCAGCAGGCCGAGAGGGCTGTCCGGTGTCTGGGCAAGGGCCTGTCCGGTGTCTGGGGAAGGGCCTGTCCGGTGTCTGGGGAAGGGCCTGTCCGGTGTCTGGGGAAGGGCCTGCCCGGTGTCTGGGGAAGGGCCTGTCCGGTGTCTGGGGAAGGGCCTGTCCGGTGTCTGGGGAAGGGACTGCCCGGTGTCTGGGGAAGGGCCTGTCCGGTGTCTGGGGAAGGGCCTGCCCGGTGTCTGGGGAGCGGACTGGGACGCGTCTCCTGCAGCAAGTCGCCGACAGCCGAGGCGGGCACGGCGCCGGTTCCTGCTGGCAGCGGTGTCGGGCGAGGGCCGAGAGGAGGCTCGTGCGGCTCCTCCTCCGCCAGCCGCTCGTCGGGGACGGGGTACCTGTTCATTCACAATGCGCCGCTACCCACACTGACCAGCCAACAGCGCCTCGCCGGCGGACTGCGCACCGCTCTCGCAGCGCCCTCTCCGCGTCGAGCTGCGCCTGGCGCGCCGCCGCAGCTTCCTCCTTCTGCTGCTTCTTCGCCTCGCGCTCGGCGCTCTTCAGCGCCTTCCTCTCCTCGGCGTCCTGCGACTTGGCAGACTTCGCCGGCGCCGCCTCGAGCTGGAAGAACCGCGCGATCTCGGCGCGAGATCGGAAGCGCTTCCCGGCGGGCGTGAAGAAGTACGTGTCGAACGTGCCGGCCGTGCCCCCTCCCTTGCGGACCTCCGTCCGGGTGTACCAGCCGTCCACCAGCCCCTCCGCGCCGCCGCACGACACGAGGTACTCGCCCAGACCCGCGATGAGCTCGCGGTCTCTGTCCGCCGACCCAGCCTACCGGAAGGTTCCGAGAAGGTTCGTGGACGGCGCCCGGTCGGCTCGCGGTCTCTGTCCGCCGAGCCAGCCTCGGAGGCAGAGCCGCGCATGCGCGCACGCTTGACGCCCCCTCCGCCTCCGCCCCCGCCCGCCGCCGACGCCCCGCCGCCGCCGCCGACGACCGCCGCCGCCGACGCGCCGCTGCTGCTGCCGGCCACGGCTCCTCCTCCGCCATCGCGGTGGCGCTTCTTGTGCGGCTGGGCGGCGGGCGGGGGCGGCTTGGGGGCGGAGCCGTTGCCGTTCGCGCGCGCGAAGAGCTGCTCGAACTCGCGCAGCCCCGCCCGCGCAGCGATGTTGCACGGGTGGTCGGGCGACCAGTTGTACTTGACGGCGTTCGTAAAGACCTTCCGCACGTCCGACGCAAACGCGAGCGCGTCGTCGCCGTACTCGCCGCCGGCGAGGCGGCCGGCGATGGTGCGGAAGTCCATCGGCTCCTCGACGATGTCCAGGTAGTCGGGCACCTCGCCCACCGGCACCGGCTCCTGGAACCAGTACGCGTCGTCGCGCAAGCCGAGCAGCTTGAGCGCCGCGCCGCAGCGCGCCATCTTGTCGCCCGTCACGAGCGCCTGCTCCGCCGCCTTTTGCGCCTTGCGCACGCGATTCTTGATCGCCTTGGGGTTCTGCTCCCGCTCGTACTCCTCGATCGCCTCGTCGTAGTTGTCCTTTGCCTGCGGGAGAGGGCGGGCGGCGGTGAGCGACCGAGGCCCGCGCGCGGTCGGCAGCGTGGCAGCGGCACTGGAGGGCGCGCGCGCGCCTTCTTGGGCGTGCGCACGCGTAGGCCGGACATCCGGCGGCGACGCGGAAGCCTGCAGCAGCCCGCGGCCGAGCTTGAGCCACTTGCCGACAGTGGCGGACCACACAGGAGGCCAAGGTTAGCACGGGAAGAAACCACTGGGACTTTTATATTTTCGATTTCGATTATTTCGATGATTGAATCTTACCGCAGCTTTTTTATTTTACCCAAAAGCTAGGCTACACAACGCCCTCTATGTTGGGTCAAGGCGGGCAGCTTTTTCTCTGCCTTGGCATATGGCGCTCGCTCACGCTGCGCTGTGCTCGCTCAGCGTGGCCTTCTCGCCGTCGCACTTTTCCCGCAGCGCTGCCTCCTTTTCCCGCAGCGCTGCGTCCTTTGCCCGCACGCCGGGCTCGAGCACGGCGCCGCTGGCCAGGTGCAGAGCCGCTGCTGCCGCTCCGCCGCGAGCGGCGGCGCGCATGTCGGGAGAGCCACCGGCGGTGGAGCGTGTGTTTGCGACGCTGCCGTACGTGCTTCCCTTCCTGGACGGCTTCCAGTACGGGCTGTACGTCTTCAACAACGTGCCCGGCGGCGTCGGCTTTGCGGAGGCGGTGCTGCCGCTCGTGGTCGCCTTCAACTCGCTGCCCTTCTCCGGCATCATCTTCTTCATCGGGCTCTCCTTCTTCACGCGCCCCGACTCGGGCCTCTCGCGCTTCGTGCGCTTCAACATCCAGCAGGCCCTCGTCCTCGACATCCTGCTCATCATCCCGTCGCTCTTCTCGGGCGCCGCCGGGATGGTCCCTTCTTCCGTCGCCATCCTCGGCTCAAACTTTGTCTTTTACACGATGGCGCTGGTCGTCACCTACGCGCTCTACTCGAACGCGCGCGGCGAACTGCCCGACCAGGTGCCTGTCATCTCCGAGGCGGCGGGCTTGCAAATCGGCCCGTTTTAAGCGCGTAGTCCAGGCTCGTGGGCGTGCCGCCGTGCGGGTCGGAGCCGGGGTGGGACATTGATGTTCGAGACTCAGCGTAGTTTATGGTTGTACCCGACTCTTTATCGCGTCGAAGCCATAAATGCGGGCCGCATGTGTACGAAGGGCTAAGGCGCCATGCGGCGCGAGCGGGGACACCAGGCTCCAGGGGGACACACGCTCGCGAATGAAAAACCGTCTTTAGATCAGCACGAATTCTTTACCTGTGTTAGGGCCAGTGCGCGCCAGTCCCGTGCCTAATGTCGAGCGAGAAATTTACTTGGCCTCGATGAATTCTTTGGGGGACGCAGGTGGGCGACGGCTAGCGCACCACACACCTCTCCTTAAAATCCCTGTGTGGTGGCGGCGTGCCGTCCTCCCATCCCTCCCTTGGGTTGTCTCTTTTCTTTCTTTCTTTTGGGGGACGCAGGGCCAGGGGTCAGCCCCGCGCGACCTCGGGAACTAGCCGGGGCAGTCGGAGAAGGGGCAACTCCGTGCACTGACGGTCGGCCGTCAGAAAACACGCCTGCGTGGATCGCGTCACACCAATCCTCGCTACCCAACGCGGCCACCAAATGATATCCACCTAGGTAAAGAATTCTTTGTTCCAGGCCCGAATCCACTTCTCCAGTGGTCCTCCAGTCCGAGCCAGTCTGCTGTGATAGGGCTTGCATGGTAAAATTCTCCCCAGCCTTGCCCGACCGATGCAGCTCGACTTCGTCGTTGCCCTCGCCCTCGCCGTGACGTTCTTCGGCGTCGCCGCGAAGCCAGCAGCAGCCGCCTGCCTCCTCGCATTTCTCTACGCGCTGGGCGTCTTCCTGCTTAGCGCCGTCTCGGGCGAGGCCGGCGCCAGGCGGGCCGCGGTCGCCGTCGTGGCCACGGGCTCGTTGCTGTACCTCTCTCGTGTGGCGCCGGCCGCAGTTGGGCACGAGGCCCTGCTGGGCGCCGCGGGTGGGCTCGCCTGCCTCGCGACCCACCGCCTGCTCGTCCGCATCCCTCTGCCTCCGCTTCCGCCACTCACTGGCCGTACAGTCGTGGTGACGGGCAGCTCCGCCGGCCTCGGGCTCGCGACGGCGGAGCAGCTGCTGGAGCGCGGCGCGACAGTCATCTTTGCCTGCCGCAGCGAGGCGCGCTATATTACATTTATTATGTGTTATATTGGCCTGCCGCAGCGAGGCGCGCTGCCTCGCCGCCTTGCAAGCTGTGTGTCCATCAACGAGCTACTTTGCTGAGCAGGCCCGAGGCCGCGCCGCGTGCCGCGCCGCCTGCAGCGCCTCGGGTGCGCCGCCCGAACGCGCGCTCTTCCTCGCTCTCGACCTGGAGAGCTGCGCCTCCGTGCGAGCCTTCGCCGCGCAGCTCCTCGCTACCGGCGGGAGGTGCGACGCGCTCATCTGCAACGCGGGGGCGATGCACCCAGAGAGGCGTGTGACGCGCGACGGCTGGGAAGCCAACCTCGCCTGCCACGCCCTCGGCCACGACCTCTCTCGCCCTGCTGCTGCTGCGTATGAACTAGTCGATGAGTTCTCAGCGAGCTGATGACCTTAGGCCACCACCTCCTCGCCCGCCTGCTGCTGCCGCTGCTGCGCCGCTCGCGAGGCCGCGTCGTCTCGGTCGCCGCCACGGACCCGAGATCTTCCGAGATCTCCCGAGATCTCCCGAGATCTCCCGAGATCTCCCGAGATCTCCCGGGATCACCCGGGGATGACCTCAGATCACCCGAGTTCTCCCGAGATCGCCCGAGATCTCCCGAGATCGCCCGAGCCCATGCTCGCAGGTCGCCTCCTGTCTGCACCACTACGGAGACCCCGCCACCTTGCTCGCCGACCCGATGAGCGAGGCCTCCTACTCGCTCTTCCCCGCGTACGCGCGCTCAAAGCTCGCGCAGGCCGGGCCCGGACTGCTGAGCTGCAGACGCGCGGGAGCACGCCGAGAACGCGCCGAGGTCGCGCCGGGAGTAGGTCGCCCTGACGGCGGAGCTGCAGCGGCGCGAGGGCGCGAGCGGCGTGGTGTGTGTGAGCTTGCACCCGGCCGGCGCCCTCACCGCCGTGACGCGAGGAGGGAGGGCTGGTCCAGTCAGCCTGAGGACAAGTCTTAGGCCAACGCACTCACCGACGTCACTCGCAACTTCCCCGCGCCCGTCCGGTTGCTCTACGCCGTCGCCTCGCCCCTCTTCCGCTTCCTCCAGCCGCCCCTCGCCGACGGGGCCGCGACGACCGTCTTCGCCGCCGGCAGCGACAACGTCTCCTCCCCGCCCCTAGACGCTTCCTAGACACCTCTAGACACTTCCTAGACACTTCCTAGACAGTCGTCTTTGCCGGCAGCGACGACGTCTCCTTCCTAGACACTGCCAGACTGCTGTAAACGGCGTCTCTTCACGCCGCTGGCTGTGAACAGGTCTCATCGCTGCGCGGCGCCTACCTCGAGCGGTGCGCGCCCGTCGCGTGCGCGCCCGCCGCCCGCGACGAGGCGTTTGGCCGCCGCGTCTGGGAGATGGCGGAGGGGCATCTCTCCCCTTGGCTGGCGCCGCTGGGACCGAGTCAGTGAGTGCCGGCGGCCCTCGCTGGCAATTTTGGGAGAGTGTGCCACCTGAGGCTGTCAGTGAGCGACTATAACGCCTTACACTCTCGAGACTATAGAGCGCGCGCTCAAACGCCATACGTAGTCGTAAAAGGTAAGGTAAGGTAAGGTAAACTTCTCCACACACGCAACAGAATCACAGCGGGAGAGGAAACGAGCGGCGAGTCGCAATTCCAGGGGTCGTTTTGTGGCACGATGACACAAGTCACAACGCTTGAAAAACCATTCTGACGAGCCTCCGAGCATACTTGCGCGTGGACGTTTCGGGCTCCCATCCCCCGCCCCGGATCCGTGGGCGATCGCACACGCGGCTGGGGGGCACGGCGCGAGGTGCCAGGTGGCGCTTACCACTGAAAAGGAGATTTTGGAGCCCCTAAAAGCGTCATAATAGCCGCGCACGTTTGCCCTCGCCGTGCCTTGCCATCTCCGAGCCGCGCCCCCTCCTTCAGTTGTAACTAAGGCGAATCGGCTGCCGAACTCGGCGTCGACAGCTTTGGCTGCCTCGTTATTGGCCCAGGGGCGGAGCCACTCGTAGGAGTATCTGACGCCGGGGCTCGAGATGAAGTATTGCGAGCCGCGGGCGTGGAACGCCGCCTTGCGCGCTGCGTCGGACGAGACCTTGGCGCGTCGGCGTGCTTCGGCGTTGGTGGCGGCGGAGCTCCCGCCGAGCGAAAGAAAGAAAACGGACAACCAAGGGAGGGATGGGAGGACGGCACGCCGCCACCACACAGGGATTTTAAGGAGAGGTGTGTGATGCGCTAGCCGCCGGACAAGCTACGGAGCCGCGTCATGAAAAATTCTTTTTTCGAGAGAGTTCTTTCGTAAAATTCTTTTTGGAGCACTTGGAGCACTTGGAGTGCAGTCTTTTTGAGAGCGCCTTCATTGTTAATATCTTTTCCCCCCTGCGAGGGAGTTTTCTCGTGAATCATCGCAATGAAGTCGCCTGTCGAGCAGCTTCCGCATGCGCCGCGAGGTTGACCGAATAGAGGCGGTGGAGAAGGAGGCGGTGGGCTCTCTCTCTCTCTCTCTCTCTCTCTCTCTCTCTCTCTCTCTCTCGGAGGCGGTGGGGTGGGAGGCCGTGGAAAAAGAAAACCGTGCGCCTCATCCCGCTAAGCCCTGCCCGCCCGCCCTTGTGGCCGGCCGCGCGCATGGAGGCGCAGAAGCTGCAGCTCGTTGTGCGAAACTGCGTCCAGAAGACGCTCGAGCTCGTCCTGCGTGCGCGTGTGCCTCTCGGACGCGGCACTCCAAACCACTGGTTCAACCTCGAGTCGGAGGAGGTCGCTTGCGTCCGTGACCGGCTCGAGGGGTGGAAGCAGCGCATCTCGCAGCCGCTCCAGCTCGACATCTTCATCGACACGTCCTCCTCCGCGGTGCGCGCTGCCGTCGGCGCCCAGCCCAACGAGCCTAATCTCGTGCTTCTCGAGCGGTGGACACTGCGCTACGAGCCGGCACCGCACGCGCCGGAGGCGATCGGGTGGCCGACGTTTTACAAGCGGTTCATGGTGCTGCTCCGCTCGCTCGCCGCCTTCCTCCGCCTCATGCCCGCCCACCGCCTCGCCTCCTCCCTCGGCCGCCTCGGACACGCCTCCGACGCGCCAGCGCTCGGCTTCCGCGTCTGCATCGGCGGGCCGCACGGCGGACGCAGCTCCGAGGCCAGCCCCGAGGCGGCGCCGCTCGACTTTGCGGCGGGGGTGAGCCCGCAGCAGCACGCCTTTTCGCCTCCCGACTCCACCCACGGCAAGCTCCGCATTGCCGTCTCGTACCGCCCCCCCTCCCTCTTCACCCGCACTGCTCGGCCGGCCGCTGCCGCCGTCCGCTGCTCCTCCGATCGGATGATGAGCGCGGCGCTCATCGCAAACTACCTGCCGACGGAGGGGGCGAGGCAGCCGCCCGCCGTCGCCACGCTCGACGAGGCCGCCCTCGGCGCAGACGGCTCCAACCCTCGCTTCGGCCTCCTCCCTCGCCCCGCCTCGGCGCCGCACGCGCCGTCTCCACCGGTGCCGGTCGTGCCGCCGCCCTCCTCCAGCGGCCATGGAACCGGCCCGCTTGCCCGGCACTCTCCCGCAGAGGGAGGGCCTGGCTCGCCCTTCACACTCGCGGAGCTCAGCGGAGGCTCCTCTCGCACCCTAGAAGCCCCAACACCGCCTCCTCCTCCTCGTCTCCACACTGCCGCTCGCGAGACCACGCAGTCCGCTGTACTCGCCTCCCTACTACCTCGCCACTACCTCGCTACTACCCACGCGGTGCTCCGAACACTCTGCACGAGGCACCGCTCCCTGAGGCTGGCCTGCCCAGCTCGTAGGCTCCTCCAACGCCGAACTCGCCGCCATCCACGCCGCCGCCTCCATGCACGCGCCGCACACTGCCGCCGCCGCCAGCAGCGCCGCCGCCAGCAGCGCCGCCGCCGCCGCCGGCGGCGGCAGCAGCAGCAACGCCGCCGCCGCCGCCGACTGCTCGCTCGCCTCCAGCCCCGCGGGGCCGCCGAGCGCCTCGGCCAAGCCTGTGACCTCCTCCCCCTCCGCCGCACCCCCCTCCGCCGCCGCACTCTGCGCCTCTGGGCGCGGCGCGCCTGAGCCGCCGCCCGTGATCGACGTCTTCGGCGGTGTGTGCGGGGGCGTGGCGGGGGCGTGCGGGGGCGTGGCGGGGTCGCCGCGCGCGCTGGAGGCCGCCGCCGGTGCGGGCAGCGTGGACGGCGGGCGGGCAGGCGGGCGCCGCTCCACCTCCTTCTCTGGCGGCGTGAGGCAGCCTGGATCAGCGTCCCTGCCGCCGCTCCGGAGGAAGAATGGCAAGTTGAGTGCGGGCGTGTCCTGCTGCTGCTAGGCAGCTCGACGAGCTCCCTTTCTTGATGGACGAGGAAGGAGCGCCGGGCGAGGCGGGCGAGGCGGAGGGAGGCGGCGGCGCCGCCGCAGCAGGCGCGTCGCAGTGCGGCAGCCTGGCTGCCTCCACGAGACACGAGGCTGTGCTCGGCTCCTTCCTGGACGAGGCGCTCGCACGAGAATGAGAGTGAGACTCGTCGGTGATGATGGTGACACGTCCTCGTGTCTTCTCGAGGTATCGCACGCGCCGTCGCTGCAGCTCTTTTCGAGGAACACACACCACCGAGGGCCCGAGTCTTCTCTCCCGTCCGACCGCTCCATCACTCACCCCTACTCGTGAGCAGGCCCGACCCCTCCGACGACCTGCTGGGCACCTCGCCGCTCGCCCGCTCAGTGGACGACTTTTCCGAGCAGCTCGACTCCCTCCGCCGAACCTTCTCCTCCCTCCCCGCCACTCCAGCGCACCACCCTCCCGCCAACTCGCCCGCCGCCCTCGCCGCCTCGCCCGCGCAGCTCTCCGCGGCGCCGTCGCCGAGCTTCGCCGCCCGCCCTCCCCGCCCGACGGCGTCGCACGCCACGCCGCCGCAGTGCGGCAGCGGCTCCGCCCCAATCTCGATCGGCGCGGCGAGCAGCGTTGCGCGCGGCACTCGGTCGGGCTCGTGCAGCCGGCCGGGCTCGTGCGGCCGGTCGGGCGGCTCGCCGACCAGCAGCGCGCCTCCCTTCGGCGCGTTCGAGCCGCCGTTTGGGACGCCATCAGCTCGCCTCTCCCCGCACCTCTCTCCCCACCTCTCTCCCCACCTCTCTCCCCACCTCTCTCCCCGCCTCTCCCCGCGCCTCTCGCCCCGCCTCTCCCCGCGCCTCTCCTCCTCGCCGAATGCCGAGTTGCCTCTCCAGCTCTCCCTCTCGCCGCCCCTCGCCGCTTGCGCCATGCTGCCGCCGCCGCTGCCTCGCGCCTCGCCCCTCATTTGCGCGGGGCGAGACGCGGCGGCGGCGCCTCCATGCCCGGAGGCATCCTCCTCCCTCCCGGCCGGGCGAGGAGCGGGAGCAGGGGCGGGAGCAGGGGCGGGAGGTGGGGCGGGAGGAGGTGGGGCGGGAGGAGGTGAGGCGGGAGGAGGTGGGGCGGCGCTCCTCGACGGCGCCCCGGGCCTGGCGTCGCTCTCGGGGAGCTCTCGAACGGAGAACGCGTGAGCCGGAGACACTATCACTTGTGCACCGAGGGGGGGGGGGGGGTGCTGCTGGAGGCTATCTCTCTCCACAGCTTCTCGCCCATTCTCGCAGCGACCATCATTGCTTCATGCCGCCTCGCGGTCTTCTCACTCTCGTCGTTCTCTCTCCTGCTGTTTCATCCTGTCCGCCGCCGTCGTCGATTGCGTTTGTCTTTCTTTTTTTACTACCCGGGCCCGCGGGTGTGTGTTTGTTTTATAACAACAACGAAGAACGCTTGTTGTTATTGCATTATGCAGAACGCTTGTTGTTATTGCATTATGCATACTGGATGCCCCTCCCTTGTAATCCGTGTGCGACCTTTCTCTTTGTGGACAATTCTTCTTCGAACCTGTGTGCTGTGCGAGAGAGTTCTTTTTCTTGAATTCTTCTTTACACGTTCGTCTCAGGAGACTCAGCTCCCCCTTCACGATCACCAATGCTCGGGGAACTTGCCGTGCATCTGTCGAAAAAGGAGGTTGCCGCCGACAGGCCCCACCAGTACTAGGAGGAAGCAGCACAGGACCAAGGTGAGCGGGAACAAGGGGCCGCTCACCAGAAGCAGCAAAAGGGGGGCGAGGCCGACGAGGAGCGACGCCTCCCACACCCCGAGGAAGCGGTCGAGGAGAGGCACCGCCGGGATCGGGGCGAGCTTGTCGCTCAGCGGCTCGCCGCGCACGAAGGCAAGGATGGCGGCCATCGCGTCGGCGGAGGACTGCTGGAACTCGCTCGGCAGAGGCCACGAGCGAGGAAAGCCCAAAAAGGCGTGCGTGCTTGGGTAGGCGCGGTACATGACATCGACGCCCTTGGAAGCGAGCATGTCGCGCGCTCGGAGCCTAAAGGACGGGCGTAGCAGCTTCACGGGGCGCGCGGCAGCGCTGGGCTGCTACGCGTACGTTGAGGGGAAGATCGGGTCCGCCTCGCCCGCCAGCAGGAGCGTGGGCGGGAAGGTGGCGATGCCGTCGCGCAACGCCAGGAACGTGTAGGGCATGTCCGAGTCAACGCCGCGCGGGGCGTAGCAGTCGAGGACGAAGCGGAAGCCGAGGGAGACAACCCATGACGCGCCCTCAAGCGGGGCCTCAGAGTCGAGAAAGCCGTACAGCAGCGCCACCCTCTCGACTGCCGGGTACTTGAACTCGAGCAGCGGCTCCCCCGTCCGCCGTGCGAGCTCCTCGAGCAAGCCTCGGTTGCTTAGCATCGCTGCCGCCATCGACACAAGGTTCCCGCCGGCCGAGTCGCCAAAAAGGAGGCACCTTTCGACCCCGTACGCCGCGCGTATAAACGCAAGCCCGCGGAGAACGCTGACTAGCGCGACTGGGTGCCGGTGCTCGGGCGAGAGCGGGTAGTCGAGAGAAAAGACGGTGAAGCCGGCTCGGCCGAGGAAGCATGTGCCGTGGAGCATAAGCTCAGAAGACGCGGCGACAAAGGCTCCGCCGTGCACATACACGATCGGCGTCGGAGCCGAGGGCGGTGGAGTCGGGCCCGGCTGGGCCGCCGGCCGGATGACGTCCAACGTCTCGTCGCGGTGCGCCGCGGAGTAGCGGACATGGCGCGTGAGGGTGATGCCCGCTTGAGACCTGTGCCCATCCCAGTGCTGAGGCGAGCGCAGGCCACTCATAAAGACGTAGTGATACGGCGTCCAGAAGATGGCGAGCCACGCCCTCGCGTACCGCAGTACCATCCGGCCGGCAAAGAAGCAAACTTCGTCGAACGTGCGCGAAAATGGCCACGTGACGCCGCACGCCTTGAGCACGGCTGCAGCGAGGCAGGCGGATCTCCACGACGCTGAGACGGCGAATCGGAAAAACGGGAGCACGCCGAGGCCAACCCAGCGGAGGGCGGCCAGACCGTTGCGACAGAGCCACGCGAATGTGGGCGGGCGGTAGGCGAGTAGTAGTAGGAGGAGGAGGAGACAGAGGGCAAAGAGAAGCCAGAGCGCGAGCAGCCCCAGCCAGAAAACGCTCGACGCGCTGGGCAACACGTCGCCCATCTCTGGCATATTGCAATATGCTGCTGTCGGCTGGACGTCCGAGTTCGAGCCTGGCGAGGCAGCCGTTCCCAACGAGCGACGGTGCTCACGGAGGCTGTGACGGCAGCCGCATCAAGCCCTGCTCCCTCGCACGAGCGCTGTGGCTAGCCTACCCGCGTTCCATTTTGACGTCAACCTTCCTTCGCGGGGACGTGCGGTACGCCTGTCGAAACAGCTACTTCCTGCTGCGGACGCTGTGGTACGGCGCCGCTCTCGTCGTTGGCCCGCTGTTCGTGGCGCTTCACGCTGCGCGGCTGATCACGGGATTCTGGAACGCGCATCACGACAGCCGCCGTGCTAACAATCGGGTCACTCGTCGTGGAGCGCTTGCGCGAGTTCCGCCGCTTCGCACACATCCCTGGCCCAAAGCCTTCTTTCTTGTGGGGCAACTATCCCGATCTCTGCGCGAACGGATGGGGCGATCGCCACCACACACTGACGCAGCTGCACGAGAAGTTCGGACCTTGCTTCCGTCTGCACATGCCGCTCGGCAAGCGGCCCTTTGTCTACACGGATTACGTCCCTCACGACGTGATCAGTGGAGACTTTGACTCGCTCCGCCCAACGAAGACCATCACGCCCGGGTCCCTAATGGGGTGTCCGGTGGGTGCGCACCACTCGAGCAACAGGCACGCCATCAGCAAGATCAAGAACGAACAGGCCTTTTGCAACATGCTCTACGCGTGGACCCGGTCGCGAGGGAGATGCTACAGAGGTGGAGGGGGCGGAGGGGCTCGGGGGACGACGGGAGGAACGATGAGGGAGAACGAGTTGCCCGCGCCGGCTGTCTGGGCTTCGAGCTCCAGTGCTGGGCTCTCGACACGATGTTCTTGTACCTATACGACAAGCGCCCCGAGACAGAGGAGGAGAAACGCGACATAATCGCCGCGGTCGACAGTTTCGCGGGCGAGGTGTCCCGCCGCACGAATCAGCCAATTTGGATGTGGCTCGAGCCCGCCCGCATCCGGAGCTTCACGACGGGCTTCGGCTTCCTCCGTGACATGGCGCTCAAGTGCAAGGACGACGACGACGCGCCACTTCCCGGCTTCATGCGCCAGAGCGCTGGGATGCGCGAGTGGGAGATCAACGACGAGCTCGTGCTCATGCTCGCGGCCTCATTCGAGAGCACGGCCCACACGGTGGCGCAGTGCATGCTGATGCTCGCGAACGACCCGGAGCGCCAGAGCATCGCCGCGAAGGAGGCGCGACGCACGCTGGAGGCGGCGCCTGAAGGACGACTCTCGACGAAGGACATTCGGGGCTGCAAGGATGTGATGCATGTGCTCTACGAGGCACTGCGCCTGCACCCGACGATCCCGTTTTCGGCGCGCAAGATCCACAAGTGCATTCAGATGGAGGTTCCGGGGCCAAGGGGTCGGGCTCCAACGCGGATCCGCATCCCCGCCAAGTGCTACCTCACGTACTTCAAGACTGCAATCGGCCAGAACCCGCGCGTCTTCGACAACCCACTAGAGTTCCAGCCCGAGCGCTACGATCACCTTCGGACGCGCGAGGAGAAGCACGCGGCTTTCCTGCCGTTCGGCGCGGGCCCCCGACGGTGCTGGGGCCAGGAGCTCGCCGAGATCCAGGCGGGGCAGCTCCTCATTAGGATGCTTGCGGAGTTTGAGCTCTTCTTGCCGCACACCGGAAGCGGTGAGGACAAGGACGAGCACGGGCTGCCGAAAAAAGGGGTGCCGGCGAGTCTCGACGCCGTTCTCACAGCTCACCAAGCGGCCAAGGTGCTCCACGACCACGTTCGCGCGCGTCTTCAGAGGCGTCTGCACAGGAGTGGTGGTAGTTGCTTTCGGCTCCAGGCGAAAGGGCGCCTTCAGAGGAAGACGTCCGTGGCTTCCGTCTCCGTTGCCGCACCCGACGTCGACATGCTCGCGGTGGTTCCGCGGCTTTGGCCCGGCGAGGAGGAGATGCAGATGGATGCGCATGCGGCGGCGGCGAAGGAGGGCGGCGGGAAGAAGGAGAGCGAGGTCGCGCGAGGCCGGCAGGAGCGGGCCAAGGCGGCCGTCAATGCCGACGTCAAGGCGGAGGCGGCGGAGGCGGCGAGGGTGGCTGCGGAGGAGGCGGCGGCGGCCGAGGCGGCGAGGATCGAGGCCGAGAAGGCGGCGTCGGAGGAGGTAGAGCGGCAGGCGGCGGCAGCGGCGGCGGCCGAGGAGGCGGCGGCGGAGGCAGCCGCTGCCGAGGCTACCCGCGCCGCTGCCGAGGCTGCCCGCACCGCTGCGGTGGCTGCCGAGGCGGCGAGGGCGGCAGTGGAGGCGGCGGCGGCGGCGGAGGCGGCGAGGCTGAATGCAGCCCGGCAGTCGGCCCAGAGATCGCAGGACGCCGCCACCGTGGCGGATGGGATTGCTCCGTCGCAAGAGGACGCGCAGGCGGCAGCTGAGGCGAAGGTCGCGGCCGACGCGGCGTGGGCAAAGTCGGCCAAGGTGGTCGCACACACAACAACATACAACACGCAACACACACACACACACACACACACACACACACACACACACACGCACACACACACACACCACAACGCACTTGGCCTTGCACTTTTAGAGCCATGGTGCTCCTATCCGAGGGTCCCTCCCCTTACTTTTAGTATTTAGACCTTACCCTCAGGTGGTCGCGGCGAGGAAGCAGCAGACGCGGCGCGAGATGGAGGATGTTGCGCAGACGGCGGGGGCAAGGCGCGCGGCCATCATGGCCAAGTTTGGCGGAGGTGTGAAGCGGCGCCCTTCGAACCCCACCGCCGCCGCTCCCGCCAAGGTGGCGGACGAGGAGGAGTACTTTTGAAGATTGAATGTGTTAGATTGAACTGATGCGGGCGGGAGCTTCAACGAGAACGACATGCAGGCGTCCCGCACACACACACGCACGCGAAGAGGGGGAGTTCGGTGTAGTGCATCAATCAAAATTAAGTAAACACGGTGTTCGCACTCCAAGTATCGATCGACGAAATACCGCAGTTCTCAGTCGCGAATGGCCCCATCAGCTCTCCGACCCGGCGCAGCGCCGCGACACCACGCACGGCGTCGCCTCCCCTTCCGGCACGAGCGGCCCCGAAGCGCGGCGCGCGCGCGAGGCGCGCGCCTGCATAGAGCTCTCCGACGCGAGGGCCGAGCTAAGTGTCGTGCTGCTAGCCGACGGAGTGCTGCTCTGCCGCTGCGGCGCCGCCTTGGTCTGTCCGAGCGGCGTGCTGCGCAGGAAGTACGAGAAGAAGCAGTCGACGTCCTCGAGGGTGAGGTCGTCGCGCGAGGAGATGAACATGTCGCTCGGCAGCAGCTCCGGCCTCTCGTGCCACTCGGCCTGGCACGGCCCGCCTCGCGACGGCGCGGACATGTTCTGGTTGACGCCCTGCGAGACGAGCACCTGACGAGACGTCGACCACGCGTCATGGGCACGTCAGTCAACACAGGCGCTCGCTCAGTGCTCGACTGACGAGATCTACTTCACCGGCTGTGCACCTGCACCGCGTACGAGGAGGGCACCTGCGGGTCTGCGTTCTTCTTGTGGAGCACGCGGAAGACGATGTGCGAGAGGTAGCCGACGTCGAGCTTCTCAAACTTGACGCGCGCCTGATCTCGGGTACTCTCGGGTACTCTCGCAATCTCGGGTAATCTCGGGTAATCTCGGGGAATCTCGGGGAAGCCGAGCTTCTCGAGCTTGACGAGCGCCTCGTCGCTTGCGATGCACTGCACGCCGTAATCTCGGGTAATCTCGGGGAATCTCGGGGAATCTCGGGGAATCTGCGCCTCGTCGCTGAAGATGCACTGCACGCCGCGGCTCGCCCTCTCCCCCTGGGTGGCGGCGAGCACCTCGTGGCCGTAGCGCAGCACGTTGAAGAGGGAGAGGATGTGCGACTCGGACCTATGGACATGTCTCGGACATGTCTCGGACATGTCGCTGAAGAGGGAGAGGATGTGCGACTCGGACCTATGGACATGTCTCGGACATGTCTCGGACATGTCGCTGAAGAGGGAGAGGAGGTGCGACTCGGACCTATGGACATGTCTCGGACATGTCTCGGACATGTCGCTGAAGAGGGAGAGGATGTGCGCCTCGGACGTGAAGTAGAGGCGCGTGCGGACATGCCGCGAGCTCGACTTGACGTCGGTGAAGGCGGACGGGTCGAGCTCGTGCACGCGCTCCTACGGGGAGATGCGGGGGAGGCAGGGGGGAGATGTGGGGGAGATGTGGGGGAGATGTGGGGGAGGTGTGGGGGAGGTGTGGGGGAGATGTGGGGGAGATGTGGGGGAGATGTGGGGGAGGAGATGTGGGGGAGATGTGGGGGAGATGTGGGGGAGATGTGGGGGAGGTATGGTCCAGCTCGTGCGCGCGCTCCTACGGGGAAGGCTCTCGAAGAAGGCTCGAGCGGAAGGCTCTCGGAAGGCTCCTCGGAGGGGGGCGTCGGAGGCATGCGCTCCTATGGACATGTCTCGGACATGTCTCGGACATGTCAGGGGGGGGGGGCGGTCGGAGGCACGCGTCTCCTCCATGTGTCGTTCTGCGTCCATGCCGGCAAGCATGTCCTACGGCAGGTGGGCGATCCTCCTCAGCAGCTCATTACTAGGCAACCGCTCCTCCGTTCTCAAGCATGTCCTGCAGCAGCTTGGCGAGCATCTGCCACGCGATCTGCAGGCCGACCGTCACCTTGTCCTCCGGCTCGATGCCGTACTCCTGCGGCACCACGTACGACGCGAGCGTGCGCGAGGCGCGGAACAAGCGCGGCAAAGCCTGCAGCAACGCACCGAAGTGACGGGACCGCCTCGGAGCCCTCTCGCACCCTTCTCGGAGCCGGCGCGGCTAGGGCCTGCAGCCCGAGGTGCTCGTTGTGGACCATGTCGTACAGCGCATTGTCGTAGATGTCTGGCACCTTTGAGGTGTCAAACACTTCCTTGCGCGAGCTGTACAGGTCCTTGTGCAGCTGCGCCCACCGGCCGAGCTGGAGGTGCGGCGTCTCGCCTAACTCACACCCAACTCGCCCCTAATTCACCCTTCCTTAGGCCGAGCTGGAGGTGCGGCGTCTTGCCGTTGGCTGCGGAATGCCTCGCCGGTGCCGCAACCTTGGAGGAGAGAGGTCACTCTTCACTATCAGCGAGCAGACAGCCTCACCATCAGCGGTGCCGCAACCTTGGAGGAGAGAGGGCCTGTGAACATCGTCTCTTCACACCTCTAGCTGTGAACAAGTGCCGCAACCTTGGAGGAAAGTTTGCCCGACGAGACAGCCACGTCGCGAGAAGGGACTCGAGGGATGCCGATGCTCGACGCGCCTATTAATGCATTGCTCGATGAGTGATTCACTATGAACTAGCAGCCCGAGGATGCCGATGCTCGACGCGCCGCCGCCCGCGCTGCTCCTCGCGCGTAGCTCCCGCACGAGCTCCTATTCACATCTCCCCACATCTCCCCACATCTCCCCATATCTCCCCGCGTAGCTCCCGCTCGAGCTCCTCGACTAGCTGGTGCAGCCGCTCGAGCGCCTGGCGCGGCGCCTTTGCATTCTCGCTCAGCCAGGCGGAGAGGAGGGAGTCGGAGGCGAGGCCGCCCTCCGCCGCCGTCGAGGGCGCCTGGCGCGGGAGATGTGGGGGAGATGTGGGGGAGATGTGGGGGAGATGTGGGGGAGATGTGGGGGAGATGCGGGGGAGGTATGTGTGGGGGGGGGTATGCCTGCGCCACGATCTGGCCATGCTCGAGTCCGCGCTCGAGTCCGCGCGGCTGCTTGCTGCTCGGCGAGGGGGGGCGGGACGACTCTTGCGCGGCGATGGCCCCTGCGGTAGTCTGCGGGCAGTTGAGCAGCTGCGAGATGACCGCCTTTGATCTGTCCATGCCGAGGCGGCCCTGCTCGTTCGTGTCGTCGAGCATGGCCGTCGCCGACTTGTCCTTGGAGACGAGTGAGGCGAGGATGGGGGGGAGGGCGCCCTCGAGGTCGAGGAAGCCCTTGGTGAAGGCGGCGGCCGTCGTCTGCACGCGCCCCTCATCCGAGGAGTAGATCTTGAGGTCGTGCCTGCAGGTGGAGTGACTCTGAATTAACCCCTCATCAACCGTAACTGACCCTTAATTGATTGAGGTCGTGCCTGTAGGTGGAGTGCAGCCGCAGCACCCCGCCGCCAACCTCGTCCCCCGGGTAGAGCGAGTTGCGGAACTTGGCGCCAAGGTACTCGGCCTGCGCCTCCCCGAGCGCCGTCAGCTCGCCTCCCCACTTGAGGATGAAGAGCGCCTGTTCACAGCTGCAGGTGTGAAGAGACGCTGCTCACAGCTCGCCTCCCCACTTGAGGATGAAGAGCGCCTCTACTGCGACCTCGCGCGAGGCTGGGGGCGCGGCGCCGCCGTCCGCTGAGCCCGCCTCCGGTACAGCAGCCCACTTCGAGGGCTTGATCTGGACCTTGCGGTTGATGCCGGAGAACGGGTGCGACTGCAGCACCTGCTGCACCGTGAGGAGCTTGTCGAGGTCCTCCTCGTACCTGGAGGAGGAGGCACCGGCAGTTACTACCACACAGTCAGCGTGAGGAGCTTGTCGAGGTCCTCCTCGTGCCTGTCCGAGGACGGGTCCGCCGCGCGCAGCTTCTCCTCCACAAGCCGCGAGACGATCTGGGTGAGCTCCTCCATGGCGCGGATCTTCTTGATCTTCAGCTCCGCGCGCGCGTCCTTGTTCTTGCCGAGCAGCGCGAGCAGGCGCGGCTCCGTGGTCTTCATCTTTAGCTTCTGCTTCGGCGTCCGGTCGCCGTGCCTCGTCAGCCCGATCACGCAGAGCAGCTCCGACTCCTCGGCGCCGGTCGGCGCTTGCAGCGAGGCGCGGGGCGGCACCACGTCTTGCAGCACCGAGTCTCTTATCGTCCGGTTGGGCGGCGGCACCTTGCGAGGCGTGCAGGGGAGGGGACGGTGGGCGGTGTCTGCTTGTGGAGTGGCAGACGGCTGAATGGCGGCGTCGGGCGGCGGCACCTGAGGCGCGCCTTGCGGGTGCCTCTCCACGTGGTGCGGGCCTGTTCACAGCAACGGCTGTGAAGAGACGCCCTTCTGCCGGCAGGAGCGCGTCTCCACGCGGTGTGCGCTGCAGGGGTGGCGTGGCGTGGCGTGCCGGGCAAGCACTCGACATTGGTCCGGCGAGAGATCCTGACTGAGCAGGCTGGCCAGAGGCTGGCCGCGTCTCTCGTCCAGACATCTACCTCCCGCGCAGATGGCGTGCAGGCAGTACTGGCGGAGGAGGTTGGCCGAGTCGGCCCAGAACTTGTGCGAGTCCTTGACGAAGGACCAGCCGTTGACGTCGCAGACGTACGAGCGGCCCTCCGATCGGAGCAGGTCGAACCCGCACAGCGTCTGGCCAAAGGCGAGGACCACCTTTCGCGCGATCTCCTTCTCGTCGTTGTTGAGGATGAGCGGGTAGCGCAGCTCCTTGCCGCGCGCGTTGCGAATCACCTTGCCGTCCACGACCGGCGACTTGCGCGCCTGACCAGACGCCACACGAGCATGCGTTCACACGGAGGAGTGCGAACGAGGACGGCCGGCTAGCGCGCCTCGGCGTGCGCGTACTCCGGGCCGACCGCGTACACCTGTCCATGTGTGAATAACAAGGCTGTGAATGGAGGTGTGACTGCGGGTGGTCGGTGCTGGGCGTACTCCTGGTGTGCGTGCACCTTTACGTCCGTCCCCTCGGTCTGAAGCAGCTCCTCGTAGATGTACGCCTCGCCCGACGTGGCGCGCGACTCATGCTCGTCGGGGTAGAACTGGGACGCCTTGTCGCCAACCTTGCGGAAGAGCCGCTTCGAGCCGCCGCCGGCGGAGCGCGGGTAGTAGATGCGGATGTCGTGGTCCTCGCCTGAGCTTGGCTTCTCGACGATTGGCGTCTGCTACCAGTTAATTCGCTGATTAGCTAATCACTTCCTCCTCGCCTGAGATTGGCTTCTCGACGATTGGCTTCTGCAGCCTGGCGCCGTCCACCTCGATGTAGTCCTCCTATGGACATGTCTCGGACATGTCTCGGACATGTCTCGGACATGTCCACCTCGATGTAGTCCTCCTGCTCGTCGACCACAGCGCTGCCCGGCTCGAGCACGACGTGCTTCGGAACGGGCACCCCTACCCCCTCGAGCTTTGCGTAGATGGCGCGCCGGTCGAAGAGCACCTTAGTAATTCATGAACGGCGATATTGACTCGTTAATCATTGACGGCAGTGATTAATTCAGGCGCCGGTCGAAGAGCGCCTCTTGCATCTGCAGGTCGTTGAACACGAACGGCTTGCGGAGCGTGGCGTACGCCTGCGCCTTTTGCAGCGGGAAGCCCGCCGAGAAGAAGGCGATCAGCGCCTAATCCAGGAGGAGTTAATTCACTAATTAATCACTGACTCCCCCGCGGAGAAGAAGGCGATCAGCGCCTAATCCAGGAGGAGTTAATTCACTAATTAATCACTGAATTAATCACTGACTCACCCGCTGAGAAGGAAGGCGATCAGCGCCTCGCACACGGGCCACGACGAATTCTAATCAGTCACTACTCAATAACGGATAACTAATTAATAACTAGTTAACCCGCCTCGCACACGGGCCACGACTCGACCGGCTCCTCGAGCAGCATGCGCTCGTCGAAGGACACGACCGCGAACTCGGCGTGCCCGTCGGCGCGGAAGGCCTGCAGCCGGTCCTCTTGCATCTGTCTCTCGGCCACCTCTCGGCTATCTCTCGGCGATCTCTCGGCGATCTCCCGGCGATCTATCGGCTATCTCTCGGCTGTCTCTCGGCCGTCTCTCGGCTCGGCTGCCTCTCGGCTGCCTCTCGGCGATCTCTCGGCGATCTCTCGGCGATCTCTCGGCGATCTCTCGGCGATCTCTCGGCGATCTCTCGGCGATCTCCCGGCGATCTATCGGCTATCTCTCGGCTATCTCTCGGCTGTCTCTCGGCCGTCTCTCGGCTCGGCTGCCTCTCGGCGATCTCTCGGCGATCTCTCTCCGCGGAAGGCCTGCAGTCGGTCCAGCGTCTCGAGCATCGGCCCCGACTTGGCCTTCTTGGCCATGCAGCAGACGCCAATCGTGATTGGCCTGCGGCGGCGGCGAGTGGCGGCTCAGAGTGGCGGAGGCGACGCAGGCCGCTGCTCCGGCGAGGGTCGCAGCGCCCGTCAGAGATCCGGCGCGTGACTGTGCTCGGAATGATCGACCGGCGAAGGTGCGACTGCGCAGCGAGCCGCTCCGCGCTGTGCTCCCGCTCGGGCGCCTCGGGCACGTGATGAGCGGCCACTGCGGCGCTCGGTCCCATGACCCGCACAAACATGCGGCCAAGCCGGCCAGCGATCGAAGCGGCGCGGGGCTCGGTGGCAGCGTGGACGTGGCGGAGTAGTGCCGCAGCGCGCGGGCCAACGACCCGCGTGAGCCAGCGCCGGAGGAGGTGGAACGCGGCGAGGATGCTCGCGTGAAGTCGCATATACATGTGTGGATGTGCTATATGGCTCGAAAAAGAAATAAGCAGGCCGCCGGATCGGAGGACGGCTCCAAAGGCCGATACAATCGAAGAATTCTTTTTTAAGCACTGGCCCACACCTCGCGCTCAAATCAAGTTCGGGACGCACGCAACAGTCTACAGGACGTGGCCTCGAGGTCGTGTCGAGCGGCACGTACATGCCAGGCGCGCGCGTCCAGCAGCGCGTGCGAGCTGGTCCTGGAGGAGAGACTCGCAACGCGGCCGTGCTGGAGGCCACTCCGTACCAACTAAGCCGCTTCCTCGAGCGCAACATCAGCCTCTGCAGCGGAACCGCCAACATCAGAGGCGTGAGGTGCGCCGGCGCCAAGGTCGATGAGGTCAGGATCTCGGGCGCGGGCGAGATTCCGAAAGAAATAAGCAGGCTTACGGAGCTGCGGGGCCTCTGGGTCATCTCGCACCGTGTGACAGGCACATTGCCTAAGCAGCTTGCCGATCTCACCACACCTCCGCTGCTCAATGTTTGACGGCTCGAACCCGTGAAGCTTCCCCGTGCGCTGGTTACCCCGCTCACGGGTCAGCCTGCCAGCCACGTACCCACGCAAGCGTGGTCCGCGTGCATGGCATACAGGCGTCCGCCAGACAGCGCAGAGGCTGTATGTATGTATGTAGAAAGATGAACAACAGTCAGGCTCGGACTGGACACCAACGCGGTATGGGTGGACGCAAGACAGATGATGACGACACGCACGAGCGACACACAGACACCAACAAGCTCACAAGACACACAGCCAGCTGGCTGCCACACACCCTGAGTTGGCGTACACATAACTCAAGGCCGCGCCCCCCCCCTGTCGCCTCCCCCAGCCAAGGTGCCGAAGGAACAAACAAGGGCACAACAACACAACAGACGACAGGGGCGAGCGCGTGAGGCTAGAGCAGGCTTGCTCGTCCTCTAGCAATCTCCGCCGACCGCGAGGCCGGACTAGACCGTGTGTGGGGTCGTGTGAGGTGTCTCTGGTCACTCTCCTCAGAGGCTAGCCGCCAGCCGCTAGCCCTATCTCGCACTCACTGGCGGTGACAATTCTAATGGGGTTTGTGGAGCGTCCAGAGATGTACAGAATGTGCAGTCCAGAAGGTGTACAGAAGGTGTACAGAAGGTGTACAGAAGGTGTACAGAAGGTGTACAGAAGGTGTACAGAAGGTGTACAGAAGGTGTACAGAAGGATGTACAGAAGGTTGAAGGATCAGTAACCAGCCTCCGGCGGGGCCCCCCGCTACCATCCAAACCCGAGACCGGTCTACTAATCATAGATAGAGGCTCAAGCTGCGTGACATAAGTCCACACACATATACGACATACAGATACACATACACAAAGCAACTCTCACTCACGACACACGGGCACCGGGTAGAGCGGCGGCGGCGGCGGCAGCAGCACGCGCGGACGGCCGGACTCGGACGGGGCGGAGCAGCGACCGCCTGGGCGGCCGCTGCTCTGTCTGCCAGAGCGCGCCGTCTGCCTGCGCAGCTCGCGCGGTCAGGTGCGGGGAAGCGTGGCGGCGCGGGGAAACGCGGCGGCGGTGGCGGCGGCGGCGGCGGCAGCAGCACGCGCGGGCGGACGGATTCGGACGGGGCGGAGCAGCGACCGCCTGGGCGGCCGCTGCTCTGTCTGCCAGAGCGCGCCGTCTGCGCAGCGCCGTCAGGTGCACAGGGAAGCGTGGCGGCGCGGGGACGCGTGGCGGCGGTGGCGAGCAGGCGAGCGGCCCGCGCGCGGCGAGGCGGACAGGTGATCGGCAGGCGGGTGATGGGCTGGAGAGTGACCGCGCCCAGCGATCGGAGCCCATCGTCGCTCGGCCGCAGCTGATCTCGAAGGCGTGCGGAGCGCGACTGTCGGTGTCGGGGGGCGGCCGTCATGTGGCGAGGAGGGAGGACGACAAGTGCGCGTCGTACGGGTCGCTCTTCATCGGCCAGTCGAGCGGCACTCAAGTCGAGACCGAGCATGGGCGACGAAAGCCGGTGGGGGCCGGTGAGGCCGGCGAGATTCGTTGTGAGACGAGGGTTGCCCTGGACCGATTTACGCCCCGGCGGGGATGGATTTGCGGGTTTCCCCGTGCCGCGAGACTTGGGCATGTATCTCCCGCGATGTGTCGCGGACAAACCCAAGTAGACGCCCCTTGGGCGGGATCGCGTCTTACTTACACAAGAGGAACTATAACACATCGCTAGTCATGTACAATCATGAGAACTGGGTCCAGGCTCCTTAGTGAGGTGGTCTCCCAGTCTAGCGCACCTCGCGCCCGGCGGGCGGCGACCTGTCCGTCCACCGACCCCTCCGCCCGCGCGTGCCACCGCCGCCTCCACCGCCGAGTCGAAGAGCCGTCGTAGACCCGTCGTCCGTCCACCGTGTGGTACGCCGCGAAGCGGCCCGACGCCCAGAGGGAAGTCGGCGGCCGCGCGAGCCCGACGCCTGCTCCTGCTTGCGCACGCCTGCGTAGCCGGTGCTGCTGCGACTCGAGAGGTGCAGCCGCCAGCCCTGCGCCTCTGTCACCACCGCCGGCGCCTCCCCCGCGGGGCCCATGTGGGATGGACCTGCGAAAGCGCGGGGAAGGGAGAGTGCATTCAGAAGGCAGAACCTGAGCACAAGTGGGGGGCTTGCTCGCGAGCCTTGACTTGCATCGACTTGATTACAACGCGGAGCCATCGCGGGTAGCCAGAGGCGGCGGACCGAGCAGCATGGGCGGCGTGTCATTCTGCAGTCGATCGCCGCCGAGCGGCATAGCGGCGCCGTCGCGGGTAACCAAAGGCGGCGGGACGGCGGGCGCTCCGCGGCCGAGTCGGAGCCGCCTCTAACTCGGCGAGGCGGCGCCGCAACGCGGCCGGAAGGTGGATTGGGCGGCGGTGCGTGCGACGGACGAGGCAGCCGACGCGGGGGCAGGCCAGGCGGCGGGCAAGGCGGCAGGCGCAGCGGCGGAGCGGGCGGTCGTTCAGGCGGAGGTCCGGCGCAGGCCGCGCGCTCTCAACGCCTCGTCGCTCGCCGCGCGCGGCCGCGCGCTGCTGCCTCCCCTCCCTTCCCGCGCCGCGCGCGAGGAGGCGTCCGCGCGCGGCGGCAGCGCGCGCGGTGGCGCCCCCTCCCCGCCCTCGCGCGGCCCTCCGCCCGACACCCCCTCGCCGTGGCGCGCCGCGCTGGACAAGGAGAGCGGCCGCACGTACTACTGGAACGAGCAGTCGGGCGAGACGAGCTGGGAGAAGCCGCAGCACGCGCCTGCGCCAGCGAGGGCAGCGCGCGGCGGCGGCGGCGGAGGAGGCGGCGGCGGCGGCGGCGGCGGCGGCGGCGGCGGCGGCGGCGGCGGCGGCGGCGGCGGCGGCGGCGGCGGCGGCGGCGGCGGAGGCGGAGGAGGAGGAGGAGGAGGAGGAGGTGCGAGTGGCGACGCGGCGACGGCGGCGGCCTCGGAGCCTGGCGCGGCGGCGGCGGGGCCCGAGTCCAGGGAGGGTGGCGGCGGCCTGGCGGCGCTGCGCGCGAAGCTGGCCGCCCTTCGCGAGCGCGAGGCGAGCCGCGGCGGCGACGCGGACTTTAGATTTAGTAGTGGCCAAGCGACCGGTAATAACTCTTTCTGAAAAATCCGACTTCTCCTTTCTTTCTGAGAGTTCCAAGAACCCACTAGCACTCTAGCTCACTGCCCGAAACAAACTCGCTCGTCGCTTGCGAGCACTTATGCTCGTTCCGGAGGCTGGGGCACTCGTCGCTCGCTAGGACCTAGGTCTCACACGTACAAGCTCTGATCCATCACGTGCGGCCGGCGCCGATCAGGTGCGGCCGTCTCGTCATGCTTGCTGCTTGCGCGGCCTTGGCTGGCACTTGCAGTGCTCAAGCGTACCTCAGCCATCTCCAGCCAGGCTATGCCTCTCTCGGCCCCTCGGCGGACACGCGTCCCCGGCAGCTTTCGGGAGAGAGATCGCGCGCGAGCGAGACTGCGCTGCAGCAGCGTGCCACGCCCCCCCGCGTTCGCAGGCAGGAGACCCTGGAGATCGACAGTGACTCCCGTCGAGGCCGGGTTCTGCTCGAGCGCCTGAAAGGCGGCGTTGCGCACTGTCCACTCGAACTCCGCCAGCATATGCGGCACCGTGTCCATGTCCGCCGTGCCCGTGAAGCGCGCCTTTGCGATCTCTGCGCACGCCTCATCGAGCACCTCTAGCGGCCTCCTCTCACACTCCCGCGCCACTGGTGCCGCCGCACTACTAATGTCGTACACCTTTGCGCGGCTCGACTCCGCCCTCTGGAAGCGATCCGACAGCGCGCTGCCTCGCGCCTCAGCCTCCTGCCTCGCCTTTGTCAGGTGCGCCAGCACCGTCATCGCTACGCCCTGCTCGAAGATGCACCACCCGCGGCCGCCCTCGCCCTCGTACGGCGTTGGGTTGTACTCCCCCGGCCCGAACCCGGTGGTCGCGCCTGGCGGGAGGTCGATGTTGCGCTGCTGGATCACCGCCGTGCCGGTCACGCTCGCGTAGAAGTTCCCCATCACTTTGAGGCCTCGCCCGAATATGCTCTTCTCCTCCTCGGTCTTCTCCTCCCCGTTTGGGCCCTTCTGAGGGAGGCTCGCAAAGTCCCAAAAGAGCCCGACATCGCTTGCCTCGGCTCCCTCGCTCGTGGCAGGCACATTCCACGGATTCTGCTCGAGGCTCCTCGGAGACACTCGTTTCGCCGCCTGCGTGGCCGCGTCAGACTCAAGAAAGCGGCGGACAGAGGCGAGCGTGGTGCCGTGCGGATCCGGGTGCAGCGCCGTCAGCCATCCGTAAGAGAGGACTACGATAGACCGGTCGCCTCGCTCGAGCAACGCCACCGCCTCATCGCACGGGACGAAAGCGTCTTCAGGAAGCTCCTGTCGACGGCGCATGATGACCGCTCCGCTGTCGTCGCGTGCAAGGCTCGCGTCCGCCTCCGGCGACTGCATCCAGCTGCCGCTGACCAGCCGGATCGAGCCATCGTCAAGGCGCTCCTTCAGCATGGCGTCGATAACGCTGTCCGCGGAGGCCAGCGCGGCGGTGAAGTCAATAGAGGCGAGCACTTCCTTGGTGCGCCGCAGCTGCCGGACGGCGTACACGCCGCCGGCGACGAGGCCTCCGAGCAGAACGGCGGCGAGGAGGATTTCGAGAACGATGTGGGCGACCCGGTCGCCGGGAAGCGCGGTGTAGACGCAAGCGAGCACGAGCAGCAGCACGTTGGAGCGAAAGAGCCAGGACTCGAGGGCGTTCTGAAACAGGTAGACAAACGGCTGGGCCCGCTCGTGCTCGTGCCAGAAGAAGAGGATGGCGGCGATGGCGGCGGACGCGAAGCAATACGGCAAGGCGGCCTCGAGCGTTGCAGACTCGACATGGTCCCGCGAAACCCGGCTACCAACCGCGAGGGAGAAGATGACCAGCTGACGCCTCCAGATCGTGAGCTGCCAGCTGCTGGCATGGCCGGCGAAGCGGCTCGTGAGGAAAGCAACCTGCCGCTCAAGGCGGCGAGGGAAGATTAGCTCACGGGCCGCACATGAGCACGAGATGACGGGAGGCGAGCGCCATTCGCCGCTGTCGAGACCTCGCCGGAAGCTAATCACGTTTTGAAAGAGCCGGTAGGCAAGCAAGGGCTCGACGCAGACGAGGACTATGAGCGACGCAAACACCGCCTGATGCGAGTCCAGCGTGTCGGGGTGCCACCGGCGGCTGAGCGGGTCGGGGATGTAGAAGGAGAGGACGTCCATGATGACGCTCCAGCTGGAGGTGAGCAGGACGGCAAAGGCGATGCTGTGCACGAGCTCGGCGCTGTCGCGGAATCCGCTGTGGCGCAAGGCGAGCCGGTGGGCTGATAGGCTCGCTGAGGCTCTGTCAATGCCTGACTTGACAGTCCTCAAGCCACGAGCAATCAGCCGCCAGCTGTCGAAACCCGCGTGACCCATGACCCTCGCACAAAAGTCCGCAACGCACAGCAAAGAAACGACCACGAATAGGCCAGCCTCGTGAAGGAGGAGGAGGATCGCCTGGCAAAGGAGGAGGGCCAGCTCAGCAGCATAATTGACAACCAGCGGGGCCAGCATAAGCGACATGATAGCGATCATGATGGCCGCGTAGAGCGTCAATACTACGTCGGGCGAGACGAGGCAGCTCGCGTCCGGCAGAGCAATGATGTGCAGCCGCAGTATCTCGATGATGATCTCGAGAGACCGCGGCCACTCTAGGTGGAGCGAGCCGATGAGGGACACCATCTGCACGTGATTGACAAAGATGGCGACGGTCGACACCCACCGCTTCATCGCTGTCGGGTGGCGGAGAATGCGCGCTGCAAACCACCCGAGCGCAGCTAGCGCCACCAATGCCAGGGCGGCGATGCCGGCGATGGCGGCAGTCATAGACTCTCGAAAGGAGTCGCAATTGACGCACTCGAAAGTGTCTTTGATGTTTACTTCCCAGAGGCCTGCGAAGGCTGTGCAGGACTTTGGCGGCACGCCGGTGCAGGTCGCCTCGCCGCTTCGGCAGCGCTGCAGGGCAGCTTGCAAGCCGTCCAAACTAGCCGCGTCGCTTGGGTACAAAAAGTCGTTGCCCTCCAGCTCGATCCGAGTCAAAGCGAAGCTCCCGAGCTGCTTTGGGATCGAGCCTGTGAGGCCGCGGCCCGAGAGGTCCAGAGTATTGTAGGTGTATGTGCCGTCGCAAATCGCGGGCGCGTAGCCGCAGAAGTCGCGCGTAGGCGGCGGCGAGGGCGGCGAGGGCGGCGGTGAGGGCGAGGTCGGCCGCGAGGGCCGCGGCGAGGGCGGCGAGGGCGGCGGGTAGTTGCACTCAGGAAGGGAGTCCGAGCCCACCCCCGTCCTGCCAGTCATGCCTGCAAGTACATCGAAAATACTTCCCGAGGTGCAGACGTTGGGAAGGGCGGGCAGGGGGCAGGCAAAGTGGTTGGTGCCGCCCAGCTCGCAGGACGTCAGCGGCAGGTTCTTGAGCTGCGACGGCACGGTGCCGGAGATGTCATTGTCGTTCAGTCTAAGATTCTTCAGCTGCGAGAGCTTGCTCGTCTGCGGAGGGATGGTGCCCGAGATGGAGTTGCTGCCCAGATCAAGCTCCTGCAGCTGCGATATGTCGCCCAGCTGCGGAGGGATCGTCCCCGACAGCAGCCCTCGGTTGGACAGATAACCGTGCCGTCGGTCAAGCTCCTGCAGCTGCGACAGCCCTGGGTTGGACAGATACACCCAGGTGCCCGTGTAGGTGCCGTCGCACAGCGACGTGCCGTACACGCCGGTAGGCAGCCGGAGCATGGCACGTTGTTGTCGCAGACCGTGCCCCCGGCCTCGCAGCGACCCGCCAGAAGAAGGAGCGCGAGCGGGACGAGGCGCGCCGAGGAAGAGGAAACCGCCAGCAGCGTGAGAGCGAGTGAGTTTGCCAGCGTCATGGCGGGCGATCGCGCAAGCCGAGCTCGCGTCGCCGCGCAGCCGCTGGAGCACGCGTGCTTTCCACCGATGCGGGAGGATGCAGGTGCGGCGCGCGATGCGAGCGCGGTCGAGGCCGAGGCGAAAGGTGGCGGAGGAGCGAATGCCATGTCCAGGACGAGCGATGAATTCTTTTTTTTTGAGCTTAGCCTTCGATGTTATGAAAACACGCAAGGCGGACATGGCATATCGCTCTCGGGCTCACAGACATCCCTCACACCCGCCGCCCCCGCGCGCGCCCCACCCCGGCCGGGAGAAAGGGGAGTGACAGTTTGGGATGGCAACAGCCCGAGTATTTTTTTTTGCGCCTTCGTTGTTAATCTTTTTGTGACACACCTGGCACACGCACGCTCTCTCGAGGTCTCTTGGAGCAGCTGCTGCACGCGTACCACTGCCTCGAGGCGAATCCGCACCTGCACTCGCTGCTGGTGAAGAAGTCGTCCAAGTCGCAAGCAGTTCTTCACCTACATCGAGCGATTTTTCCGCAAGTACCCGGGGCGCGGCCTGCCGGAGCTGCCGCTCGACCGGATCCTTCGCGACGACGTCTACCGCGAGCATGAGAGGTCAGTCGAGTCGTTCAAGAAGGAGCTGGCCGAGCTCGCCAAGCGCGTCACCAAGGCGGAGGCGGCTGCGGCGGAGGCCCAGCGGGCCGCCGAGGAGGCGAAGCGGTCGGGCAAGTCGGGCGCCAAGACCTGCTTCTGGTGCGGCGAGGAGGGGCACGTCAAGCCTGACTGCCCCGTCTTCAAAGCCGATTTGCCGAAGGTCAAGAAGGGCAACTGACGCCCGCGGGACCTAGCCCCACCGCCTTGCCCCGCTCGCTCCGCGTGACACTCACGCGCCGCGGGCGGGGCTCGGGACGGTGAGGCGCCCCACCGCGCCGTTGCAGCCCGGGCTCATGAAGGGAGAGCCGACGCCCTTAACAGGGTGGCTCCTTCTCTGATCCCCGCCCGGGCAGCCCGGCGTTTTTCTGTGTTTCCACCTCACAGAGGTGGTGGCGCCTCTCCTCCCCCACACCAGGGCGAGGCAGGCGTCTCCTCCCCTGGTGGTGGTCGTGTGTTTGGTGCGTCGTATGTGGTAGTCGTTCGTCCCAGTGACAGAGTTTTGGAGTCAGCGCTGAGTTCGGTTGTCTCAACTCGTACTGTGGACGATGGTCCGGCCCCGGCGGAAGCCGAGGGCGAGGGTCGAGGGTACCTTTTCCCCCCTTTGCTATTAACAATGCTTTGGAATCTATGAACATGACCTCGAGTGGAGCCCCAGTCCTCGACAGGCTCTAACCCAAAACAACCTGACGTGGCGGCGGCAAACATCGGCAAAGGGAACAGGCGCCTTGTTGCCGATCTGAAGCTCACGAGCTCGCTTTCGAGCACGGACAAGGACGGAGGGCTCGGCTGGAAGGGGGCGTATGTCCGCTTCGGCAACACGGAGCCCGGGCTGCTCAGTTTGGTCAAAGGGCGCGGCAGTGGCAGACGGTAAACGAGCTAGCATGCGGGGAGAGCGGCATTGTGCACGGTGCGGCTCCGGTGGTGTGCCGGTGTGTGTGCCAGTCCGCGCCTGCAGTCTGCGCCCTTTGTCGTGCCGGTGATTCTTTTTTGCGAAATCCCCGGAGGGGTTCCAACTTTTTGCGGGGTATGGTATGGTACTCACGCGGCCCAAAGGGTGGGGGGGTATGGTCCTGACCGCCCATCCCCGGTCTCCGGGAGGCTGGGTCTGACAGCAGGCGGGGGGATATGATCTCGAGGTGGGTAGCCGGAGGCTACCATACCCCGCAAAAAAGTCCGAACCCGGGCGCCGGCGTAAAGGATATCCACCTCGAGAACCTCGAGAACCGGCGTAGGATTCCGGCTCCTACCGATACCCGGGTAGGGGGTCCCACGATGCTGCGATGTCTTCTGCTGTGCCTCGCTGCGAATGCCGCGGCTGCGATGAGCATCGGCGCTGCGAGCATCGGCGCTGAGAGCAGCCGGCGCATGCTGCTGCTGCACGGGTCCGGCACGAGCGCGGGCGCGTTTGTAAACTCGCCGACCGCCTCTGGCGCAAAGAGGTTTCTCGCCGGCGTGCCGCGCCGCGCTGATGCCGGCGCCTCCATCCCTCCCAACTGGCAGTACCACGCCCTCGACGCGGGCACAGACGACGGCAGCTGGTGGACGGGTGACGACGGGAAGGGCCTCGAGAAGTCGGTCGCCTCTGTGGAACGAGCGCTCGTCGAGCAGGCTGCGGTGGGGATCGTAGGGCACGAACAGGGGGCGACCTTGGCCGCGATTGTCGCCGCACGCTCTGCGCTGGGCGAAGGGCCGCGGATCAAATTTGCGGTCCTCTGCGGCGCTGCCATGCCGCCACCGCCTCATGCGGCGCTGCTGCACCGGCTGAGAGACGACTCGGCGGCGGGCGCTGTGCAGACGCTGCACTGCATCAGCCCCACCGACTCGGACTCGGCGGCTGTGGCAGCCTGCTTTGGTCAGGAGGCGGAGACGCTCTTCCACGATGGTGGCGGCGCAATGCCGGGTCCAGGCTGGTGGGAGGAGACGAGAGGCTACCCTGAGCGCGTGACGGGCGGCCGGTTCTGGTGCACGCAGGTCGGCCCCGCTCGCTACTATGCCACAGGCAACATGGTGATGTAGGCCTAGGCGGGCAGGCGAGCGCACACTCACACTCTCGCTCGACACGTCTTGTCTCGACGGTTGGTTGTGAGGTTGTCTCACACGCTCGACACTGATCACTGTCTGTGATACAGCTCGATATCTCAAATCATTTCATCCGGAAACGTTAACACACCGGAACCGCGTGGTGGACTATCTTTGGTATATCGCAACCTGAGTAGGCTCGCTCTCTCACATGGGCGCCAGCGGGGAACTAGCCGCCTCAGCCAACAACTTTAGCCCTGCCAATCCGCTCGCGTCTCAGGTCGGGCGGGGACCTGTTCCTACCTTTTCACCCATCTCCTCGTGAGGGCCCATTTTATTATTTACTTATTTTTCAGGTCGCTCGCGTGGTGCCTTGGTCACCACAGCGCCTCCAGGTTGTCCGCCTCCTCTCGCTCCTCGACCAACAGCCGCAGCGAGACGGCCTCGAGCCGCTCCACGACCTCGGCCAGCTCCCGTTGAAGCTTCGCCTCCCTGTCCGCCACCGCGAACTCGACCAGTCGGCTGTCGCCGTCCGCCGCCTTGACCTCCTCCACCTCCTCCTCCAGCAGCAGGGCGGTCAGCGCGCGCAGGCCCTCCTGCTCCTTCATCGCGCGGGCGTGCTGCTGGTGCCGCACGCGGATCCGCGACACCGCGCCCACGAGACCGCCGCCGTGCTCCTCCTCCTCCTCCTCGGCCAGCCTCGCGCGCAGCCGCTCGTAGTCCACTGCCGCCGCGTCCGACGGCTGCGAGACAGGGTTGAGCGCGTGCGCCTCGTGCGCGTGGATCGTCGCCTCGAGGTGCTTGGCCGCCTGCTCGGCCGCCAGCATCTGGCGAGCGAGCGAGCGACTCGGCCCGAGATCCTTCTTGACGGCGGCGAGCTCCTCAAAGAGGTCTGCCACGGCATCGCCGAGTTCCGGCTCGAGAGCACGTGCCCGGTTGGCGAGGTCGCGAGCCTCATGGCGCGACACGTGGTCCACAGACCCCACCATCCTGAGCCACTTCAGCAGCGAGCGCCGAGCCTCCCACGCGAGCTCAGGAGCCAACCGCTCGGCGTGCCGTGCCAACGCAGCGAGATCTGGTGAAGCTACTCCTCCGAGGCGGTCCAGCCCTGAGCCCGCCCTCAGCACCTTGATCAGCGTCTTTGAGGCCGGCAGCGCAGCGCCGAGCGTCTGTGCGGGCACCGCAGCGGCGCTGAGCGTGCTCAAGCGGCGAAGGAAGAGCATGCACGGCTTGGCTTCGGTGGAATGTGAGCGAGCGTGCCACAATCGTGCCTATTCTTGAATAAAGAAACCAGCCCGTGCCGCCACTGGGAGCGGCGGCGGGTGGCGAGGCCCGTGTCGAGGGGCAAAACAGCGTGCGCGCGCGCCGCGGCGGCTGGCGGCTGGCGGCTGGCGGCTGGGTTCCGGCTCCTAGGGGGTCCACGGCACCAAAGTGTGCTGTGAGACGCGCCTGTTCTTCTCTTCCAAACTAGCCGCGCGCGGCGCCGTGTCGTCTGCATACGGGGTGCGATACCTTTTTTTTAGGAGAGAAAGCCTCTCGTTCGTTTGCGGTTTAGTGGTGAGGATGTGATGTGAGGACCTCAACTTTTTTACTCACTCTTTAGTTCATGGTGGCGGCGTGCCGTCCTCCCATCCCTCCTTTTAACAAAGATGATGTTACAAACACGTGGGTGAATGGCATTTGCACAACATCAGAGAGACGCTCTTTGCACAACACAAGACGGTAGTTCTGACTCTCAACAGCTCCTATATTAGGGGGAGCTATGCAAGAGAGAGAGAGAGAGAGGGAGAGGTCGCGATTGGTACCCCCGCTCGGTCTGAGCGCAAACTAAGGCGCAGCGGATGGAGTAGGATGGCTGGGCCGCTACGCCGTGGGGAGTGGGCGGGAGAGAGGTCCTCACATCAGACAGAGGTCCTCACAGACGTCCTCAGTCTGCTTTTGAGGACCTCTCTCTTGATGAGAATGGAGGGAGGAGCGGAGAATTTTACAACAAAGCTCCCTCTCACGACACCGGGCACGACTGGCGCGCACTGGCACTAACTCAGGTACACCACGAGGTATCAACGTGCGCCCACGGGAGCTAATAATAAGGGGGGCAGAAGCCGCAGCCCACATTATCACTCGTGAGGACCTCTTTCGTGAGGACCTCTTTCGTGAGGGCCTCTCTCGGGACGGCTCTCTTTCCATGCTTTGCCCGCTGCTCTCGTCGCAGCTTGTTCCCGAGCTACGCACCCCTCAAGGAAGAGGCCCTCGTGCGATCTTATTCACATCTCTATGACGGCGACAAGTCGAATGCGTGATGGAGGTTTTGTTTATGCTACAAAATAGGTCTGAAGATAGCAACGTCCATGCATGTATATCTTTGTGCGGGATGGCATTGTACTGTCAACGATGTGTGTAGCTAGGGGAAACACAAAATGACGATTTCACGGTGATGGGGCATCACGGCTCGAGTGCCCTCTGGGGCACTCAGCTCTTCCATGCTGCGTTATGCAAGCGTCCCGGCAGATACCAGAGTGGCAAGGGCAAGACACGGCGCGCTGTAACCGTAAGCGGCCATCGCGAGCGGCACAGCTGGCGTACTTCTACTGTAGAGTAGCGCGAGCGTAGGGCTCTGAGAGTGCCTGATAAATAAACAATAAACGGACACCCCTCTCACGCACAGAGGACGACAGACACAGAGGTGAGCACACTGAGCAGGAGTCGAGATGGGAGCCTAGATGAGAGCAAGTCCCCGCCCCCCCACATGCGATCTCTGAGTGCCAGTGCGCGCCAGTCCCGTGCCCAGTGTTGTGCGAGGGAGTTTTGTTGTAAAATTCTCTGAGTGAGTTTTGCGCGCATTTTCGTACTAACTTTCTTAGTAATCACATTGTTTTGCATCATTCATGAAGTCACACGAGACGGTTAGCGACCGAGCCATGCGACCGAGCCATGTGACGCTTTGCGGCGCGTCATAGTGACGTACTTGGTGCGTCTCGAGCTGGCCAGCTAGGAAGGTGGACGATCGGTTGCGTCATAACCCATTCCACGGGCACTGTCGGCCCACGGCCTCACCCCGTGAACACGTAGCCTCCCGTCTCTGCGGCGTACCACTCAATGGGCGTCTTGCTCGCCAGCCCGTCCCACGCCGGCCAGCCGCCCCGCCTGTCCAGCGCGGAAAGCCATAAATTCTTTTTTCCAAACATAGCCGCGCCGTGTCGTCTGGCGCGATGAGGCTCCTCATAACGCTCATCCCGCTTCTCGCCGCGGCGGCGACCGCCGAGGAGGCGGAGGCCGTCGGTCCCGTCATCGGCATCGACCTCGGCACTACCTATTCCTGCGTCGGAGTCTACCGGAAGGGCAAGGTGGAGATCATCGCCAACGAGCAGGGGAACCGAGTGACGCCGTCGTGGGTGGCGTTCACCGACGACGGCGAGCGGCTGGTCGGCGACGCCGCGCGCTCGCAGTCGTCGCTCAACCCGGTAAACACGATTTACGACGCGAAGCGGCTCATCGGCAGAGGCTTCCGTGACGAGGAGGTGCAGAAGGACGCGGAGCACTGGCCGTTCAAGGTTGTGGCGACGGCGGAGGGCAAGCCCGCGGTCGAAGTTGCGGCGGGCGGCGCCACCAAGCGCCTCCTCCCTCAGGAGATCTCGGCGATGGTGCTCGGGAAGATGAAGGGCGTCGCAGAGGCGTTCCGCGCGGCAAGTGACGGCGCCACCCGTGATCTTGTAGTTGTCACCGTCATCAGTTTCGTCACACTAGGCCTTCCTAGGGGAGGAGGTGCGCAACGCGGTGGTGACCGTCCCCGCCTACTTCAACGACGCGCAGCGCCAGGCGACCAAGGACGCCGGCACCATCGCTGGGCTGAATGTGATGCGGATTCTGAACGAGCCGACCGCTGCGGCGCTCGCTGAATATGAATGAATACTGTCAACTAGTATGAATCACTTCGGGCAGACTCATTCACTTGTCGACGCCTCGCCAGGCGCTCGCGTACGGCCTCGACCGCTCGAGCGACTCGGGCGCGAACGTGCTCGTGTTTGACTTGGGAGGAGGAACGTTCGACGTGTCGCTCCTCTCCATCGATGCGGGCGTCTTCGAGGCGATCCCGGCGGCGGGAGACGCCGAGAGTGCGCGAGATTGCGCGAGACTGCGCGAGATTGCGCGAGGGTGCGCGAGGTTGCGCGAGGGTGCGTGAGGTTGAGATGAGGCGGGAGTGCCTCCCCCCCCGCAGGTTCTCGCCACGGCGGGCGACACACACCTCGGGGGCGAGGACCTAGACAACCGGCTCGTCGAGTACCTGCTCGGCCTGCACGCAAGGAAGCACCCCGGCGCGACGGTGACCTCCCCCTCCGCCAAGGCGAGGCTGCGGCGCGAGGCGGAGCGGACGAAGCGCGCGCTGTCGTCGGAGAGTTCTGCGCGCGTCGAGGTCGAGTCGCTCGCGGCGGGGCGAGACTTTTCGGAGACGGTGACCCGCGCCAAGTTTGAGGAGCTGTGTGCGGACCTCTTCAAGGCGACCCTTGCACCGGTGCAGCGCGTGCTGACGGACGCAAGGGTGAGCAAGCGCGAGGTGGACGAGATCGTCCTGGTCGGCGGCTCGACTCGCATCCCAAAGGTTCGGCAGCTGCTCAAGGACTTCTTCAACGGCAAGGAGCCGAGCACGGCCGCCTATGAAAAAAGAAATACGAGGCGCGTCTTTCTTTTTTTCATAGGCAAGGAGCCGAGCACGGCCGTCAATGCTGACGAGGCGGTCGCTTACGGCGCTGCGGTGCAGGCGGGCGTTCTCTCCGGAGAGCGCGACAAGGTGACGGAGGAGCTGCTGCTGCTGGACGTTACGCCACTGACCCTCGGCCTCGAGGTGACGGGTGGAGTGATGGACAAGGCCATCCCGCGCAACAGCCGTCCTCCTCGTCATCAGTTCGTTCGCTAGTTGATTGGTGAATTCGTGCGTCAGGTCATCCCGCGCAACACCGTCGTGCCGGCGAGCGCGAGCAAGACCTACACCAACCAAGAGGACGGCCAGGCGGCCGTCTCAAACAAGGTGTTCGAGGGAGAACGGCAGCTGACGAGGGTCAACCGCCTCCTCGGCCAATTTGAGCTGTCCCGCTATCAGTCAGCTGATTAATTGCTCATGCATAATGACAGGACAACCGCCTCCTCGGCCAGTTCGAACTCTCCGGCTTCCCCCCGATGCCAAAGGGCTCCGCGCAGATCGAGGCGTCCGTCCGCCGTCGCGCGCGCGGCGCCGTCGCCGTTGCCGAGGGAAGTTTGACCGCCTGGGCCGATGACAGGTGACGTTTGACATCGACGCGAATGGGATCCTCGCTGTGAGCGCGCGCGAGCACACGTCGGGCGTCAACGCAAAGATTACAATCACAAACTCGGACAAGCTCAACCAAGACGAGATCGAGAGGCCCGTGGCGCGGGGCGGGAGGGGCTGTGAATTGGCCACGAATGACCGAGAGTGAGTGAGTTGATCACAGGCTCGTGCGCGAGGCGGAGGACTACAGGCGAGAGGACGAGAAGGCGCTGGCCAAGCTGCAGGCCTGCTCCTCGCGTGCCAGTAGCAACAGCCAATCGGCAAGAGTGCGAGTACCGAGGGTGGCGTTAGGCCCGCGCCGCGCTCGAGGGGTACATCTACTCGATCCGGAAGGAGCTCAAGGAGCGGGGCGACGAGATCGAGGACGCGCACCGCGACGAGATCGACAAGGCGCTCGAGCTCGTCGACGACTGGCTGGACAGCGACGCCGACGAGGCCCGTCTCCCGCCCGTCTCCCGCCCCGCGCGGAAGAGCTGAACACTTGGACCCCGCAAGCTAAAAGCCGAGCTCTAGCCTCCGGTTTGCAACTCGACGTCATGTCGAGGAGCGGTTCGCTCGACTCCTTGGCGAGAAGGTGACGAACCTTCGGTGCTTTGTTAGGCGTCCAGCCCCGCCCCATTCGAGGAGAGGCTCGCCGAGCTGCGCGACTCGAGCGTCGAGCCTCTGCTCCGCAAGTACAGGGGGGGCGCCGGGCCGGGCGGCGGGGAGGGCGACGAAGACTTTTACGGCACGCCCGAGGAGCACGAGGAGTTATGATCGTGCGCACCGAGCGCAGGCGCAGCATCGCGCAGCAGCATGCCATGCGTGCGTTGCGGCGGCTTGCTTCCCCATCACCCAACCTTACCCAGAAATATCTATGTGTTTTTGACATCGTGTGCGGGACGGAGAGAGAGAAATAGAGAGCAGGGCGCCGCGGCGAGCGAGAGCGACCGTGGGTGCGGTTTTTCGGTGCTGCGATAATCTCACTAAGACAGCATGTAAGACAGTCAGATAAAAAGCCGAGCGAGCCGCGCGTACGCGCGTCTACAGACTACACTCGAAGAGACTCGTCCCAGTACTGCGAGATATCGTCTCCGTCCCCCTTCTGCTCATGTCGTAACCCTCGCAAATAACCCAGTCTGAGAAAGACAGTAACTAGCACAGGGCACAGGAGGCGCGGATTTAAATCCACACAGGGACCGGGGCGACCGGGACGGGAGCTGGGGTCTCTCCTTGCGTTTGCCTTTGCATGCCGTCGTCAAGGGCAGGGTGCTGCCTTCTTGATCTTGTGGCGTTCCTCTCCTCCGGCGTCCGTCTTGATCTCGTGGCGTTTCTCACCTCGGCCACCCTGCGAAAGGCAGGCAGCGTTGGCCCGAGGCGATCCGTCTGCCCCGTCGCGAGAAGCTCTCTCGACGTGGCGACGCCGTCGGCGAGCAGGCGCCGGAGACGGTTTTGCGTGCCGTCGTCAAGGGCAGGGTGCTGCCTTCTTGATCTTGTGGCGTTCCTCTCCTCCGGCGTCCTTCTTGATCTCGTGGCGTTTCTCACCTCGGCCACCTGGTGAAAGGCAGGCAGCGTTGGCCCAAGGCGATCCGTTTGCCCCGTCGCGAGGAGCTCTCTCGACGTGGTGACGCCGTCGGCGAGCAGGCGCCGGAGACAGGACTGCAGCGATGGCTTCGCCGGCGAGAGGAGCGAGATGCGCTCGGAGGTCTTGCTGAAGCCGGCACCGTCGACCAGAGCATTGTATTCAAAGGGAACGGGGCCCCTGCGGTCCACCAGGTCGGACACTCGCCCCCTCTCCTTCTTTTCCTCCCACGCTGCTGCGCTCTGGTAGGCATAGTGGTTGATGAATGTGCCTACCATCTGGTTCCGAAGCAAAGGGGGGCACACCGCAGAGCGCGTCAGCTTTGTGGCCTGATCGGAGCTTTTGGTTCCGACCGAGCGGTTGTCAAAGGTACCATTGGGGTAGCCACAGACGGTGAAATCGGCAAAGTCGCAGCCGTCGGAGCAGAGGTGCGTCGCGCAAGTCTTCGACAGCTGCCACAAGAAGAGGGGCTTACCTTTGAAGGGCGGATTGATCTTCGCATTGTGCGCGTCCTCGAGCATTGCGTCCGCGTCCGTCGGCGTCAGCTCGTGGAGGAGCGGGCCTCGCGACTGGAAGTTGCGCAGCAAGCTTCCGTTGGGCTGGCAGCGGTGGCCACCAGAGCCGAACTGCTTCCACGGCACGTGCACAGCGCAGACCCGCTCCGCGTGCATCTGGCGGGCGAGCATTGGGAGGCTCCAGGCCGGGTCCTTGAGCACCAGGAACTCGTCGTCGCTCAGGAAGAGCACCAGGTCGCCAGCGCGCGCTGATTTGGACGCCGCCCACCGCATGACCGTCGTCTCGGCAAAGACGTCGCCCTCGGCAGTGCGCTCGCCCGGCTTGAGGCAGCGATACTCGGTCATGAGTTTGACAAAACCGCCGTGGATGTACGGTGCTAGTATGCGGTTGACGCGCCCCGTCTCGTAGCCGCAGTTGTTGTCCACCAACACGACGCGGCTCGCGCCGATGAGGCGGTAGTACTCGAGGAACTGCACGAGCGTGGCCAGGCGGGTCTTCTTAAAGATGGTGACCACAATGGCGCGCGGGGGATGCTCGAGCTGGTTGCCGCTCGTGAGGAGGCTCTGCCCTCCCTGAAAGCCGCCCGACCGCGCCAAGTCGGGCGGGGTCGGAGGCCAGAGGGCTGCGCAGCCCACGGCCTCGTCGTCAGCGCCGGCGCATGTCATCAGGACGTTGTGAGAGGCGACCGACAACGAGCTACCCCTGCCATTAATGCACGCCGTCCCTGCGCACTGGCTGCGAGAATGTGCCTGCTGTATGAGGTCGGAGACCTTCTTGGTGTCGATGCGGGTGGTAAACATGTCGACCGTCAGCACACGGCGTTGCCACGGGAGCTTCTGGAGCGACGAGCGGAGCCGGGAGGCGCTGCGCTCGTAAGCTCCCGCGAGCGCCTCCAGCGGCATATCGTCGTATCTGACGAGGCAGTCCCCAAACACGTTGGGCCCACATGCCTCGGCGCACGCGTGCAAGTCGAGGCGGTCCCCATTCGGGAAGACCTCCTGCCTGCACATGATGCTGCTGTTGTGCTCGCGAACCCTCGAGGTCGCCCACTCGGTCGCGTTTGTTCGCAACGAGTTGACATAAAGGCTCGTGTTGACAAGCTCAGGCAGGCTGAGCAGCAGGCTTGGCATCTGCGCGTATGGCGAGTCCGTCAGGCTCAACTGGTCCCTCGCCAAGGCGGAGACAGTCGCCCGCGCAGCCGCAGCCCATTCGTTGCCCGTCACGTTGCACAGGTGCTGGTGCCGGGCCCTCGTGCAGTCTCTTTTGTTGGCCACGAACTCCTTGGCCGCATCGTACATCGCACGCATGCGGACGACATTTTTTGACTCGTAGAGCTCAAGGCCCTCCGCTCCGCAAACATGAGGGACATGTTTGACGGCGCCCGCGAGCGAGCGATCCTTTGTGTAGCGGCACGGCGAACCGGTGTTGCACTCTTGCCGGTAGTGGACGCTGGGTACCCCGAGCGCGCACAACGCGTTGAATATAGTGTGGGTGCCCGTAGTGCCTTGGCCGACGGCAAGAACGCGCGTCGTGCGCGTCCTCGGCATCGCGTTCCAAGGACTCAAATCGCGGCAAGTTTTGCCTATAGGGAACATGCATCGATGATGGTGCTGTCGTGGTAGGTGCGATAAAAAGATTAGAAAATAGAACGGGGGAGACGACCGCCTCCTGGTCCCCCTAGAGAGCCGATGCGCTTAGAGCAGTCAATAATCACAACCGGGGCCGGGTAGCCAAGAAGCGCGGCCAGGGGGACGGATAGGAGTTAGGACGACGCGAAAGAGTTCTTAAAATACACGTTCGCTCGAGCGATAAGATACTTTGTCGTGTGTATCGCGCGCCTTGGTGGGGGGGGGGGGGCGGGGGGAAGAGGAACCTCTTAGCGCCATCGCTTGTCGTGCGTCCCTCGCCGATCTGTGCGATCTCCGCATTCGCCCGAACGAGACAAAATGCCCGCGAGCGTGCCCACTACCGCAGGCAAACTACACGCTCCACGCACCACGGGTGGCGTGTGGAGTGCTGGAGTCTCCACACAGGCTGTGGGTGCTAAGACATCGAGCGCGAGGCTTCAGCAGTGGGTGCTAAGACATCGAGCGCTCGATCCACCGGAGACGCACCCGTTAGCCTTCTGGGAGACGAGCCAGCCGACGCGCAGCCCGCGGAGAGCATAGACTTTGGACATGCCCTGCACCGAAGCGCAGAGCGAGCCAGGGACATGAGCAGCGCGTGCGATGCTGCAGCGTGGTCCCGAGTTCGATCCACCGTCACGGAGTGGTGGTGGTGGTGTGCTCGTGGTGGCGAGTTATCGGCCCGCACGCACCGCTAGCGAGATGCCCTTTCGTAGACCTCACACATGGCCGGCAGCGGCGGGGAATCGCCGTACACGAGGCCGCGGTACATCTCATCACCGAGCACAAAGGCGCCGCACGAGCGCGCGATGGCGACAACGCGCATCAGCTCGCTTTCAGTCAGCTGGCAGCCGGTAGGGTTGTGCGGAAAGTTGACGACAATGAGTTTGACCTTGCCGCCCACAGCCGCGCACGTGGCCGCCAGGTCGTCGACGTCGAAGCGCAGCGGCACGGCGCCACCCCCGCGCACGTGCCACCTGTGGATCATCGCGCCTCGTGCCCGAGCAATCTCGAAGAGAGACTGGTAGGCAGGCCACACGACTACAACGTGATCACCGGGCGCCACGAGCGCCTGGGCAGTGAGCAGTATGCCCTCGCACGGCACGCACTCAAGAACATCCTCCGCGCAAATGGGGTCTGAGTAGCACGCGGCGATCTCGTTGAGCAGCGCCGGCAGGCCGCGGCTCTGTACCCGAGGCTCAGCTCATCCCATGCCGTGAGCATCTCCTTGTCGCCGGCGCACATGATCAGCAATTCCCGCCGAGAGTACGGCCACATCCTTGCAAATATGTTATGGCTACAGATCGAACGCGGCAGGGTAGCAGAGCGAAATGCAAAGCCCTGAGGCGCCGTACACAACGGACCTGATACTTTGCCGAGAATTCATACTGGGCAAAGAAGCGCTCCAGGACAAAGCTCGGCGGGTTCATTGGATGGTCGCACGCCGCTTTGAGCGGAGCAGCAGAGCAATCGCGCCGGCCGCCGCCGCGCCCGCGGTGAAGCAGCCGCCATTTGCGTTGTGGATTGTGGCCGCGCCGGATGTGCGGAACGCGCGCGGCGCGAGGTCGATCGAGATTTCCGCCGCTTCTGCCAGCACGGCACGCGCGCGGCCACGCTTGGAACGCTTGGGCGAGCACCGCCACTTCCCGCCGCGACAGAGCGAGGCACAGGCAAACAGCCGTCACCCTGCCGCCTCACGCCTCGCACCCGGAGAGGAGGCGCTGCTCGCGCGCTCGATGCGCAGGATGCAAAAGGTCTCTCCGTTGGCATGGCGCTCGCCGAGGAGGGTGCTGCACAGCCCGAGGGCCTCGAGCCCAAAGGCGTCACTGCTCAACTCTCTCTCAAACCAGAGGACAAGCGCGAAGCCGTCGGGTGACAGCACACGTGGCAGCGCATCGCACAGCGCACCCAGCATACGTGTGCCGCCCGGGCCGCCGGCCCATGTGACCTTCGCAGCCTCGACGCTCGCCTTGGCTTCGCCCGACGAGGCGCGCGCCGTCTCCAGCTCCACTGCGCTCGTCGGCACGTAGGGCGGGTGGCAAAGCAGCAGGTCAATCAAGCCTGGCCTCATCGCCGCAACAAGGTCCATGCGTGCAACTTGCAATACGATGTTGTTGCATTGCGCCGTCTCTGCAGCTGCAGAGCACGCTGATGAGTGGAGGTCAAAGGCGAGAGTCGCCGCCGAAGAGCCGAGATGCATGGCCAACAGGGTGGCAAGAGGTGCCGCACCACAGCCAACTTCGCAAACAACAGTTGTGCTCCCGCATGTACGCAGCTCCAAGTCACGCAGAATCTCGAGGAAGAACAGCGTGTCTGGCATGTGCGGAGGATACACGTCGGGATGGCGCAAGGAGACGTGCGCCAGATCGGGCTGGAGGTGCTGTGCCGACGGCGGCGCCATGTGTGGTCGCGCGCGCGACCGCGGCCTCGGCTGCCTTGGCGGCGGCTCTGGCGGCGGCTGCTACGGCGGTCAATCTCACGATTGTCGATCAAAACCGGCGGGCTTTGTGACGCCGTTTACGCAATCGTTTTTTGGCTTCGCTTTCTCTTGTGCTTGTTTGTATTTTGTTTTTTCTTCTGCGAAGCGACGGAGGGGGGGGCGGGCGGGCGCTAACTATGGGCAACTACATGTCGAAGGTTCGAGGACGACTAGGTAGGTAGGTAGAAAGGAAGGTGAAGAACAGCCAGGCTAAGGAGGGTGCCTCCACCGGCCACCTCACCATCTCCGGGCGAAAAGAATTTTCCATTAGAAGAAAAGAATTTTACAACAAAACTCCCTCACAAATGCCGTCCTCCTCACAGAAGGCGTCGTCGGAATGGTAGTCAGGCGGATGGTCGAATCCGCGAGCACCGTGGTGCTCGCCGAAAAGTGTGAGTGACACACACACACACACACACACTCGCCGAAAAGACCATCCCCACCAGAAAAGAAAGCATCCCGCTTTTCTAACTGCCATGTCGGCCGGTCGTCGGCTGCTGCTCTCGCCTCGCTGGCGGCGCGGTCTGGTGCCGCGGCGCCCAGCTCTCCTGTGGGCTCGCGGCGGCTCGCCGCCGCGGTTCTGAACAATGTGATCAGTCCGGATTCGTCCCGGCGTGCCGCCGGTGCCGCTTCCTCGCCGATTGTTTGCTCATCCAGTTAGTCGACAAAGTTGCCCTGGAGCTTGCCGCTCGACTGCGCGGCGGAACCGGCCCTTCGCGGCCGAGATGCGATGCGCCGACGCCGGGGCTACGGCTCGGGACCATTTCCGGGCTGTCTCGGGCAAGTGCAAATTTTGATGATTTCAGACCTCGCCACTTTGCTGCACACTTTGACCTCAACCCGCGGCCCGCTGCGCGGCTCTTCGAGCGCGAGAGGTGGCGTCTGCGAGGCGGCGAGCGCAGGCGGCGCAGGCGGCGGCGGCGCGGCGGATCGCGGCGCTGACAACGGCAGCAATCTGCGGCAGGCCGCTGCTTGCTGCTGCTGCAGCTGCTGCTGCTGCTGCTGCTCCGCTGCTGCTGATTGTGGCTACGATTTCTCCGATCACCCCGCCCGCCCGCCCCGCCCCGCCCGCCCGCCTCTCCCCGCTTGCCCGCCCGCCCGCCCGCCCGCCCGCCCGCCCGCCCGCCCGCCCGACCACCCATTCCCATCACCATCTCACATACCTTCATATAGGCGCTCGAGACCAACCTGGTTTGTGGAGCTCCCGCAGATTACCTAGAGAGCACGGCATTCGGGGCCATGATGTCGGTTCCCCACCGGACTTTTTTTGTAGTGGAGAGAATTAAGGAATCTTTCTGCTGTAACCGACACTGATATCGCTCTCCTTTAATCAGACCAGATGGTGAGTCTTAACTGTAAATTACCGTCGGAAAGCTGTCAGAACGGCTGTCAGAACACTGTCAGAACGCTGTCAGAACGCTGTCAGAACGTTGTCAGAACGCTGTCAGAGACGGCTCCGCTAGCACGGCTCCGGGTGGACCGGAGGTAACAGCAGCAGCAGCAGCAGCCCAAGACGGCGCGACACAGACTTGGCATAGCCTAACTATCGCAAACCACCAGAGCCGCCTAAGCGAATTGCCGCAGATGGCCGACCTCGCCTCGCGCTGGCTCGACGCCGCGCGCCAGGGCGACGCCTTCACGCTCAAGCGTCTGCACGCCGAGTCTTCCGACGCGGCATCGCTCTGCCGCTCGCAGACGCCGGGCGTCTCCACCGCTGGCCACACCGCGTGTCACTGGCTGGCAGCCGGTGGCCACGTGGCGGCGCTCCGCTGGCTGCTCTCCCTCCCCGAGGCGGCCGGGCTGTCTTGTGCAACCAACCACGGCGGCTCGACGCCTCTACACTCCGCCGCAGCCAACGGCCACGCGGCGTGCGTCGAGGAGCTGCTCAAGGCGGGCGCCGACCCGGCGGCGACCGACTCGACGGGTGACACGCCCTTCGCATGTGCCGCCTCCCGCGCGCACGCCGCCGCGGCGGGGCCGCTGGCGCCGCACGCGCCACCGCACGCGTCCCTCTCCCTCCGGGTCGGGCGCGAGAGGGTCGGAGAGCCTAGATGCTTGACGCAGAATGCTTGACACCGACCCGCGTCACTCTGAAGACTCTGCACGACCCCGCACCCCCACCCGGGACATGACTCCGACATGCCACTGACGTGGCCTGCACATCTTGGCGGCTCGGCGGTGAAGGCGCCCTCCCACCGCCGCCTCAGCCACCGCTGGCGTGTCCTCAGGAGTGCTTTTGTGTTGTCCTCAGGTCGGGGAGCTGGTCTTTGAGCTCGACGAGGCGGCGGCGCCCCAGGCGCAAAACACTTCCTCGGCCTTTCCTAGACCTCTCCTAGACCCTCCCTAGGCCCTTCCTCGACCCTTCCTAGCGGCGCCCCAGGCGAGCGCAAACTTCCTCGGCCTCTGCGAAGGCTTCCGCGCGCGCCGCCGCGTTCCTGGCGCACTGTACGGCCGCGGCGGGGAGGTCGGACCCGCCTCGAGCGTCTTTTGCTGCTACCGCGGCACCGCTTTCCACCGGCTGCTGCCAGGCCAGCTGCTGCACGGCGGGAGGATCGCAGGCGGAGACGCGTCCGTGTTTGGCGCGTCCTTCAATGACGAGCCCGACGGGCTGCGAAAGGACCAGGCCTCGCGCGGCTTGCTCTGCATGGCCAACTCCGGCCCCGACACAAACGCGTCCCAGTTCTACATCACCCTCGCCCCCTGCCCGCACCTGTCCGGGTCGCACGTCCGCTTCGGCCGCCTCGTGAGCGGCGACGCAGCCCTCGCCGCCGCAGAGGCAGCCGCGCCGGCGCAAGGGGCTGGCGACGCACCGAGCTTGCCCGTCACAATCGCTGCGTGCGGCCGCTGGCCCCCGCCGCCCGCCGCCGCGCCGCCGCCCGCCGCGGCCGAGGCGGTTGCTTCGCTGAGCGAGGTTGGGGCCAAGGCGGAGGCTAGCCGCGCCGCCGTCGCTGCGGCCGTGAGCGAGGCGCTGGGCGGCGCAAAGCGGAAAGCGGGGGGCGGGGAGGAGGGCGGAGGCGGCGCCGGCGGCGGCGGAGGCGGACCCGCGGCGGCGAGGAGGAGGACAAGCGAGCCTCCGGTGGCGGCGGTGTGGGACCCGCTCGGAGGGCTGTGTTGCGGCAGCGACGCGGAGGAGTCGGAGGGGGACGCGGGGGAGTGAGGTCGGAACCGTTTTGTTGACGAAACAAATAGCATGCACACACACACACACACACACACACACACACACACACACACACACACCACACACACACACACACACCGACACAGTCACTATAAACCCACCACTAATTATGTGCTGGCGTTTCCGCACCACCAGAGCCGCGGGCGCGGGTGGTAGCCAGTCGGCGCGTCGGGAGATTTGTATAGCGCCTCCCTCGCCAGGAGCCCTCGGGCGCTCTGCGCCCGCACTGCAGCCACGGCCCTTGGTCGATCCGCTCGGTGGCGGCTCGTACCGTGGGCGCGGCCGCTGTGCGGACGACCTCACCCTCCGTCCCATGCCCCCATCACCGGCCCCATCCAGCCTCTCGCATGGGGCAACGCCGTGGCTCAGCCCGGCGGGAGGGGGCAGGCCGAGCTGCTTGGCCTCGAGGAGGACAGCAGCTGCGGCGCTCAGCCCCGTGTGTCTCCACCAGGCAGCCAGGCGCGCGCGGGAGGCGGCGGCTGGGCCGACGCGGGGAGGGGGAGGGGGGGAGGGTTTCCCCGGGTGAGCCCCGGGGCTCGAACCGCCCGGCGCGTTGCGCCAGGGCAGTCCGATCGGCTGCGTTTGCGCCCGCAATCCCCATGGCGTGCCCGACAGCGCTGGCCCCGGGCTAGAGGGGAGGCATTGCGCCTCGCCGCCGTGGCCCTTTTCGCAGGGAGGGGCCCAGATGGTGTCTGGGTGTCTGAGACACGCGCGTTGCGCGACCTCTCCCGCGCTGAGCTCACAGCCACGGCGTGCCCAGGCTGTCGGCCCCGGGCTAGAGGGGGGGGCCCGGCCCCCGCCGCACTGCCCCGCACTGAGCTCACAGGCAGGGGATTGCGGGCCACAGGCTTGGGTCCGGCGGGTTGTGCCGCCCTTGGTTCGTAGTTGAATGGCTGATTCCAGCCAAAGCAACCCTTTTGTTCGCACTTGCGTGCTTCATGTCGGCTCTGAGCCAGATGGGGCACTTGCGTGCGTCAATCAGATTTGCTTTGGTTCTTTCTCGCGTTGGAGCAGCGGCCGGCATCGCCGGAAGCCTTCTCCGCGGCGGTATGGGGTGCCTCTCGGCGTTGGTTGTGCCCGTCGGGCCTTGGGTGCCCGTAGGGCGTTGCCTCCGCGGCAGCAGAGGCGAGGCCAGGCAGGCGGCTGGGCCGGCGGCGGCTGGCGGCGGCGGCGGGCGGCGGCTGCGGCAGGCGGCGGCGGCGGGCGGCGGCGGCGGCGGGCGGCGGCGGCAGGCGGCGGCGGCGGGCCATGCGGGCGGCGGCAGGCAGCGGCAACCGGAGCTGCGTCCTCCAAGGCGTTCGATAAAGAAGAAATCCGGCGCCACAGCGTGAGGACGAAAATGCGCTTGCCGGCCGACTTCCTGTGCCTTCAGAAAATTCACGAAAAGTAACTCGCGATAGGACAACGCCTCAGGTGATTAGGTTGCCAGGCTCTCAAAAGAAACAAAAAGAAACTCGCAATTAGAGTGATCCATGGTGACACTCGCGCGAGATATGGAGACGCTCGCCCGAGCAGCCCCGTGCTTGAGAGGACACTCACCACATAACTCATAACGCGGCACGGGCGCACGGCCCGTTTTGGCTGTCTGCGGAGATTCTGTCTTAGGACTTAGCACACACAGTGAGTCATTCGGAGTCATTCGATGGCCAGAGTGCAATTGCGTGTGTGCGGGAGTTGGTTTGTCGGGAGGGAGGGGCAGGCTGCTCACCCACGTGCACCGGGCCAGTGCTTGCACTTTGAATGCCGTGGCGCGTGGGGCTCTTGGCTCGTCTTGGTCTTATAAGCCCCCCGCGTGGCGCGTGTCCGGGTGTAGAGATGCGAGGGTCGCCCCCCCTTGCCCCACCACTTTGTGTGTGTGGAGAAATTTACGTTACCTTACCTTACCTTAGCAGCCCCATCACCCGGCTCCGAGACTTTGGACGTGGGCGGCTGGCAGGTCGTCGTCACCGGCGGGCACGCGGTGCTGCCCGAGGGCATGACGCACCTGCCGGACGAGGCGTTCCAGCACCGCGCCTCTCTCGTCTCGGTCGCCTGCCCGAGCAGCCTCGTCTCCATCGGCGGACCGCGCCGCGCCGCCTCACTCGACGGTGACGCTCTTCGCGAGGTTGCGCGGCTGGTCGACGTTGCACTGGCGCATGTCTGCGATGTAGTAGGCCATCAGCTGCAGCGGCGCGACGCAGAGGAGCGGCATCAGGAAGTCGGCGGTGGAGGGGACGCGCATCACGTACTCGCACTGCTCGTCGAGCTCGTGGTTGTCCTCCTCGGTGATGGCGATGACGGAGCCGCCCCGCGCGCGCACCTGTTTGGCGATCGTGAACCGATTACGATGTCCATCAACGATGCGGTGACGGCCCCGCCGCCGCCGTGCGCGCTCGCCTCCTCGATGTTTGAGACGAGCTTGCGGTAGTTCGGGTCCGAGGTTGGCGCGATGATGACGACGGGCATGAACTGGTCGATGAGCGCGATCGGGCCGTGCTTCATCTCGGCGGCGGGGTAGCCCTCGGCATGGATGTACGAGATCTCCTTGAGCTTGAGCGCGCCTTGTTGGCGCATGAATCAATCAATTAATGAGGTGATTAATCAGGGAGAGGCGAGATCTCCTTGAGCTCGAGCGCGCGCCCTCCAGCGCCACCGGGTAGTGGTACCCGCGCCCGAGGAAGAGGAAATTGCTCGCGTACTTGAAGACCTTTGCCATCTCGTACACCGTCCCCTTCTGCTCCAGCACACACCTAATCATTATTAATTAACTAATTAAGACCTTTGCCATCTCGTACACCGTCCCCTCCTGCTCCAGCACACACCTAATCATTATTAATTAACTAATTAAGACCTTTGCCATCTCGTACACCGTCCCCTTCTGCTCCAGCACAAACCGCAGCTGGTCCGGAAGCGCGAGCATGGCGCCTAGCTCGCAAGGATTCCCCCTCCGCTGCCCGCAATACCTGCTCCCAGCCCGGACCTGCGGGCTGTCGCGCCGAGGTTCGCAGACAGCTCCTCCGGCGAGAGCGTCTCGCGCTCCTTTCCGAGCTTGAGCGCAATCAGAGTCAGAGCGACCAGCTGGGCGGAGAAAGCCTTTGGGGCATCACCAGCTAACAATTAGCACCAACTCGGAGGTCGGTGTCCGCGCGACCAGCTGGGGCAGAGAAGGCCTTGGTCGACGCGACCCCGATCTCCGGGCCCGCGTGCAGGTAGACGCCGCCGTCGGTCTCGCGCGCGATCGACGATCCGACGGTGTTGCAGATGCCTAGGCAGAGGCGGCGCTACTCGTGCCTCGGCTATATCTCGGCTACATCTCGGCTGTGTCTCGGCTGTATCTATATCTCGGCTGTCTCTCGGCTGTCTCTCGGCTGTCTCTCGGCTGTCTCTCGGCTAGCATGCCCAGGCAGAGGCAGCCCGCTGCCCGGGCGAGCTGCAGCGCCGCGAGCGTGTCGGCCTATGCGTTCCACGGGCGGCCGGTGACCTCACTGCTGACTTGCCAGACCTGCGGCGCCGCGAGCGCGTGTCGGCCGTCTCCCCCGATCTCTCAGCTATCTCTCGGCTGCTTCTCGGCTATCTCTCGGCCGTCTCCCCCGACTGCGAGATTGCGATGAGCACGTCCTCCCGGCAGAGGATCGGGTTGCGGTAGCGGAACTCCGAGGCGTACTCGACCTCGCACGGCATCCTCGCCTGGTGGTGCCAGTAGTACTAATGACTAATCACTAGTGGTCAATCGCACGGCATCCTCGCCTGGTGGTGCCCAGTAGTACTAATGACTAATCACTAATGATCAATCGCACGGCATCCTCGCCTGGTGGTGCCAGTAGTACTAATGACTAATCACTAATGATCAATCGCACGGCATCCTCGCCTGGTGGTGCCAGTAATACTAATGACTAATCACTAATGATCAATCGCACGGCATCCTCGCCTGGTGGTGCCAGTAATACTAGACTAATCACTAATGGTCAATCGCACGGCATCCTCGCCTGGTGGTGCCCAGTAATACTAATGACTAATCACTAATGATCAATCGCACGGCATCCTCGCCTGGTGGTGCCAGTAGTACTAATAAACTAATGATCAATCGCACGGCATCCTCGCCTGGTGGTGCCAGTAATACTAATGACTAATCACTAATGATCAATCGCACGGCATCCTAGCAGTGCCGTCGCCGAACTCGTCGCCTGGTCAGCCGCCCGACCTCGCTATCCCCTCCGAATCCTCGAGCAAACACTCCCCGCCGCTTTATCTCGTTGGCTACATCTCGGCTACATCTCGGCTGCATCTCGGCTACATCCCGCCAGGTTCTCCAGCAGGTACTCCCCAATCAGGCCCGCGTGGTGCGAGGTGCCGCACGCGACCACGATGATGCGAGGCGCCTAATTAACGACTCATCAACGAACTAACGAGTTGACTATTGCCGCACGCGACCACGCTGACGCGAAGCGCCGCCGCCAGCGCCGGCCAGTGCTCGGATAGCCCGCCTAGCGACGAGAGTCAAGGAAGGGCTGATTCGTTGATTAGTCATTAATCAGCTTGGCCGCCTAGCGAGAACCCTAGCGACGGGGTGCTCTTCTCTTCTCTTCTCTTCTCTTCTCTGCTCTGCTCTTCTCTTCTCTTCTCTGCTCTTCTCTTCTCTGCTCTTCTCTTCTCTGTTCTCTGCTCTTCTCTGCTCTTCTCTTCTCGTCTGGAGAGCCCGCCTACCGACGGGAGCGAGGCATGCCTCAGCCTCCTCACTCGCACCGCCATGCCAGCGCTCTTGCCCCCCCGCCCAGCAGGACGTCGTTGCAGCCGCTGCCGCTCTCGCGCGAGCCTGCGCCACGCCAGGTACAGGCACACGCGGTGAGTTAGGAGGAGCGACACAGGTACAGGCGGTGAGTTAGGAGGAGGGTCGGGGGAGGAGCGATCACCGAGCCAGTGCGCGGGCGCAGTGCGAGCCTGGAGAGTGCCTCGGCTACTCTCGGCCATCTCTCGGCCATCTCTCGGCAACCTCTCGAGCCTGCAGAGTGCCGGTTCGTCACGCGGCCGCGCATCGCATTCTCGAGCACCTCGGGCTGCTCGCAGATCTCCTGGAGGCGAGATGCGGCCGAGATTAGCCGAGATATCGCCGAGAGGAGCACCGCGGGCCGGAGGCGAGAGAGTGATCCGTCATCAATCATTGTGATTTGTGATCCTGTCGGCCGCTGTCGGCCGCTGTCGGCTGCTTTCGGCTCCTCTCCCTCGCAGGTAAGTGAAGGACCCCTTCTGGGAAGTGTCTCGGAAGTGTCCAGGACGTGTCTAGGAGGCGTCTCGCGGGTCTCTCCTTGAGCATGAAGTGCTTGAAGGAGCCCTTCTGGGAAGTGTCTCGGAAGTGTCCAGGACGTGTCTAGGAGGCGTCTCGCGGGTCTCTCCTTGAGCATGAAGTGCTTGAAGGAGCCCGTCTGGGAAGTGTCTCGGAAGTGTCCAGGACGTGTCTAGGAGGCGTCTCGCGGGTCTCTCCTTGAGCATGAAGTGCTTGAAGGAGCCCTTCTGGGAAGTGTCTCGGAAGTGTCCAGGACGTGTCTAGGAGGCGTCTCGCGGGTCTCTCCTTGAGCATGAAGTGCTTGAAGGAGCCCTTCTGGGAAGTGTCTCGGAAGTGTCCAGGACGTGTCTAGGAGGCGTCTCGCGGGTCTCTCCTTGAGCATGAAGTGCTTGAAGGACCCCTTCTGGATGTCCTCGAGCTTGAGCTGCAGCTCCTCCACCTCGCGGCATGTGATTCACCAATCAATTCACTACTTCGTCGTCCTCGAGCTTGAGCTGCAGCTCTTTCACCTCGCGGCAGAGCTTGATGTTCTCGAGCGTCTTGATCTCGTACGTGCACGCGCCTAGGGTTCGGGCTCGGGCAAGGGTAGGGAAGATGCGCGGCCGAGCGCCTTGGTCTCGTTGCGTGCAAGCGCCCGACGGGGTCCTCGCCACCACAACCATCTCTCCGTCGTTGAGGTACGTCACGCGCCTGGTCGGAGCCCGACCGTCACTACGGCGACTTCCACCCCTCTCCGCGCCGTTGAGGTGACGTGGCGCGCCGCGTCCGCTCGATGACGGCGGAGGCGTCCGAGGCGAGCAGGTACTCGTCCTCTCCGATGCCAAGCAGCAGCGGCGAGCCCTTCCGAGCCTAAGGGAGGTCAGCGGCGCCTCAGAGAGACAGAAAGGTGGGAAGCAGCAGCGGCGAGCCCTTCCGAGCCCCGACGAGGAGGTCCGGCTCCTCGGAGGAGATGACGCAGATGCCGTACGCGCCCTGCACCTGCGAGAGAGCCTGCCGCACCGCCTCCTCCAGCGGCATCCACTTTTGCTTCCTCACGTCGGAGATCAGGTGCGCGATCAGCTCAGTGTCCGTCTCCGACGCCATGCGGTAGCCCTTGCGCTGCAGCTCCTCGCGCAGGGCGACGAAGTTCTCGACGATCCCGTTGTGCACGATCGCCAGCCCGCCATCCGACGACGTGTGCGGGTGCGCGTTTGCGTCCGTCGGAGCGCCGTGCGTCGCCCAGCGTGTGTGCGCGATTCCGACGGTGCCCGTGTTGAGCGAGGAGGAGCTGCGAGAGGCGAGGACGGAGACCTTGCCGGCGGCCTTGACGACCCCGATCGTGTGGCTCGGGCCCGAGCTGCTCCGCCGCTTGACCGACGGCGGGCCGTTGGCCGAGGCTGCCGCAGGCGGCACCGCCTCGACGCACGCGACGCCGGCAGAGTCGTAGCCGCGGTACTCGAGCCGGGCCAGCCCGGCGAGCATCACGTCCTTGGCCGTGCTGGGGCCCAGGTAGGCGACGATGCCGCACATCGCTCGCCGGTGCAGCCGGGTTGCCGGTCGTCGCGAGCGGCGTGCGCTGTCGTCACCTCTGCGAAAAGAATTTAATAAAACGGAAAAGAAAGTAGCTTAAACAAAGTCCCTCTGGAAAAGAATTTAAAGACAGACTCTCTCTCACAGCAGACAGGCTCGACACAGGTGCGAACTGGCGCGTGCTAGTACTATCACCGGTGAAGACTAGAAAAATCCCGCCGTCTAACTCCCATGTCACGGCCGGTCGGCTGCTGCTCTCGCCTCGCTGGCGGCGCGGTCTGGTGCCGCGGCGCCCAGCTCTCCTGTGGGCTCGCGGCGGCTCGCCGCCGCGGTGCCGAACAATGTGATCAGTCCGGACTCGTCCCGGCGTGCCGCCGGTGCCGCTTCCTCGCCGATTTTTGGCTCGACCAGTTTGTCGACAAAGTTGCCTCCGAGCTCCTGCTGCTCGACTGCGCGGCGGAACCGGCCCATCGCGGCTGAGACGTGATGCGCCGGCACCGGGGCAACGGCGCGGGACCATTTCCAGGCTCTCTCGAGCAACCTCAAATTTGGCCGATTTTGTGGATCTCAACCCTGCTGCTCTCTGACCACAACCTCGCGGCCCGCTGCGCGGCTCTCCGAGCGCGAGAGGAGTCGTCTACGAGGCGGCGGCGAGCGCAGGCGGCGGCGGCGCGGCGGCGCGGCGGCGGATCGCGGCGCAGACAACGGCAGCAATCTGGCTGCTGCTTGCTGCTGCAGCAGCTGCTGCTGCGGCTGCTGCTCCGCTGCCGCTGATTGTGGACACGATTCCCCCGATAACCCTGCCCGCCCGCTCCGCCCCGCCCGCCCGCCGCTCCCCGCTTGCTTGCCCGCCCGCCCGCCCGCCCGCCCGCCCGCCCGCCCGCCCGCCCGCCCGACCACCCATTCCCATCACCATCTCACATACCTTCATATAGGCGCTCGAGACCTCCTCTCGCTGCCTACTCGCTGCCTCGAGGGAGGGGGGGAAGAAGTCAGGTTGAGCTGGACTCGCCAGGCCGAGGCCCCTCCCCGAAAGGCAAGTGTTAGCCACATGAAACCGAGACCCCTCCCCACCACCCCAATCCCCCCACCCCCTTGCTCCCCTCCCCCCCTCGGGAGGGCCGAACTGAGGCGCCCGTGGGGACCCCGCACTTCCCTTCCCCCCTCGGAGGGCCGGACTGAGGCGTCGAGGGCCCCGCTCTTTCCCTCGCATAGCGGCCACTCTTCGGATCGCTGGTCGAGCGACCCGGGGGATGCCCCGCGCGCCTGACCCAGGCGCGAAAACGAATCTGCGAGGCGTGGCCGCTCACGCGGCCCGATGGGGAGGAACGGGGCGAGCTCCCTCCAACCCACCCGCGCTAGGTCTCGGGTTTGACGCATGGGGTCACTCCCGCGAAACTCGGGAACTAGCCGGGGCAGTCGGAGAAGGGGCAACTCCGTGCACTGACGGTCGGCCGCCAGAAAACACGCCTGCGTGGATCGCGTCACACCAATCCTCGCTACCCAACGCGGCCAAAGGATATCCACCTCGAGAACCTCGAGAGACTATCACCGGCACACCACCGGAGCCTAAGCGACAAGAATTTTACAACGGCCTGGCTCGGGACTGGGCACGGGACTGGCTCGCACTGGCACTAACACAGGGCGGCGGCTACGGCCGTACCATGCGGAATCGACCCTATCAAGTGCTCAAGTGAATGGCGGTGCCCGTCGCTTGTGGCCCGCTGGCCGATGGCTCTCTGACCGTCCCCGGCATCCAACCTAGTCCGGACTTTGCACCGTACGCGGTGGATGTCGTCGCAAAGAAGGACGGCGTCAGCAGCGCGATCGCCTCCAATAAGATGAAGCGGTTGCACAGACAGACAGGTCTGGTGATTCGCCGTCGTCGCACTCGAATGTTACCCATGAAGAGCCATTGGTGAACGTCTGGTGTCGCACGACCGCCGTCGATGATCAGATTTTTCCGTCTCTGTGTTGATCAAGAGTCGCTCCGTTGATTTTCTCGTTGACCGACGCTCTGGTGGTTACGTTTGGCTATCTGCGCGCGCACGGAGCGCACGGCGTCAGCGTCAGCGTCGGCCACGCGGCGGCAAAAGGCAAGCTCACATTGCTGTGGTGTGCGGAAGGCGCGCACGCAAGAGCAAGAAGCGAGCGGGCGCGCGCCGGCCACGTGGCAACAATCATGGCCGACGGTGGTTCATCGCAGTCGTCAGGCGCGCCGTCGTGCGGCTTGCGCCGCTGGAAGCTGTCGCGCCTCGACATCGTGGTTCCGGAAGGCACCAACACGAGCGAACTTGCCGTCGCTAGCTATGTTGATGTCGATGAGGCGCTGCCACTCGAGCCGTTCGCCAATCGAAAGATTGCCGGGCCTCTCGACAGAGACCAAGCGATCGCGGCGAGGCGAGTGCAGGCGGAGATGCACGAGGCCACTGTGGGAGGCTCGAGAGTGCGGTCCGCGGCTACGCACACTGGTTGGTGACGCGCGCACACGATCGCGATTTGTCTCCTCTCGTCGTGTTGCGCGAGACGTTTGAGCACACCGGAACTCGTATTTGGCATGGAGCTTGGGTCCACCGCGCGTGGGCTCTGGCGAACGCCGCGGTCTTTCGCGACAAATCCGTTGTCGAGCTCGGCGCGGGCTGCGGGCTGCTCGGCATCAGCGTGGCGGCGGCATGTGGCCCACGGAGCGTGTGGCTGAGCGACTTTCGCGGTCACTTTCGCAGTGAGGCGACGGTGATGCACCTGCTACGCGACAATGTCGCAAGCAATCGTGCCCGGCTACCCTTGGAGCCGGCGTGCCTGCGAGTGCTGGAGCTCGACTGGTCGCAGCCGACGAAGCCGGTGGAGTGGAGCATGGACGCTGCGCAGCCACCGGCGGAGGACTCGCCACGGTCCTCCGCAGAGGCGGCAGCCGCGGGATTGCTCGTGGGCGCCGTGCGATGTCGTGATCGCCACCGAAGTGCTGTACTCTATCGAAGGCGCACGGCTGCTGGCGGCGCTGCTGCCGCACTGGCTGAGCCGCCCGCACGGCGCGGCGTACGTGCTCAACAATGCGCGCCGCACGGGCGTCGACGCGTTCGCGGCCGCATGCGAGGCGCACCAGCTGCGCGTCGAGGAGATCTCGTGCGGCGAGACGGTGGACGAGGCGCTCGCCGCGGCGACGTGCACGCTCGGAGGCGAGGAAAGGCAGGGCCCCAGGGACGATTACGTTCACTTCCGCGTGATGTGGTGCGCTCCAGACGTCTCGACCACCGGGCTGTGAGTCTAGAGAGACGTCACAATCACTGGAGTCTGGAGGTCCTCGACTAAATCCGTACGTACAGCCGTAGTCACGAGGTACAGCTTTACTACGGTTTGGGCTCAACGAGGTTTTCCGGAAAACAAAAAGGAAAACAGAGGGTCCCCAGCACTTTGCGTTTCCGGAAATTTCCAGGGAAAACAAAGGGTGTTTGGTGCTCCATTCTGGAAACTCGCGAGTTTCCCTGAGTCTGAGAGCTGGTCTGGGGCAAAATCTGAGGCAGCTACGACCTACGAGCACCACGCTCGAGTACGAGTGCCTACGCTACTAGATGCCCTCTCCCCGAGGAAATCGACAAAATACCCAGGCGGTCGCAGGGTAATTTCCAGGAACACACAGCTCGCAGCTCGAAAAGAAAAAGACTCGGCCGTGCGCCGCCGTCGCGCACACAATCTTATATATCTCAGCACATATATCTCACCAGTGATCATCAGCTGCCGCCCCCGTCTCACGCCACGGGCGCGCCGAGCTTGCCCTTCCAGTCCGCGTCGAAGCCGGTCGCCGCCGGTGTCAGCCGCTCCACAGAAGGGCCCTCGACAAACGCGGCGCGCGGTCCAGTGCGGATGTGCCGCTCTGCAATCATCTCGGCGAGGTCGTAGATCTCGCGCCAGTGCTCGTCCATGGCGGCGGCGAGCTTGGCGACGTCCCTCCCCGCCTAAACACAATCCGCAAGCCAACTCAGCAATCTCGGGTGATCTCGGGTAATCAGGGGGGGCAACCCCGGTTAATCTCGCCGGCTGCAGCTTCCGAGCCAGATTCGCCGCGGCGAACACCTCGGCGCGGTGCTCGCCGAGCAAGCCAGAGAGGGCGGCTGCCGCGCCGCCCTTTTGCAGCGCCTTGAGCCGGTCGCGGGTGAGCTTCTGCTGCAGGATGCGGCTGTCCCCCTCGGCGAACTTGCAGCAGAGCAGCATGTCGACCAGCTCGAACCCCGTCGCGTGCATCAGTGCGTAGCTGCCGACCTGTACTCTCGGACAACCTCGGGTTATCTCGTGCAATCTCGTGCAATCTCGTGCATCAGAGCGTTGCTGCCGACCTAGACTCTCGGATACTCTCGGGTAATCTCGTGCAATCTCGAGAAATCTCGTGCATCAGAGCGTAGCTGCCGACCTCCTTGCGCAGCGCGTGCGCGCGCTCGAGCGCGACGTCGATGCAACGGATCTTGGCCACCTACCCAGCTCATTAACTAACTCATCTCCCGGACCTTGGCCAACCTACCCAAGATCCGGGAGGAGCAGGAGCACGAGGGATGAGCGCAACTGGGCCCCGACCGAGGAGAGGCTCGTTGGCGACGGGGAATCTCCGGCAAGCTCGGGCAATCTCGGATACTCTCGGGCAATCTCGGGGACTGGTTGGCCACCGCGATCGCATCGACGAGATCCGCGTCCGGGATGGTGCCTGCGCGCAGGCAGCTGTTCAGCCGCTGCTCGACGCCAGCAGTGAAGGCTGCCATCTGCTCGAGCGCCGCCTACAGGGACGTGTCGGGGACGTGTCCTCGGCTCACCTTGGCTCCTCTCCTCTCGGCTCCTCTCGGCTCCTCTCGGCTCCTCGCGGCTCCTCGCGGCTCCTCTCGGCCCCTCTCGTTCCTCTCAGGCCCTTTCGGCTCCTCTCGGCCTCACCTCGGCTGCCCCTCAGCTGCACCTCGGCTCACCTCGGCCACCCCTCGGCCTCACCTCGGCTCCTCTCCGCTCCCCTCTCGGCTACCCTCGCCTCGGACTCGCGGAAGACCGCCTTCAGCTGCGGCATCTCGGACAGGCGCACCTCGCCCGCAAGCCCGTTGCAGACCTTGCCGCGCGCGTACTGCTCGGTGCGGAGGTGAAGCACGCGGCAGCTCGCCAGGGCCGCCTGGAGGTAGGTCGCAGGGCACCAGCGGTGATCGCATGCTCCGTGCGCCGAGAGGAGCCGAGGTGAGCCGAGAGACAGCCGGGAGAGAGCCGAGAGACAGCCGAGAGGGAGCCGAGAGGGAGCCGAGATGGAGCCGAGGTCGCGAGGGGCCTCGCCTCTGCGAGAGATAGAGCCGAGATAGAGCCGAGATAGAGCCGAGAGAGAGCCGAGATAGAGCCAGGATAGAGCCGAGATGGAGCCAGGATAGAGCCGAGATGGAGCCGAGGTCGCGAGGGCGTCGCCTCTGCGATCGCGAGCCGTCCCGTGAGGAGGCGCTGGCCGATCACCTCGATCCGCATCCGCTCGTCGGTGGTCTGCACGTACGCGTCGTTTCGCACGTCCGCGAACTTGTTTAGCATCGCGTCCTTTGGCAGCCGGACCTACCTCAAGTGCATCCGCTGCTTGGCCAGCGGACCGGCTCGCTCCGCGTGGCGGCCGGTGGTTAGCGTGGCCTTGTCGAAGCAGACGCGCGCGTTGTCGAGGTCGTTCGCCACCGTCTTTGTGCCCATGTCCTCGACGGTGATGCCGGGCAGCAGCTGCCCCTCCGCGTCGCGCATCGAGAGGAGGAAGGCGTGCGGCCTGACCAGAGCCCACTCGGCACTCAGTACTCTCACTCACTCGGCGTCGCAACGAGAGGAGGGAGGCGTGCGACCCGTGGCTCTCTCCGCCGATGACCAAGTCTGCGATGACGACGCCGCGCTCGGCCGTGTACCCCTGCGATATCCAGTTCTTGGCCGCCTTGTCGCTCGGCGTGTGCAGGACGAACTGCGACAGCGGGGCTCGGGGTCTGACTCTGTGGCAGAGACGCCCGCCACTGTGTCGAGGTATGCCAGAGGAGGCGGCCGCCGGCGCGCTTCATGTACGATGTTGGCGGGGGAATGGCAGGGGTGGCGCAGGCGGAGGGTCGTCTACCTACGGCGCGCCTCTTGCGAGCCCGCGTCCCACTCGCAGGTAGTCTCGACGATCAGTCCAGACAGCACGCCCGCCTGCGCCTCTGTCAGCAGGAAGCAGCCCAGCTGGCCCGCCGCCTGGATGTCGCGCAGGCTCGCCACCTGCTCGGGTGATCGCGAGTGATCTCGTGAAATCTCGGGTGATCTCGCGCAGGCTCGCCACCTGCTCCGGCCCGCCCAGCCCGACTATCGAGCCTGCGAACAGGTTGAACTGGACGGTGAAGCGGACACCAAAGCCGCCTAGGCCGACGGTGGCGAGGAGGCGGTGCGCGAGGAAGAACTTCTCGGGCGCGTCGCGCATGTCCGTGAAGGAGAGCAGGTTCGACTTGACGAGCTCCCTCAGCACCGCCGCGCTCCGAGCCGGGTCCGTCGCCGCCGGCACGTCACGCACGGCGTCGAGGAAGCGCTCTGTCCACGCTTGGACCGTGGCCTCGTCGGACGGGTCAAACGGCGGGCTCGCCGCGCTCGCAGTCCACTCCTGGTCAGAGTGCTCGACCGACCTCGCTGTGCTGAGAAGGGAGGCCTGCGAGCGCAGCACCGCTGGCACGTGCACGCCGAGGCTGCGCGCAGCCGTGTTGGCGATGGCGCGACTGCCAAGGAGCTGCCCGTGCTTGATTTGGCGCACCGACCTCGCGGCGGCGCGGTTCGCCAGACGGAGTGTGTTCATTGGAAGATTGACGGATCAGTCACAAAGCACAGAGCTTTCAGCCTTGATGACCAGAAAAAACAAATCGCATGCTGAGTCGATTCATTGATTGAACTCCCACCCCTCGTTTGGCTTGAAAATCGCGCTCTACATCGCTCTACAACGCACGCAGTTCGTCCCGCGCCCGATGTAGAGCTCTACAGCTCTACAGCGCTCCAGAGCGCTCTCTCTACAGCTCTACAGCTCTACAGCTCTTCAGCGCTCTACACTCTACATCCTCTACACCCTCCCTCAGGTTGACATGCGATATGCCGATTCCACCTCTCGCAGGTAGTTGTACTGGTCGTTGGTACGAGTGCAGACGGCGCTTTTGTACCAGACTGCAGTCGGCATAATTGCGCCTGCCTGCAGCAGCCGGAGCAGAGTAGCGTGTCGAGCACGGTCAGGCATGGAGTAGAAGGAGGCGCACACGAGCGCAGTCCAGCCTTGGTTGTCTCGCAAGTTGACTTCCGCGCCGTGCCGCAGCAGGATGTCCACCACCAGCACGTTGCCGCCTTCAGCGGCGAGCATCAGGACAGCGCCGTCTCGCCCCGCCCATCTTGCTGGTCGATCTCAGCACCGCGCTGCAGCAGCATATGGACCAGCGCCGCCTCTTGCTTGGCCCTGCCATTCATACCCCCGGTCCCTCTGGCTGCAAGCCCCAGCAGCGTCCTGTACATGGGCTGGCCCTTTGAGTCCTGCTCGTACTCGTACATCGCGTTGATCTGCCCACCGCCGTCCAGCCACGCCCGCGCCGTAGCCTCGTCGCCCTCCTCGATTGCTCTGCACAGCGCCCGAAGCTTCTCTCGCTCCTCTCGCTCGCGAAGATAGCGCTCGAGACTCGCAGCCTCCGCCTCTGGCTCCTTGGCTGGCAGCACGCCCGCCTTCCTCTCTGCCGTGCGCTGCTCCGACGCGCGACGCTTCTCTCTCAGCCGGTCCAGGTGCGCCTCGTACTCCTGCAGCTGTGCGTCACTGGCCTCGATGTCGACTGTTTTGGGGGCGGCAAGCACTGATGCAAGGGCGGCGAGCTTCGGAGGTAGCATCGGCGGCAGCTGAACATCGTCGCAGTATACTGCAGACGACAGCAAGGCGCACACTTGCGAATCCTGCTCCTGCTGGAAGGTCGACGCTGCCATATCTCGCCATTGCACCGCCAGTGACCGCATTTTCTCGATCATGAATCGCGTTGCCGGCTCACTCAGCGCGAGGCTAGCTGCAGCGGCCTTCTCGACAGCGGAGTATGTTGCCTCCATGCTCATCAGGAGGATGAATTCTGATAGCCTGCGAGCAGAGAGGGGGTTACGCGTGCTGGGCAGGCGGACCAGTGTCGCTGCTACGCACCAGTCCGACGAGCCGTAGCTGGGATCGCCGCTTCCTCCACGGAGCAAGTAAGCGGCGAGGGACTCCGCGGCGTCCTGCGTTTCCCCGCAACGCAGCCGCATGATCTGCGCTCGAGCAGCATCGTGATGTACTTTTGCATCTCGCTCAGCATGCTTGCTTTCGTGTCGCTTGCGCTTCTTGCCCGCTGCAGCCCACTTGTTGCGGGCTTGCCGGTATGCTCGCTCTTGACCGTCTCCGAGGTGAGCGAAGTCTTCACGGCAAGGAGCCGGAGGGCCATCGTTGCCGCAGGTCTGGCCGCCGTCGAGGGCGCCACCACCGCTGCCGCTGCAAGCGGAGATATGCGCGCTGGCCGCCTTACTTGTCCTCGTGCTCGCACTACTCATTGGATTGGTGATTGCGCTCGCATTGGGGTTGCTTCCCTTAAGAGCAGAACTGACACCGCCCCCTCCGCCCCCCGCGCCGACTCCGACGCACCCAATGCCCCCGCCGCCACCATTGTCTCTGCCTGGCGTGCAGCCGCCATTTTCTCCGCCCGGCGTGCCGCCGCCATTGCCTCCGCCCGGCGTGCTTCCCGCCCGCTGTTTTGTTGACCTGTCCAAGCAGCGGTCGGCGAAAGCTCCCCCAGTCATATCTCCGATGATTGTTGGCGGCACGGAGGTGGCTCCTCCTCGTCTCTACCCGTTCCTGGTGTACATAGCGGAGGAGGACTTCTGGGGCCAGTCTTACTGCGGTGCGGTGCTCATCCACCCGCAGTGGGTACTCACTGCCGCGCATTGCGGGACAAACTTCGAGCGAGTACGCGGCCGACTGCGCCAGTCACCTCTTGCTTTGCACGTTGACCATCAACTCCCCTCCCTCTTAGGTTCTACTCGGCGGGCACGCCATGAGCAAGTTTGAGGCTGGCGACGACTGCACGGAGACGATCAATATCGAGTCGATTATTCCAAACGCCCTCTACAATGCAGGCATCGAGCTTCGGTTGTAGCAGAGAAGGTTCCGGTTATGCAGCGCACTACTGACAGTATAATCTCTGAGCAGACACGATGGACAACGACATCACCCTCATTAAGCTGCAACGGCCAAGCGAGTACGCACTGATCGACCTCGACCAGCCTGGCGACAACACGTGGCACGAAGTCGGGACTAACCTCGTAACGGCAGGTTGGGGCACTCTGTCTGCTGGTGGCGGAACGCCCGACAAAGCGCAGCATGTCACTGTACCAGTCGTGCCGGACTGCGAGGACACCAACTACGGCCCGAGTGTCGGCATAGAGTACAATCCCGAGACGATGGTTTGCGCTGGGACGGTCGGCCTGGACACATCGGCGGTCACGGACATGTACTCCATGTTCTACCAGGCCTACTCCTTCAACCAGGACATTAGCGTGTGGAACGTGTCTGCAGTCACGACCATGGAGCGCATGTTCTGCTTCGCATCCGTCTTCAACCAGGACATCAGCGCGTGGGACGTGTCGGCGGTTACTACCATGAGCTCCATGTTCTGCGGCCACAACTCCCTGAGCGACTGCAACAAGGCGCTCATCCACGCCAGCTTCGACGCACAGACGAGCGCCTGGCCCTACGATTCCTCCTCGCTCGCGTGGGGCTCGCTCGCGTGCCCTCCCTAAGTAGGTAAGGTAAGGTAAGGTAAGGTAAACTTCTCCACACGAGGTGGTGGGGCAAGGGGTGCGACCCTCGCGTCACCACGTCTCTAACGACAGGAGCCCCACGGCATTAAAGTAGGCGTTGCTTCTGTCAGTCTCACGGGTAGGATCGCTTGCAGAGATCGGCGAGGCGTGTGAGAAAAAAGCTACTTTGAAAAACAACTTTTCATCTCCCTCGCTGCGCCTTGGACGGTACTTGGCCTAGCGCCTCCCAGAGCTCGAGCTTGGCCCTAATGGCCTGGGCGTAACCTGCGACAACCTCCTGCTGGGTCGACAGCGCCCCCTCCCACTTGTCCGTCTCGTGGGCCAGGAAATCGGAGATGACGCTGTTCTCCAGGCCCCGCCGCTGCTCGCCCCGCTCCGCCTCAAGATCGCGGACGCGCTGGTTGAGCGTCGTGGCGCGCGCGGCCAGCGCCTTGACTTGCTGCTCGTGGGCGACGCGGGACGGCGGTTGCGAGCTCGGCGCCTCCCTCCGGCGCGGAGACAGCGTCGCATATGTCCTGACTGCCGGGTAGAGCCCTCTCCTCGATGCGGGGGGACCGCTTATGATCGAGTCGATGCGCTTCCCAGCAGCTGGCGGCTGCAACCGGCTCGCCGACTTGCGCAGGGGCGGCTGCCTCCTCATGGCCGCCGTCGTAGTCGCGTACTCGCGGGCCGCCTCGCGCCTGCGGCACGCCTCCTGCCGCTTGTTCGCCTCCGCATTCAGCCGGCGCGCGTGGCTCTCTCGCGCGGCGAGCTGGAACTTGGAGACGTGATACTGGCTATTGCAGGGAGGGAGCCGGACCGGCGCGCCCGGCTTCGGCCGAGCGGGCTCTGGCGCGGCCTCCCATTTTCGCTCCTCCGCCTCAAGCTTGGCCTGCCTCTCGAGCTGCAGAAAGTCCATCGGACGATGGTACTCCTTGCGCTGGGCGAGGACCTGGCGCCGGCGCGCCTCAGCTTCCCGCTCCAGCTGCTCCGAAAAGGCCTGCTCCTTGATCTGGTACATTGGCGTCTCCTCGAGACGGCTCTGCGCCACGGCCCACATCTTCAGCTGCTGCAGCCAAGACTGCTGCTCCAGGCCGTCGGCGCCGGCTGGCTCTGGCGGACGTGCGCTGGGCGGGAGCTTTTGCCCTGAGCGGAGCAATTCATTCAAGTCGATCGCTCCTGTCGCCGGCGCCTCTGTCGCCGCCGTGGGGGCCTCGCCCCCGTCGAGCATTGCGCTTCCGCCAACCAGCGCACTCTCAGAGCGATTGCAGTCCGCATCGACCATCCGCAGCGGTTACGGAGTTCGCGTGTGTCATATACAATTGTGCATACGTGCACAGAAGAAAAATGTGGACGCCCTCTCGGATGGCAATGGAACCAACAGCGCCTTTTGCTTAGTTTCCAACAAGAGCTCCATTTTTACGCTCCATTTTTTAGGGCAAGGCGTCTATTCGGTGCTCTGCACGTTAGAGCGTGCGGCAGGCGTGCGGCAGGCACCTGCCGGACGCAAATGGGGCCGCCTGGTGGCCTCCGAGCGCCAGCCGAAGCAACCCTCGTCGTGCCCCGACACCCCCCCGACTCATGATGTGCCGCTCTTGCCTGTGTGGCCGCTGACGGCGGGACCCCGTGCGCGGCTGCGCCGCAATCTCGTCACTGCCGTCGTCACACCTGTCCACAGATGCGACGGGTGCCTGTCCGACCGCCACAAACAGGCCTCGTTGCGGATCGCCAGCCCGCCCGTTGCCTCCGCAGACGCCCAGCTAGCCGAATCGTCGTTACCTTCCGCAGACCGACTTCGCGAGCGAGCGGGCGCGTTCTAGATGACGGTCACGCCCAACTCACCGGCCTTGTGGCCTGAAACCGATTCTGAGCCCTGCCTCCCCCGAGCGGGTATGGCCGCTGCCCGGCGGCCCGCGGTACGATTCGGTCCCGCCACCTCCCCGCCGTCCCGGTTCCCGCAGGTGAATTAATGCGAGTTCGCCACCCTCCTCGCCGCCCTCTCCGCCACTGTCGCCTCCGCGCTCTCCTCCGCCGTCGCCGCCGCCCTCGCCTCCACCGCCCTCTCCGCCACCCTCCCCGCGGCCTTCTCCACCGCCCTCTCCGCCGCTCTCTCCTCCGCCGTCGCCGCCGCCCTCGCCGCTGCCGTTGCCGCCGCACTCCTCCCCGCTGCCGCCCTCACCCTCCCCGCCGTGCCGTCGGTCTCGCCGTCGCCTTCTTCCGTGTCGCTGTCGCCGCTCCGCCGTCCGTGTCGCCGTCGCCGCCTCGGATCCGTCCGTGTCGCCTTCGCCGCCTCCGTCCGTGTCGCCGTCGCCGCCTCCGTCCGTGTCGCCGTCGCCGCTGCCTTCCTCCGTCTCGCCATCCCCGCCGCCGATCTCACCTTTGCCGCCTCAATCCATGTCGCCGTCGCCGTCGCCGCCGTCGGTCTCGCTTTCGCCGCCTCTGTCCTCGTCGCCGTCGCCGCCGCCGCCGTTGGAATCGCTCTCCCCGCCGCCGTCGGTCGTGTCGACTTCGCCGCCTCCGTCCGTGTCGCCTTCGCCGCCTCCGTCCGTGTCGCCGTCGCCGCTGCCTTCCTCCGTCTCGCCCTCCCCGCAGCAAGCTCGCTTGCCGTCGCCGTCGCCGCCATCGGTCTCGCTTTCGCCGCCTCCGTCCGTGTCGCCGTCGCCGCCTCCGTCCGTGTCGCCGTCGCCGCCTCCGTCCGTGTCGCCGTCGCCGCTGCCTTCCTCCGTCTCGCCCTCCCCGCAGCAAGCTCGCTTGCCGTCGCCGTCGCAGCCATCGGTCTCGCTTTCGCCGCCTCCGTCCGTGTCGCCGTCGCCGCCTCCGTCCGTGTCGCCGTCGCCGCCTCCGTCCGTGTCGCCGTCGCCGCTGCCTTCCTCCGTCTCGCCCTCCCCGCAGCAAGCTCGCTTGCCGTCGCCGTCGCCGCCATCGGTCTCGCTTTCGCCGCCTCCGTCCGTGTCGCCGTCGCCGCCTCCGCCGTCGGATTCGCCTTTGTCGCCTGCTCCGTCCGTGTCGCCCTCGCCGCCGTCACATTTCGGCATATACACAGTTTCCACATGTGCAAGTTCTTCTTGATGCACACGGCGGTGCAGCCCCCGGCCATAGCGGGCAACTCAAGGCATCGACGCTCTCGCCGAAGCCCCTGTGCACTGTCCGGCACTTGCCGCCGTTTTATTCGGCGCAATGGCCGGCGTTGAAGCTCCGAACCCAGGCGCAGCCGAGCCCATTTCTTTCAGAGACAATACCAACAACCTCTTTCACTCATTCTTAAAACAGTACCGGCCGGGATTTCGAAGATAGTGCTAAAATGGATACCTGCCTGGAGAATGGCATTTAATTTCGCGGACCGGCTCTTAACAATCAGGTCATGTCACCGCTTAATGTGCATGTGCGTGGCCTACGTCAGAGACCAAGTGACCAGCCGTCCCGGGCAATTTGTGACCCGTCTACGCCCTCGCGCCTCGGGCGCGGCCGGCCGCCCGGCCGGCTGCCCCGTTGACTTCCCCGCCGCGCGCTACGCGTTCGTGCTACGCGTTCGTTCGCAGTAATCTGGCTTAGTTCAGAGAGGTCGGGTCGTCTCTATGCGTATCACAGCGCGGCGCTGGCCTGCGCAAAGGCGGGCATGTAGTCGAATCAATCAATCATCCCGACATTTGATGTTAGTGGCAAAACCGCGGAACCGAAAATGGCGTTTAATTTTGCGCACCTGCTGTCCGCCGCCTGCGGCGGCGCTGCGCGCCGCCTACGCGCGCTGCGCGCGCGTTTTCTCTCTCTTTTTCTGTCTTTTTCACAGTGTAATTTTACCGAAAAAATGCCATTTTTTAGTTTAGTTGTTTTGTGAAACCGCGCGGCGAATTTTCCATTGGGCGGGGTTGATTGCGGTTGTGGACGAGCCGTAGGCGGCGCCAGCAACTCCCAGACTCGAACGAAGGGGTGGGATGATGAAGAGGTCGGCTCTGGCCTCAGCCGTCACCGTGCCGGATTTGGCGCGAGACCCGAAGCAAGGTTCATCCGAGCTGGCCAGCGGGTCCGACTTCGACTTTGAGGAGCTCTCCTCCCTCTCCTACGCCTCGACTCCAAGCTCAATGTCCTCGGGATCGATGCAGAACATCCTGTCACCGCGCGAGACCCAGCGCCGCTGGCTCAAGAAACGTGAGGAGGACGACAGCAATGCTTTTGACCGGCTGGATGACCTATCGCTGGCCTGCCAAAACATCGCGGCTGGGCAAAGACAGGAGGACTGGCTGAGCTTGAACACAAGGGTGACCGCGCCCCCATTCCAAGCGCAGAGCGGTGAGCCCTGTGCCTCTCTTGTGCGCCGGGACCGTGTCTGCGTCTGCCGCTCGACGCCGACGGCTCTGGGAGCGTTCTCGGGCCAACCGTCCAACCACATCTGCACATTCGTCAGGGCGCAGAGCTTGTAAAGGCGGCACCCATTGATCGAACCCAACTATCAACACCGAGGAGGGTCTTCAGTCTTCAGTTCACCGCATCGCGGGCACGACGCCACGATCACTAGCGCCACCCCACTCTCTGACTTTTTGACCACGACGCACGAGCCTGGCCGGGGCGCGGGGGCGCGGGGCGGCGCCGGCCGCGGGCGGGCCCGCGCCGGGGCGCCCCCTCGGGCCGCGCCGCCTGGGGCCGGGCCCCGCGCACGGTATCCGAAAGATACAGTACGTCAACGTGGCTTAGCGTTGCTGAGAACATATAAATGAAAGCACGGCACAGCTGGTAAGTGGTATGGCACGCGCGCGGCACACTCACGCAAAGAAGAGGCGGGGTTGCAAGGTTTGCCACTGCGGGGCAACCTCCCTCTAGCAACCTCCGCTCGCATCGACACTCCCGCGTGATGCCGCCTCGTCACGGCATCACGGTGCACGGGCAGTCACGCAACGACACGCACGGCGACGCAGCACTGCCGCCGCCTCGGGCACGCCCCTGGGTCGAGACGGAGACCACGCTGCAGACAGCCCCCCCTGCCCGCCGCCTGCTCCGGTGGCGAGACGCCCCCACAGCGGCGCGCACACACACGCACAACACGTCCACCGCGAGAAGAGGAGCGTCCGCCCGCCGCGCCGAGCACTGCCGCCACTGCCGGCCGGCGGAACCGGCGGCGCGGGAAGGCGGCAGGCTCCAGCTCCTTACGGCGCCGTCGCCACCGCCTCGGCGAAGCCGACGCGGTCGTTGCCAAAGTCGTAGACCGAGAAGTACTTTGAGAGGAAGACGTCGCCGAGGATCCAGAGCGGGCCAGCCGGCTTTGGTACGTCCATCGGCATCAGCCCGAGGGTGCACATCTTCTTGCCGAGCAGCTCCATCTCCAGCACGTACTCGGCCGACTCGAGGCTAAAGGTCTTGCCGCCCAAGGTGAACGAGAGCGTGGGCAGCTCCCCCTTCTTGTCGCACGGAATCGAGTACTGCCCGCCCATCCCCGCCTGCGCGTCCGCGAGGCCCAGCTTGCCAATCACCTTCTTCAGCTGCTCGGTGGGGCCGACGATGAGCGAGGTGCCTGTTCACAGCCAGAGGTGTGAAGAGACGCTGTTCACACCCATCGTGGCCGACGACGAGCGAGGTGCCCGTGTCGGCGATGGCGGAGCCCTTTGTGAGGACGTCGCTTCCGCCGACCGACACTGCGTCGAGGTCGAACTGCCAGTAGCCCTTGCGTGTGATGGGGAGGTAGTGGAGGTCGCCTGTGCGGGAGATACGGGGAGATATGGGGAGATATGGGGAGATATGGGGAGATATCGGGAGGTAGTGGAGGTCGCCTGTGCGGGAGATATGGGGAGATATGGGGGAGATATGGGGGACATGGGGAGGTATGGGGAGGCAGTGCAGGTCGCCGGTGTAGTAGGAGTCGTCGACGCCGCCCAGGAAGAGCATGCCGCCCGGCGTCTGCTTCGGGTCCTTGCTCATCCAAAAGGAGAAGAGCGGCGCCGCGAGCTGGCCTGGTGATGACTTCGTTCATTAGTAACGATTAGCTGTTGAGTAGTAGTTAGCTCGTCGCGGGCTGGCCTTGCTTGAGATCTGGGGAGATATGGGGAGATATGGGGAGATATGGGGAGATATGGGGAGATATGGGGAGATATGGGGAGATATGGGGAGGTATGGGCTGGCCTTGCTTGATCAGCTCCTGCATCACCGGCGTGAGGCCGTTGACCTGCTCACAGCTGCGGGTGTGAACAGCGTCTCCTCACAGTGCTGTATGGCGGGCGTAAGGCCGTTGACCTGCTCACAGCTGCGGGTGTGAACAGCGTCTCCTCACAGTGCTGTATGGCGGGCGTGAGGCAGTGGACCGAGAGCGACGGGTATGCGAGGCCGAGGATGCCGTCGAACTTTGAGAGAACAAACGCGGCGCCGGGCTCGGTGACGGCCTCGGCGAAGGAGGCGTTCTTGAGAGTGAGCGACCCGACGCTGATCTTGTCGTGCGAGATGAAGCCGGACATCGAGCCGGACCCGTACTTGATTGCGAAGGGCGTGCCATCGCGCACAAAGGTGTCCGACTTGTCGCTTGCGTAGCGGCGGTGGAGGAAGCACGCGAGGTTGAAGCCCTTGCAGCGCGACGAGGGCACCCAGAGGTTTGCCGACCCGGTGTCGAAGACGACGGAGAAGGTCTGGGGCGGAGTGCCAATCGAAATCTCGCCGTAGTACTGCGCATCTTGGAAGTCCTTCAGCTCAACTGTCGCCGTCCCCGCGTCGCCATCCGCCGCGATGAGGTTGGTGGTGGCTCCGCCGAGGGCAAACAGCCCCTGCGAGGTCTCGTCGTTCAGCTCCAGCGCGTGCTGCCGCGCCGTCCGCTCAACCTTGCTCAACCGGACCGCGTGCACGCCCTTCTTCCGCGCAGCCGCCGGCTCCTCCCGCGCCGACTGCGCCGCGAGGAGGTGCGTCTGCGGCTGCTGCTGCGCCGGCAGGTCCAGGACGCCCGAGAGCACCGCCCCCGACGCCGCGCCGGCCGCGGCCGCCGACGGCATGACCGACGAAGAAGACGTCGGAGCGCTGTGCTGGGACGCTGCCGAGATGAGGAGGAGGAGCGTGGCGACGCCCATGCCGGCGCCGGCGACGGTGATCCAGCGCGGCAGCGCCTGCCGCCGCGCCGCTGGGTACTCCACGTAGCCCTCCGAGGCGGGGAGAAGCGGTTCCTCGCGCGCTGCTACCTTGGGGACCATGGTCAGAGCGCTCGCCGGAGACTGCCACTGGAAAAAAGAATTGCCCCCGCCTTCCTGCTGCGTGCCGTCCTGAGGACCGCCGGGTTCGGACTTTTTGGGCGGCTTTTTTTTTTGAGAGCGCCTTCGTTGTTAATAATACAAGCCCGTGGTCCCTGGTAGCAGTCACTCGCACACACACGCCGCACCGCACCGCGCGCCCGCCCGCCGCCCCGCCCAGCCAGGCGGGAAAGAGAGGAGGGGATGTGACAGCGAAGGAGGAAGCACAAGCACGTGTGGGAGGGTTCAGTTGTGCGCCACGCTGCCCGGCGTTTCTCACTTTCCGGGACAGCCCCGCCCTTTTGAGGCAGGAGAGTGACGGCTACCCCGTACGCCCTGTCACTGCTACCCCAACGCCGACCGCCCATCCGCTCTCCTCTTCCCCCCCTCGATTTTGTCGGCCCCGCAAGCCGCCCGACGTTGGGCCCCCGCCCTGCACGCCCCTGCCCCTCGCCGCCCCGCGCACACACCCTGGCCCGACACGCACATACAAGACAAACCCGGCGTCCTGCTCTCAAAAGAAACGAAAAAATGGGAAGCATCAGGGTCGCCCGTGCCGACGAGTCGAGCAGGCTCGTCGAGTAGGCGTTGGAGTAGTCGAGGGCGATGACGATGGCGCGGCTCCCGAGCGTAGGTGAAGGTGAGTCGCAGTACAGCTGCAGCGCTGTGGCGACGCCCTGCTACACACGGCCCTCTACGCTGGGGCGCCGGCGCCCTACTGGGCGCCCCCCGCTCCCTTCCCCTTAGAGCCCCCATCCCACTAGCCCCCCCCCGCGGTCCCTCGCGGTCGCGCGACGCCGCACCAATGGCGCGCTGTGCCTCGTCCGCGAGCGCCGACCCGTTTAACAATCCTCTACGGCTGTTGCTGCTTAATGTGCATGTGGCTCTACGTCAGCCGTCCCGGGCAATTTGTGACCCGTCTACGGCCGTTGGCTGCCCCGCTGCGCGTTCGTTCGCAGTAATCTGGCTTAGTTCAGAGAGGTCGGGGCGTCTCTATGCTTGTCACAGCGCGGCGCTGGCCTGCGCATGGCGGGCATGTATTAGTCGAATCAATCACAATCAATCATTCATCCGCCCGACATATTGCACCGGATTTTGATGTTAGTGGCAAAAGTGCGGAACCGAAAATGCGTTTAATTTCGCGCACCTGCTGTCCGCCGCCTGCGGCGGCGCTGCGCGCCACGCAAGGCGCCTGCGGCGCCATGTAGCGCGCTGCGCGCGCTTTTTTTGTTGTGGGGCAGCACGGAAAAATTGCCACTTTTCCTTTGGTATGGTACGTATGGTAATCGAATCCTGCTGACAGACCCAGCCTCCCGCCGACGGGACCATACCCCCCCCCCCCCCCCTTCCCTCGCCCCACCGCCGGCCGCCTTCTGCTAGGCTCCAGGAGGTTGCGCAGACACCAACACTTAGGACACGCACACTAGATACGCGCGGATGGCCGCCGTCTTCCACGCCAGCACCGGCCGGTGCTCGTCTAGAGCGCGGCGGCGAAGTTAGCAATCGCCTGGCGAGCGGCGGGCGCGGCACCCGCGCCGGTCGCCGCACCCGCACCAGCAGGCGCCGCGCTGGCCGTCCCCGTGCCAGCGCGGGGCTGCAGCAGCTTGGCGGCGTCGGCACGGCCGTACTCTGAGCGAGCGTAGGCGGTGGCCGCCTCTTCGGCGGTGTCGAAGGAGCCGAGGAAGACACTCTTGCCGCCAGGTCGCACCTTCGCCTCGAACTGCTTACTGCCGCGGTGGAAGATCACGTTCTTGTAGCCCGTCGTGCTGTCCTTGCGGACGGCTGGGATCAGCACAACGCCCTCTGACGACGCGGTCCGCGGCGGGGCCATCATGCGGGCGGCTCCGGTGGCCGCCGCGCCGGCCGCCCCGCGGGCCACCGCACCGGCGAGGTCCTCAATGGGCATCGCCGTGCCGGCGGGTGCCCCTCCGGTGGGTGCCGCGCCCGCTCCGGTGGTCGCCTCGCCGGTGGTCGCCTCGAGCGAGCCAGCTCGGCGCAAGTACATCCTCTGGCTCGCCGGCGCAACCATGTCCCTGCCCGCCTCCCTGCGGGCGTAGAAGAGCGCCGCCTCCTCGGGGGTGGTGAAGTAGCCGAGGGAGAGCATCTTGCCGCCAACAAACACCGACAGCCTGTACTTCTTGCTGCCTCGCTCCTTCGGGCGGTAGCAGACGCCTTTGTAGCCGGTGTTGCCGCAGCCCGTGGCCAGCGTAAGCCCCTCCCTGTCTGCCTGCCGAACTGCCTCGGCGCCTGCAGCGGTGATGGTGCGCACGGCGGCCTGCGCGGCCGGCGCGGCCGGCGGCGCGCCACCGCCGCCCGCCTCGTCGGCGGAGGGGCCGCCGAGGCGCGCCCGCTCGCTCGCGCCGACACGCGGCGCCTCCTCCTCCTCCTCCCCCCCCCTCCCCTCCCTCTGCTCCCCATCGCATCGCCGCCGCTTTGCTCGGCGGAAGCCCTCCGCCGCTGCCTCGAGCAGGGCCCCCCCAACCCACGCGCTTGCCGTCCCGAGGAACGTGATCCATGACGCACTGCCCGCAGAGGGCGCCGCCGCACCGCCTGCCGGCGGCGAGGCAGCCTCCGCAGGCAGCGGCGCGAGCTCGACCGGCGTCGCTGGCGCGGCCGTCGCCGCCGCCGCCTCCACAGCCGGCACCTGGCGGGCGAAGGGCGAAGAGCGTGAGAGAGAGACAGCCGCGCGCGACTCAGAATCTGCGGTGTGGTTTGGGCACCCGCACCGGCACCGGCGGTGCCTGCTGGCCGCCGGGGCCTGCAGCGAGCGGCGGCGCGGGCGCCGGAAGCAGCACCAGCTGCGGCTGCAGGCACTCGCGCGTGCAGCACTGGCACGGCGAAGCTGGCGTCGTCGCCATGTCGACCGGCCGCAGCGGCCGCTCTCCTCGCGGCGCGCCGGTCCAGTCGAGCGCGTCGTGCCGTAGGCGGCCAAGCTTGCGCTTCGTGTCGGCCTGGCGGGCCGCCTTCTCAAAGCACGTCAGGCAGACGGCGGTCCCGTATGCGACGTCGCAGCGCGGGCAGGCGTGCGTCGCCCCGCCAAGGCACATCCAGCACTGAAGTCCGTTGTGAGACGCCATGGTTTGGCGGGAAGGTCTTTTCTTTTTTCGAATACGGGGTTACGCCCACTCAGGATGTGTGGCAGCCCGCTGGCTGTGTGTCTTGTGAGCTTGTTTGTGTCTGTGTGTCGCTCGTGCGTGTCGTCATCATCTGTCTACTCTCCTGTACGAATGGTTGGGCAAGTAGTGAGGGACACGATCCCGGCGTGACGGGGCCGGTGTGCGGGGAGCGAACCTTAACGACCGCCCAGAAGCTTTCTGAGCGAACCAATTGGGCCAGGATCATCAGCATATGTCCCCTCGACAGCATCGTGGGCGTTTGAGCGGTATTTGAGGAGCACCGCTACTGTCTCTGAAGTTCGGCCGGGTGGTCTGCAGACCCCCCCCCCCCCCCGGAGCAGCAGAGGCTCCGTGGGGTCCGCAAAGTCGACGCTGGGAGTCGCACTCGTCAAACTGTCGCAGCACCACGCAGTCCGCACGTACCGCCCATATCCACACCACCGCTGAGAAGGCGCAGATCGACCGCCGGGCCGCGTAGTCGTCGTTAAGGAGCGGTTTTTGGAGCCGTACGAAGGGGTCCAAAACGGGCGAACATGCGGTTTTTCGACGGCCACACGCGATGTGGTATCTTCTTTTTGCTAAAAACGGGCCGCCTAGTGCAGCACCACTAGTACAACACGCCATCAGACTTAGAGCTCCACAGTAGATGTTTTTGACGAGCGCCGACGGCGTCACGGTCGCCGGAATTGACGCACTGCACACACACTGTGACCGTGTCGTTGGTGTGACAGTGAGCGACACAATCGTCGGCGCCGCGCTATCGCGGCGCCCCGGGCCGCAGTCTACACGCCTCAGGCGCACCCCTGAAGGCGCCATGAGCGCGCAGGCACATAGCAGCGCCGCGCCAAAAGGTCATTCCCTCACCGGTCCGCTCTTCACCTGCACAGGGCAAAAACGTGTAGCGTAACAGACGAGTTGTGATGATCAGTGCTGGCAGAGGCCTCATCGCCGCGAATGTTGCCACTCGCAGCGGGATCTAACGTCGCGTTCGAGGTGTGCATTGGCGGAGGGGTCGCATGGCTGAGAGAGGCAGAGGCAGCAGGCGGGTAAGGCATGTTGAGTATCGCCGTCGGTGGAACGCCGTTGGATAGAATTGTCTGTTGGCACTCTGAAGCCACTGATGCCCGGGGTGAATAGGCAGACCTTGGTAGATGGCAAGCTCCTTTCCAGAAGAACATGTCCCATTACACAAGGGCACTGCCTCAGCCCCATTACACAAGGGCTCAAGGACGTTTTGCCAAGGGGTAGGCCCAACTGTTGCATTCCATGGTGAAACACATTTTGGAGGCAAAGGAAACCGTGCACGTTGCACTGACCCAGCAGAGTTGGCGGCGAAAGATGTGTCGCAGGCCCACTAGGGGGCTGGGTTGTCGCAGAAGGTCCGTGCCCCATGATGGTTAAAGCCGTCGAGCCGAGTCGACTCTTGGGGCGTGAGTGCACATGTACATGTACATGTAGCGGGCTGCGGAGTGGCGGAAAATCAAAGTGGCCGTCGTGGGTGAATGGCGCCTCAGGGGCAGGCGCCGGACGCGGCGGTGGCTCGGACGCGGCGGTGGCTGGCGCGGCGGGCGCACCCGCCTCCGCAGGCAGCGGCGCCGCTGGCCCCTCCGCTGCCTCCGCTCCGTCAGCATTCAGCAGCGGCGACTCAAACACTATGATGTAACTTATTCCGGGGCCGGTGTGCGGGGAGCGAACCTTAACGACCGCCCAGAAGCTTTAACCTGGTTTGTGGAGCTCCCGCAACTGTCCTGACAGTCCTGACAGAGTCCTGACAGAGTCCTGACATAGTCCTGACAGAGTCCTGACAGAGTCCTGACAGAGTCCTGGCGGGGTCCTGACGGCGCACGGTCTTCACAGTGCTCACAAGTGCCTCCGAAGAGACTTCCACCTTCCTTCACTGCAACCCTCCTTCCCCTCCCCCCCAGCAGTGAATGATAGACGCCCAGCCCCCCTTTCGACCGTGCGCGCCCTCTGCGGAATCGTCCTGATGGGGCAGTCCTGACGCAAACTTGAGAGTCCTGACAAGCAAACTTGAGAGTCCTGACAGAAACTTGAGAGTCCTGACAGAACTTAGAGTCCTGACAGACAAAAGAAATCACGCTGGGTCTCGCGCCACTCGGCCGACCATGAAAGCGCACAAGCAAGAGAGGCGCGGCCATGGTGCAGGCAACGTTACAGCCGGCAACGTGCATAGGCAGCAAAGCTCGGCCACGACGTCCATGGCCCGCGCGCCCCCGATTTGCCACCGGCAACCTGCAGGCCAGCGCCGAGCAGCGGACGGCGGCTGACCGACTGCTGACCGAGGCAGCGCCCACGGCAGCGCCCACGGCAGCGCCCACAGCAGCACCCACGGCAGCACCCACGGCAGCGCACACGGCTTGGCTGGCCATGTCAGCCGCGCAGGGACCCTCCCGCGGGTCCAACCCGAAGCGCTCGACCGCTCGACAGCGCAAGTCGGCTGACGGAGCGAGCCGCATAGCCCTCCAGTGCTCACCGCAGGATCAGGCCTGACCGGCCCACGCTCACGGCCTGGCCTGCCTGTGGACCAGCAAACTCGTTGGCTGTACGCGAGGAAAGAGCTGCGTGGCTGGGTCGATACCGTCCCCGTGCGCCCTTTCCCTCAGTGGAGGGCCGTCCCTGCCCTCGGGAGTAACTCGACTGTACACCCCTCCCTACTCTCTAGCTAAGGGCTCTATTCACAGCGGGGACAGTGGTTGTCCTGGCGGAGTCCTGACGGAGTCCTGACAGAGTCCTGACGGAGTCCTGACAGAGTCCTGACAGAGTCCTCGGATGGAGCGACGTCGAGCGCCTTTGTGCGCCCTTCATATCGATAGAATATCTGGAAGCTCGCGAGGCAGCGCAGCTGCTCCAACGAACCAGCACTGACCGGCGTGCCACAGTGCCTTGTCAGGCGACCCATCCTGGCGCGGTGCGGCAGGGCCGGTCCCGTGCCCGTCGTAGAGAGAAACAAAAAAAGAAAAAATCTCTTGCCATCTGAAATTTCGAAAGAAAATTCTTTTTGCCTCGCTTTGACTCTCGCCGCGCCCAACCAACCTCGCTACCCTAACACCACGCACTCCACCTGCGGGCATGAGTCCCGGCCAGTCCGCGACCTTCCCGTCCACATCGGGCGAGCAGATGTTCACCACGGTGGTCCCAGTTGGCGTACAGCCGGGCCAGACGTTCGTTGTTGCGAGCGCGTCGCGCCGCACTGCGCCGATGCAGCATGCTAGCTTGGTCGGGCGGCTGGTCTCCGTGCCGGAGACAGAGTGGGTGAGCGTCGAAGCGGGTGGCGACCCATCCTTCTGCTACGCTGGCGCGGTGGCGGAGCAGCAAACGGGCCACGTTCTAATCCAGTTTGCGTACACGGGAGAGAAGGAGTGGTTCCCAAACGCCAAAGCCGTGGCGTGGCTTCAGCCAGATGTCACACCGCTATGTGACTCTTTTGCGAGGTTGTAGTCGTCGGCGAGGGTGTGTGGTCGGAGCGGAGAATATGCATTGGTGTTTCTGTAGACGCAGAACACGCACGCGCAGCACTCAACGTCAACCGCCCGCCTCTCACACACGCGTCTCACACAACACCACTCTGGTCTCTGCTCACGCGCCACACGCGTAAAAAAAGACTGCAGCACTCTGCATGCACATGTGCATGCACATACATGGACATGTGCATGTGCATGCACGATCGCATGCGAAGGCTGGGTAGTACGGCTCTAGCGTCTAGGCTCTATATAGGCTACTTTAGGCTAGAGGTACTCGACGGACGACGCGCGTCCCACATGGCTGTGTGTCGCTAAAGTATGTATGTAACTAGTGAGACGATTTAGGTTTGGGGCAGAGCGAGTGGGTCGTGGAGGGTCGTGGAGGGTCGTGGAGGTCGTGGAGTGGCGAGTCACGCTCGGGCGGACAGCATCGATGCCGTCGCCGGACGCGGCGGCGAGGCACGCGGGCGCCGGCGTGGCGCGTCGGCAGGCCCACCACGAGCGGATGCGCGACGAGCGCGCTCGGGAGGCGGCCGCGGGCAACGCGGAGCTTCCGCCGGAGGACGACGCGGTCGAGATGGCGAGCGCCGCCCAGCTGCTGGACAGCGTGGCGGAGGCGGGCCCGAACTACACCCAGCTGCGCAGCAAGGAGACGAAGGCGATGCGCCGGAAGCGAAAGCGCGAGGATGCCTACAGAGCAATCATGCGCCGCATCGCACAAGGCACATCGTGCCGGTAGTGCACATGACGGCTGGCGGCGCCGCTGACGATGGTCACACACGCAGCGCCGCGCCGCTGCCACACACCGATCACGGGGCACCGCGGGCACGCGGCGGCCGCCGGCGCCGGTCCGCGGGGCGCAAACGCGCGACCCTCAGTAGGCGCTCGACGAGCCCAGCGGTACACGGCTCGGCTACCATTGGTCTGTCTATCAATCTGGTGAGCTCGTCCTTCAGGTGCTTCTTTAGCTCCTCAGAGAGGAGAGGCTTGCCGTTGCCATCAGCATCAGAAGCGATCAAGCTTCAAGGTCGAGCTGCCGAACTTGATGTTGATGCCTGCCCACCGGCGTTGGGGAGGTGGAGGTCGTCGAGATATGGAAAGGGGCAGGCAGGGAAGGGTGGAGAAAGCGGCGGCAAGGGCTCCATCCGACATGCGCACAATTCTCGAGTTCGGAGCTGGAGAGATGATCGGCGTCCCCAACAGTCCTCGAGGAGGCGGCCTTCGCTTTGACCAGCGCAACAGCCACGGTCTCCATCCGCTGGGAATGCCGACACCGGCAGCATCGTCACCGACCTCTCTCGATGGCTCCTCCCTCTCGGTCCTCAAGACACATCCTCATCTCCTCACGCGGCGAGTGCGAGTACCCCACAAAGGACCCGAGCACGAGGTCCTCAAGACCACATCCTCATCTCCTCACGCGGCGAGTGCGAGTACCCCACAAAGGACCCGAGCACGAGGCGCGGCTGCTGACCCACCACCGGCAGCACCTCGTGCACGCGATTGCTGTTGAAGATGAAGACGTCGCCCGGCGTGACGGTGAGGTTGTACTCGCGCGGGTGCAGCATGGCTGCCGCGCGCGGCCAGTGAGGGAAGGCGATTCCCACGTCGTAGGCCACGCCGCGCTGGTTGCAAGTTGACATGAGGGCCTCCCAGTTGGTGCTAAAGAGCCGCAGCTCTCCCCCGGATCTGGGCTGCTGCAGCGACACGAGGGCAGAGAGCTGGTGCCGAAGGCGGCGGAGAGGGCGGAAGTTTGGCGCCACGCCTCGCCTCGGCCGCTTTCCTCCGCACGCACTGCTCCACTCTGCAGCGTGGATGGTGTCTGCGTGCGGCGCGAAGCGGTTGCCCGGGCGGTGCATGCGAAAGACGCCCGGAGCCGGGAGGAAGTCGGCCTCAGCAGCCGCAGACCTCGCGGCAAAGAGCGCACGCAGAGTGCGGTGCAGCGCCTCCACCGGGGCGTACAGGCCTGCTCTCTTCGCCGCGAGATCAAAGGCGGCAGTGGCGTTGGCGTGATGCCTCTGAAGGTCGGTCGTTTTGGTGCAAGTGGAGTGGACTTCGGCCCGCAGCAAATCTAGAGGGTGCGGGTAGCGGCCCAAATAGGCACCCAAATCGACGCCCAACGTCTTATAGGAGGCTGTCCTCCTCTGCCACGGCTGCCCTTGCAGCCGCGACAAGACTGTCGTCAGCGCAGGTGCTGCTAGCGCACGGCGCACGACGAGAGCAGGCACCGCACCACTCTCCAGGAGAGCGAGCGGGTCAGCGTGCGCCGAGATGATCTCCTCCACCGACCCGCCTGTTATTGGCAGCCACAAGTTCCGCGCCATCGCTCTCTAAACAAAGAGTGAATTTGACATTGGACGTCGGAGTCTCGGAGTTTCGACACTACGCGCTGCCAAGCATCGGCGTAGGGCGTCCTCGAGCGCCACTGCGCGCACCCTCTCATCTCCTGGTATCATACTGCAGGCAATGGCAAAGAAGACGACGAAGCGTACTGCCGCCGACACAGCCGACGCCGACACAGCCATCGCGCCGCCTGCGGATAGTGGAAAGGGCAACGCGGATGTCCGAGTGGAGAGCTGGATGCCTACTATCCTCATCGTTGTTTCCGTGATGGTTCTGAAGTACATGCAGCGGAGCGGACGCGGAGCGGAACTCTACGAAGCCTGCCAGCACTACTTCTTCCCCGCGAGTCCAGATCCGGCCATGTAGTTGCGTGCTGTCGACGAGGGACCAGCGATGTGGGACGGAGCCAGCGAAGATTGCACCGGCGCACTACGAAATGAGCGGGGCGCGAGCGCGCTCGTGCGACTGCGGCGGCCCCGTCGAGAGAGCACGCATGTACACACCTCTCCCGCGCGCGAGACGCGAGCGAGTCGCCTCCGAGTCGCACAACGCAGTCGTCGTCACACGTCAGCGCGGAGGAGAGAGCCACACAGGCAAGTGGCGCGATCTTACCGTGGTCTCATTTCGACACTGTGTCAATGTCGCATCCTTTTTGACGTACGTGCGGCAAAACGGGCACACGTACACGCGCGCGCGGATCGCACGACTCCCTATGACAGTAGACTAGAGCGCAAACGGTGTGCACACCGCCGGCCTCACTTGCGCTTTTCGCGCCCGCTGTTCTGCTTGCGGGCGGGCTTCGGCTTCTCGCGGCCCGACCCGCCCTTGCCGCGCCCGCCCTTCTTGCTCTCCTTCGCCTCCTCGGCGAGCAGCGCCGCCGCCGCGGCCTCAGCGCGCTCCTCGAGCGAATCGAGCTTTCCGCGCGTCGTCTGCTTCTCGCCGCCGCTGGGCAGCTTGATCGTGTAGAAGGCCCCGTCCACGTCCGCGTGGACCTGCATGATCTCCACCAGCACCGGGTCGCTGGACCGGTCCGCCTCGTACCAGCACTTTGCGCCCTTGAGCAGCGGCGGCCGCGCCTCGGCGGCCCGCCCGCGGCGCGCCCTCGCTGACGGTGCCGGCGGCGGCGAAGCTGCAGACGCCTCCACCGCGGCGACCTTCTCCTCCACCGCCTGCAGCTTCGCCTCGGCTTGCTTGCTTCTCATCGACTGCAGCTTGGCCTCAAACTGCTGCTCCTGCCGACGCCGCACGTACAAGAGTGCCGGCAGCGCCGCCGCCGCGAGGAGGAGAAGCACCACCGTGACCTCGCCCTCGCCAACCATCTGCATGCTCCGCGTTGACAGGTGCAGAATGTTTTTCTTTTTATATTGACGGAAAACAGCACCCTGTACGCTAGGCTGTCTGGCGCTCTGCAGGAGAGCCTTGTGGGAGTTCCATGGAGACAGTCAGGTGAACCCGAGGATGTTCGCCAGTAACCATGATTCTTTTTCGCACGACACTGACAGCTAAGTGCCTCGCCGCCCTCGCAGGAGTCGCTTAGGCGGCTCCCGTGGTGTGCCAGGGCAACATTCTTTTCCGCACGCCGTGTACAGCGCCACTCCTCAGCGCTCCACGTCCCGCAGCCCGACCGCAGTGATGGACGAGTATGCGGCCTCTGTGGCTACGCTCGTGGGCATGCTCGGGATTGACGCCGGCCAGGCCGGGACGCTGCTCCAGAATGCGGGTGGCAACATTGAGGCGGCCGCCTCCGAGTACTTTTACATGATGGAGGAGGGCGGCGGGACGGACGGCGAGACGGACGGCGCGTCGACCGACATGGACGAGGACGAAGACATGGCGATGGCGATGGCGCCCCCTCCGACGATGGCGCGGCCGACCGCCAAGCGCCCGAAACTCGAGGCGCGTCCCGCGCCGCGGCTCGGCCTCGACGCCGCGGGGCTCGCCGCCCTCCAGGCCGGCTTTGCTCTGTCGGCCGCGCCGGCAGACGGCGCCGACGCGCTGCACCGGGCGGTGAGCGCGAGGGGTAGTGGGGGGGGGGGGGCAGTGAGCGGGAGGAGGGTGCGGCCCGGCCGGGTGGCACGTCCGCGACGCACACGTCCGCGGCCTTCCTTCGCCCCTCAGGTGCCGTATCTCCGTCCTATCTCCCCCCATCTCCCCCTGCCTCAGGTGCGGGACCGAACCCAGTCGTACGCGCACGGGGACGAGCGCGGCCTGCGCTACCTGCAGCACTGCTGGGAGCGTCAGCAGCCGCAGCTGCAGCAGGCGAATATAATATAATATAATATAATATAATATAATATAATATAATACACTGCTGGGAGCGTCAGCAGCCGCAGCTGCAGCAGGCGAGCGCGGCGGCGGCGGCGGCGTTCGGGTGCGAGGTCGCGCTGCACCACGCGAGGCAGGCCCTCCTCTCGGGGGCCGCTGAGGAGGACGGGCTCTCCCTCTACGGCGACTCTGGAGAGAGCGACCTCGTCGGCTTGCTCAAGGCTTCGGCGGCGGCGGCGCCGTTTGTGACCGCCGTCGCCACGTCGCTCTCGCTGGCGGAGCAGGAGAGCGTATACGGCCCGGCACTCGAGTCGTTGCTGCGCCGGCTCGACCCGTACTCGGGCGGCGCTGTGGTCGACGTCTCTTTCTCCCCTTCCTCCTCCTCCTCCTCGGGCGGCGGCGGCGGCGGGTGGCGGGCGGTGCTGGCAGAGGCGGAGCTGCTTCTCGGCCTCGGCGCGGCGGCGGGTGGCGGGCCGCTCAAGCCGCTTCCGCACGGCGTTGCCGCCCGCGCGGTGCTCGTGCGGCGGCTTGACGAGGAGAGCGGACAGACTCACACAGCACACACACACACACAGCACGCGGCACACACAATTCACACACACACACACGCACTCACGCACACACACACACACACACACACACACACACACACACACACACACACACACACACACACACACACACACACACACACACCGCTCACCCACGCGCACCGGGCCTTGCACTTCGAATGCCGTGCCGGCTCCTGTCGTCAGACGTGGAGTCGCGAGGGAGCAGCCTGGCCCTTGCCCCACCACCTCGTGTGTGTGTGTGGAGACGGGAGCCTGACCTGGCCTCTAGGAGAGCGGCAGGCTCCGCTCTGGCGAGTGGACTGGCCGGGAGGCAGAGGGGCTCGGAGTGCTGCGCCTGCTCAGCCCCTCGCCGGCTGGGCTGACGGGGTGCGCGGGGTTGGCGCCTGCCCGGCCCCGGGGTCAGGCTGGTGATGGCTGACTGGTTCTGAACTGATTGAGTAAGGTGCGCGGGATGGCAGCGCCGGAGAAACGAATTCGCCACTCAGCGTACTAACGGTGGACGGATTCCTTGGTCAAGGTACGGGATGGCGGCGCCTGCCCCTGGCGGGGGAGGGTGGCATCACGAGGAGCGCGCCGTGCCCGAGGGCGGGCGGGGTGAATTAGTTGATCAGTGCTCAGCGAATCAGTGAATTCGTTTAATTAGGACCGCGCCGTGCTCGAGGGCGGGTGGGAGGAGGTGTGGCAGCTGCAGAGCCGGCAGCAGACCACCTCGTGGCGCCTACTCCCCTCTACACAAGGGTCCGTGACTGGTCTGTTAGACATGTCCATGCAGGCAGCGGGTCATCCTCACGGCGGCGCTCTTCAAGGACCCGGCAGCCAAGGCGGCCGCGCTGCGCTGGCTGGGCGCTGTGCTCGCGGCCAACGGCGCGAACGCAGACGGGGGGAAGCAGCAGAGCCCTCAAGAGGCGATGCGGGCGCGGCAGAGCGGCGCGTCGGGCGGGTGAATGGGTCAACTCGTTCATATCCGCTGATGAGTTGATTAGGCGCGGCAGAGCTGCTCGTCGGACGGGGCGCTGCTTAGCGCGGCGGCGGTGCTGCTGCAGCTGTGCGGCCCCTTCCTCACCCCGACGGCTCTCCGCGACGGCAAGGGGCATGACGGCTTCGCGCGGCTCGATTGGAGGTGGCGCGTCTTAATGAACGAGTGAACGGACGAACGAATGAACCAAGTATGAAGAGCTCGATTGGAGATGGCACGACCGAGAGCGGCCCATATCTCCCCATATCTCCCCATATCTCCCCATATCTCCCCATATCTCCCCATATCTCGAGGTGGCACGAGCGAGAGCGGCGGCGCGAGGCGGCGTGGTCGGCGCGCCGCCGCCGGCCGCAAGCCGAGGAGCGCCTCAGGCTCACCGAAGCTGGCGGCGACCCTTCTGGCGGCGGCGGAGCGGGTGCGGGTGGGTCGGGAGGGTTCGAGGAGTCCAACGAGGAGGCGGACGAGCTGGCGCAGGCCGATCAAGCTCTCCCTCTGACGCATCAACTAGTGGATGCGTCAATTCAAGTCCTTCATTCCGCGCAGGCGATCAAGCTCTCCCTCCTCTCGAGCAGCGACGCCGCCGCCGAGCCCGCTCCCCCCCCGAACACCCCACCGCCGGCTGGCGCTGCTGGTGGGTCGGCGGAGGGGGTCGCGGCGGGCGGCGGCGACGCCGAGGCGGAGCTGCACTTTGTGACGGAGTGAATTAGCTGAGTCGTGAATTCGTTCATTCGTTTATTAGGCGGAGCTGCACTTTGTAACGGAGTGCTTCTTCCTCTGCCTGCGCGCGCTGCACGTCGGCGTCCTCCCCGCCATGCGAGGAGCCGGCCGTATTTCTTTTCTTCCAGCTGCACTTCTTTTCTCATAGGCGTCCTCCCCGCCATGCGAGGAGCCGGCCGTATTTCTTTTCTTGCAGCGGTACTTCTTTTCTCATAGGCGTCCTCCCCGCCATGCGAGGAGCCGGCCGTATTTCTTTTCTTCCAGCGGTACTTCTTTTCTCATAGGCGTCCTCCCCGCCATGCGAGGAGCCGGCCGTATTTCTTTTCCTCCAGCGGCTCTTCTTTTCTCATAGGCCGCCTCCCCGCCATGCGCCGCTGCGAGCGGATCCTCCTCGAGCTGCAGCGCAAGGTGCGCGCTCCTCCGCCCCAGGGCTATCTCCCATATCTCCCCCCACATCTCCGCCATATCTCGCAAGGTGCGCGCTCCTCCTCCCCAGGGCTATCTCCCATATCTCCCCCCACATCTCCGCCATATCTCGCAAGGTGCGCGCTCCTCCGCCCGAGGGCTATCTCCCATATCTCCCCCACATCTCCGCCATATCTCGCAAGGTGCGCGCTCCTCCTCCCCAGGGCTATCTCCCATATCTCCCCCCACATCTCCGCCATATCTCGCAAGGTGCGCGCTCCTCCTCCCCAGGGCTATCTCCCATATCTCCCCCCACATCTCCGCCATATCTCGCAAGGTGCGCGCTCCTCCGCCCGAGGGCTATCTCCCATATCTCCCCCACATCTCCGCCATATCTCGCAAGGTGCGCGCCCCCCCTCCCGAGGGCGGTGCGGCGGCCTTCGACGCACACTTGCACGCGATCAAGGAGGCTGGGCAGGGCAAGGCGCAGGCGGCGGTGCTGGCGTACCGGCTGCTGCTCGACGGCCCGCGGCTGCAGCCCCTCCTCCTCCGCTTCTGCGGCCTCGCCGGCGCGGGGCTCGAGCATCTCTGGCGAGAGGTGTGAGCAGCGTCTCTTCACACCCACTGCTGTGAAAAGGCGCGGGGCTCGAGCATCTCTGGCGAGAGGTGTGAGCAGCGTCTCTTCACACCCACTGCTGTGAAAAGGCGCGTGGCTCGAGCATCTCTGCGCCGACAGCGCGGCGGCGGCCGACGCGTGCGCCGCCCTGCCCGCCTCGACGCTGACCGACGTGTTTGCGCTCCTCGTGCTGTTCGCGCGCAAGGACCCCCAGGCTCTCGTTGCTTCGGAGGTTGCGGCGCCCCTCGTCTCGCGCTGCGCGTGCCGCTGGGTCGGCCGGCAGGAAACAAGAAATCGGACGCGCCCACACCGCCCGCCCTTGGCTGTCCCGTCTTGACGCGGCGAGCTCTCCGCAACTCCAGGCCCTCGCCTCCTCGCCCTTCGTCCGCTTCACCGCCGCCGAGCTGCTCGAGACGCTCGTGCAGATGGACGAGCACGCGGCGCGGCTGGCCGGCTCGCGGCTGCGCGGCGTGGCGGGGCCGCTTGTCAGGCTGATCGACGCCGAGGCGGCGTCGGAGGTGCAGCTGCCCCTGCTCTCCCTCTACGTCGAGCTCGGGCTGCACACAAACGCGGCGGCCGTCTCCGACAAGAACGGCGACCGCTTCCGCATCATGAGCGTGCTGCGCGCGCTGTGGCAGCAGCCGCAGCCGTGGAGGGCGCTGCAGGCCGCCGCGGCCGCCTCGCTCGAGCCGGGCGGTGGCGGCGACGGCGGCGCGGCGTTTGGAGAGTTTGCAGAGACGCTGGTCAAGGAGGCGGTCTTTCTGCTGGCGGATGCGCTCGGCCGGCTGGCGGACGTGCACACGAGGCAGGAGGAGATGCCAGCCTCGGTGCGTCGCGGGGACAAGGCGGCGTCGCTGCCGGCCCCGCCGCCGGCCTCTGCCGCCGACAAGGAGAAGGAGGCGGCGTGGGCGGCGCTGAGCGGGAAGGAGAGGCAGGCGCGCGAGGCTCGCCTCGAGCAGTGCCGCCGCACCGCCAAGGGCTTCCTCCAGCTCGCCCACTCGTCGCTGGCGGCCCTCCTCTTCCTCACCGACGAGGCGGGCGTCTGCTCCGCCTTTGCCTCCCACCCGTCCCGCGCCTCCAAGCTCGCGGCGATGCTGGTCGAGTTCCTGCGCAAGCTCTGCGACGTCAAGGCGCGGGAGGGCTTGCGCGTCGACCAGCCCGACAAGCTGGGCTGGCACCCGAAGAAGATGCGCTCCGACACGCGGCCGTATTTCTTTTTCCGGAGCGGCATTTCTTTTTTGCATAGGCACCCGAAGAAGAGGCTCTCCGACACCCGCCCGTATTTCTTTTTCGGGAGCGGCATTTCTTTTTTGCATAGGCACCCGAAGAAGATGCGTTCCGACACCCGCCCGTATTTCTTTTTCCGGAGCGGCATTTCTTTTTTGCATAGGCACCCGAAGAAGATGCTCTCCGACACCCGCACGTATTTCTTTTTCGGGAGCGGCATTTCTTTTTTGCATAGGCACCCGAAGAAGATGCTCTCCGACACGCGCTCGTATTTCTTTTTCCGGAGCGGCATTTCTTTTTTGCATAGGCACCCGAAGAAGATGCTCTCCGACACCCGCACGCATTTCTTTTTCGCGACCGGCATTTCTTTTTTGCATAGGCACCCGAAGAAGAGGCTCTCCGACACCCGCCCGTATTTCTTTTTCCGGAGCGGCATTTCTTTTTTGCATAGGCACCCGAAGAAGAGGCTCTCCGACACCCGCACGTATTTCTTTTTCCGGAGGGGCATTTCTTTTTTGCATAGGCACCCGAAGAAGATGCTCTCCGACACCCGCACGTATTTCTTTTTCCGGAGCGGCATTTCTTTTTTGCATAGGCACCCGAAGAAGATGCTCTCCGACACCCGCACGTATTTCTTTTTCGGGAGCGGCATTTCTTTTTTGCATAGGCACCCGAAGAAGATGCTCTCCGACACCCGGCCGTATTTCTTTTTCGCTAGCGGCATTTCTTTTTTGCATAGGCACCCGAAGAAGATGCTCTCCGACACCCGGGCGTATTTCTTTTTCGCTAGCGGCATTTCTTTTTTGCATAGGCACCCGAAGAAGATGCTCTCCGACACGGCGCAGCTTCTGCTCCACGCCGCCTCGCGCGTGCCCGCCTTCGTGCAGACGCTCGCCGCTTGCGACAACCTCGACGTGCCCCTCCTGCACACGGCGACCAACATCCTCGAGCACGCGTTCAATCGTTGAGTAGCCCACTCGTTGATCAGTCAACTGGTTCTCCAGGCGGCCGACATCCTCGAGCACAAGTGCAAGGACCACTTCCCGCCGCTGGAGGTGCAGGCCCTCCGCCGCCTCCTCCCCCGCCTGCAGCAGGGAGGCGGGGGCGGGGGCGAGGGCGGGCCGGGCGGCGGCCTTTCCTCTTTGGTGAGCGAGCGCGCCGCCGCCGACGCCGCGGCGGCCGAGGAGGAGTACGGCGGCGCCGCCGCGATGCTGCGAACGGTCAACGAGGCGTACGGCGCGGAGCTGGCCGAGCTCTCGTTCGACGAAGTTGGCATGGCGGACGGCGCGGGGCGGTACAACCACTACTACCGCCAGAACATCGCGCAGTCGCCCTTTGAGGCCGCGGCGCGCAGCAAGGTGAAGCGGCTGCTGCAGGAGTGCAAGTCGCTGTCGGGCGAGGGCAACTTGCCGTGCGGCGCGGACACGGCTTGCCTGGAGAGGTCGAGGGGGAGACGGGCCGAGATGAGCCGAGACGCGGCGAGAGTAGGCGCCGAGTCGTGCATCGTCGTGCTCAAGGATGAGAGCCGGATGGACGTGCTGAAGGCGCTTCAATGAAGTTGCATTAAGTAAGTAATGGAGTGTTAATGCATGGAGCTGGGTTGAGGATGGACGTGCTGAAGGCGCTTCAATGAAGTCCATTGATGAATTAACTCATTAAGGGGTTTGAGGATGGACGTCCTCAACGCGTTTCAATAATTTCCATGAGGAAATGGGGGGGGAATCCCCCCCCTTAAAAAGGGGGGTGCTCGATTCAACGAGTTGATTCCCTCCGTTCGACTCAGGTGAACGAGTTCATTCCTTCAAGGGAGTCAAGGGAGGGGCGTGCGCTCTCCAGGTGCTCTTTTCGGGCCCTGGGGAGGTGCTCGACACGACGCACGAGACCCCCTACGCGTTGGGCCTTTTGGAGTTCCAGGTTTCCTTCCACCCCCCCCTTCCCCCCCCCCCCCCCCCCGCGGAAGCCGCCCCGCCCGTCCGGAGTGGCGTGGTCCTCACGCCCCCACCGACATGGGCGAATAGGTCTTCATCCCGGCAGAGTACCCCTCCGTGCCTCCGCTGGTCAACCTGCAGACGACGGGCGGCGGCATGGTGCGCTTCAACCCGAACCTCTACTCGGACGGCAAGGTGTTCATGAGCTAATTAGCTAATTAACGAATTGACTAATGAACCCGAACCACTACTCGGACGGCAAGGTGTGCCTCTCGCTGCTCGGCACGTGGCACGGCGAGGGGTGGACTCCGCCCTCGGCGAGCAGCTCCGGCTCGACGCTGCTGCAAGTGCTCGCCCCGATCCAGTCGATCATCGTGGTGGAGGTGTGAACAGCGCCTCTTCACACCTCTAGCCGTGAGCACAGGTGCTCGTCTCGATCCAGTCGATCATCATGGTGCCGACGCCGCGCGCCTCGGTGGGGGGAGCTGGGGGGAGCTGGGGAGACACGGGGAGATCTGGGGGAGATAGGTGCCGAAGCCGTACTTCAACGAGCCGGGCTACGCCGAGGAGGAGAAGAACTTCCCGCGGGCGAGCAGACCTCCCCCATACCGAGATCGCCCCCATATCTCCCCCCTATCTCCCCCATAGGAGAACACCCCCGCGGGCGAGCAGCGCTCGCGCGAGTACAACGAGGACCTGCGCCTGCAGACGATGCGCTACGCGATGCGGGACATGATCAAGTGCCCGCCCGCCGGCTTCGAGGCGGCGGCCGCGGCGCACTTTCGGCGGGTCAATGAGTCAGTCAACTCGTTAATCAGTCCATTCATTCACCAGGCGGCGGTCGCGGCGCACTTTCGGCGGGTGAGGCCGCTCCTGCTCAAGCAGACTGCGCGCTGGCTGTCCGAGGCGAGGGCTAGAGCAGCCCGCCCACCCATGAGAGCGTCACGAGAGCGTCACGAGAGCGTCTGGCGCACGACTCGAGCGCTCTTGTCGCGGGCGGGGAGGGAGACGGCGGCATCGATCCACGCGCCGCCTCACCGCCCCTCAGGCGAGCGCGTCTGCGAGGCCCCCGATGGAGAAGGCTTGCCGTGGAGCTCCCGCGCTGCCGGCTCGCTAGTTGGTGGTGGGCTGGTGAGCTGGTGAGCTAAGTGATGATAGGCGTACAACGAGCTCCGCGCCGTGCTCGACGCGCTACCCGAGGCGGGCGAGCCGGCCGCCGCCTCCGCTTCCACATCTGAGTGACGCGGCGCGGCGGTTGCGCGCGTCGCGGGCGGGGTGTGTCCGGCGGCGACTGCGCCTGGCGTGCCGCCGCGGCTGTGTGTGTGCTATTCGTGGGGCCATGGCCGGCGCGCGAGGGCGGGTACAGATGGAGGGAGCGGCCGCAGTCGCGCGGGTGCGCGGTCGTCTTGGGTGCGCGGGATGTTCGCAGAGAGGACCACCTCCACAATGGCTGGAGCTTGGAGGGGCGGTACGCGCTGTGACCTCTGTGTTCTCTGGGCTTCTGGGGTTCGCTTGTGCGGTTCTCGTACATGCACAATGCCGCTCTTCTCCCCGCATGCTTGCTCGTTCACCGTTTGCCACGCCACAGCAGGCCACAGCGGTCTAGAGGTAGAGCGGTCAGCGGTGTGGAGAACGACGGACACCAATCGCTGCACTTGTCGCTGCATGTGCATCTGTGACTGCGGTGTAGGCCATGTGCACGAGTGCACCAGTTCTTGGTGGTATCCTGGTATGTGACCTCGTCCAGGTCGGCTGAGCGTGCGAAAGTCTGTTGGCTTGCTCATGACAGTTAAAGACAAAAGTGAGATTTTGTCCGTTGTGTGGCCCCTGTGGTCCGCGATGGTCTTCACGGTTCTTTGTTTTTGGAGCACTCGTGTTTGGAGCACTCTACGGCTTTAGGCGCACTCTGCTGTTGCTCGGTATTTTTCCCGCGATGGCGGCATGAGCTTTCCCGCGTACGACCTGGTCCTCGGCACACCCGCTGGTGTCCGAGATGGGGCCTCCCGCTGGAGGCCATCAGATAGCGGCCCACACGCTTGTGGGTTCGCGCGAAAATTGAATCGAAACGAGGCAAAACGCCCACACCGCAAGCCGCAGAAAACTAGAGCACCCGCACCAGCGAGAGAGGGCACACAGGCCACCAAGCCGCCGCGAGGAGACCAGAGAGGACAGAGGCGCGGGCGCGAGAGAATCAGCAGCGCGTGCGACGCCAGCCACGAACATTACACGAGAGCCGACAGCCATAGGCGCAGTGCGATGCGACACTGCGATGCGATGGGACATGGAGATGAGGGGCAGGGTGACAGCGCAGAAGCAACAGAGAGAATAGGGCATGAGTACCACGGCGACCGGGATGTAGGCGGCGAGGAACGGCGACGGACGGGCGGGGGCGAGGCGGCGGCGGCGCGACAGGAACCAACGAGGATAGAAAAAGAGAGACACGGGCTGCGCCGCGCGGCGAGGAAATCGAGCAGAACGCGACCGACGCGACCCGTGAAACACGAGGAGGCGGAAGACGCCGTGGCAGGAGGCGGCGTGTCGTGGCCGCGCACCGAGATGCGCGGGAGAGAGCTGGAGGGAAGGCGCGCGCGACGAGGAGAGAGACAGAGAGGAGAGAGCGCAAGGAATATGGACCCTCGCGCGCGAGCGGAACACAAGGCGACACGGGAGGGCGGGACCGGGCCAGGGCGTACGGGGATCGACCCATCACTAACACACAGGGACACGCACACTGAACGCGCCGTGGGAGCCGGACACACACAGATGGGGACCAACACCACAACATGAGCCAGACCGACTCGCCCCGCCCGACACACACGGGAGATGCAGTTGAGCGGACGTGGGACCCCACTTATAATTTCGATGAACACTCCCGGATATCAAATTTATTTTTAGGGGGTAGGGCACAAGGCATCTGCAGACGAAAAATATGTATTACTACATGCCATGTTGCACTTCGACCAACGCGCGCGAGACACACAGCGGAACGAGATTGGATATCCCCCGCCGGCTTCGCCGATGACTCAGCTTCTCAACGAATTTCTTTTCGCGAGCGTGTTAGTATTCGGCGGGCGCAATGCCGCGAGGAAGACCTCCTTAGACGACATGCGCCACAGAGCGACAGCCCGACCAGCCGCGCCAGCGCATGCCGACGCAGGATGAACGAGAGGGGTCGGGGCTGCATGCCAATCACACAGTCAACCACGAGGAGAAGGGGTCCAACACCCTCCACTTCGACACGAGGGCTGCGTCAGAGGAGAGCGACAACCCGAGACAATGGGAGGACAAGCACGGGAGAGGAGCAGAACGAGAGAGGAGCTACCAACGAGCGAGGCGTTCAAAACGACGGCGATCGCGCGACGGCGTCCGTGAGACGCCAAAAGTTGAGAGTGCAAAGCCTTGCGATACCGCGGCACCGGACCCTCACACGGTCCGTCGAGGGCGTCGACGGGTGCGGCCTCCGACGTCGTCGTCACGCAGTTCCCAAGCTTTAGCAGCATGATGTCGGCTTCATTTTTTGAGGGGAGAAGATTGTCGGGATCCCAATCCGGGTGCTGAATCCAATCAATCACCGCGTGCTCCGTCTCTGATGGAGTAAACCAGCTGTTCCCGTTTCGCTTGTGCAGTCCCGCCACCACTGTTGTTACGGCGGTGGTGCAGTGAGCAGCGGTGACGACCCAGCAGGGCGAGAGGAGGGTCCCGCCGCAGCAGTGATGCTCACCGGGATATCCGACAAAGGGGCGACGCAAGGACACCAAAAATGGAAACTCCCCATGCGAGGCGTCTGATCCTCCGACAACTCCACCTAGAAGACTAGAAGGTGGCGGCGGCGATTGCGCGACTGTCATGCCAGCAAGCAGAAAACACCCCCAGCTTCTTGAACTCCCGGCAGTCCTACTGACGTAAACATGAGGTCGTGTGGTGGGCTGTGAGGTCGCGCTTGGTGGGCTGTGGGCGGCGGGCGGGCGCGGCAGCAGCGAGCATTGAGGTATAATGGACAGCGCAGTGCTCATAAGCGTGGAGCGGGGTCGCGCGCAGCATGCTGCGACGCGTTGAGGTGGTTGGTGCGCTACTCAGTAGCCTGGCGCCCATCAGGTGCAGCGAACAACGATGCACCTCGGCCAGGGGTACAGCCACAGTCTGCCCGCCGTCTGCATTTCGTATCTACCCAAGCCGGATTTTTATATAGCAGCTCCTCTCTACCCAGAGCTGTCTTTCTCGCCCGAGGCTCGCCGTGGCCCCACACGGCAGCCTCTGCTCGCGTTTTCGAGCCAGGACCTTCGTCCGGGCCCATGGCCGGCACGCCATCGTCGATTCCGCGCGCTCGGCTCCACCGGCTTGCTGTGCGGACGGCTTCTTGTCGCTCTCGTCGAGAGCGTTTTGGCGGCCCGGCGGGTGGGAGAATCTGTGTCGTCTGATGTGTCACTGTGTACGCCACATCGGTCTTGATAACAAGCACGGTCGATCCGTCGAAGCGATACACTCGTTCCTATCTCGCTGGAGGGCTGGCACGGAGCTCTGTGCCGACAAACAGGAAGAGCCGAGCGGCAAGAAGGGCTCGATGGGGAGCGAGAACCGGCAGAGGTGCTCCGGGAGGTTTCGAAAATCCGCCGTGACGCGGTCGGTTCCCCCCAGGTTTGAACGCGCAGCTCGCAAGACTCGTCGAGCACTCGCAGCCTCTCTGCGCCTCTCATGCTGCCGAGCTGCGGGAAGTTCAGTCTTTCCGGAAGATATCGTCGAATTTTGAAAGCTGCGCGGTCAAACCTGGGGGGAAATAAGAGCGTCACGACGGACTTCAGGTCACACCTGAAGCTCTTCTGACGCTTCTCGCTCCCCATCGAGCCCTTCTTGCCGCTCGGCTCTTCCTGTTTGTCGGCACAGAGCTCCGTGCCAGCCCTCCAGCGAGATAGGAACGAGTGTATCGCTTCGACGGATCGACCGTGCTTGTTATCAAGACGATGTGACGTACACAGTGACACATCAGACGACACAGATTCTCCCACCCGCCGGGCCGCCAAAACGCTCTCGACGAGAGCGACATGAAGCCGTCCGCACAGCTACTCGGACATTACCGATCATGACGAGCGGCGAAGGAGTGCTCCGCTGGGTCACGCCACGGGGGCCCGCCGCCTCAGTTGCGACTTTCGGATGCGGTAGGGCTTGCACGAGCGCCTGTTCAGTCTACGCTAGACTGAACTGGGGGCGGGCCCTGCTATATAAAATTGAGGTTGGGTAGTTCTTCGCCGAAAGGCGGGCGGGGTCTTTTCTTCTTCCTTCTTCCCGTTCCCGCTCCCGCGTCGGGCGCACGGCCTGCAGCAGCCGCTGCCCTCCTCCCTCGAGGTCTCGCGCCGTCTCGAGGTTTCCAGGCGTCTCGAGGTCTCCAGGCGTCTTTTCCGTCGGCGCCGGCCTGCTCCCACGCTGGCCGCGCAGGCTTCTGCGGCGGGCGCGCGGTGTATGTGGCTGATTTGCGGCACATTGCCGTATTTTTGCTCATTGCCATTGGCATTGCGGCATTGGCGGGAGAGAGGCCCGCCGTCCCGCGTCCGCCGAAAGAAGGTGGCGCCCATTGTACTTTATTACTTATATCATTTTGCGTGGGTCTCTAGACTCTAGTCTCTACTCTCTTAGAACCACAACCACGAGAATCAACGCGATCGATGTCGGGCAGCGAAGAGAACAAGAGTGGCACAAAACCGAATGCGAATCCGAAGGCAAAAGAGAAGAGGGAGCACACTCGGTTCACACCAGCCGAGGAGAAGGGTACACACGCATGCCTGCCCCCGCCGCAGCCCCGCACCTCAGACCAGCTCGATGATTCCCATCTCCGCGTTGTCTCCCTTGCGGAAGCCGTCCTTGAGCACTCGCGTGTAGCCGCCCTCCCTGCGCGCGCGGCGGGGGCAGCGGGGTGGGGCAGGGGCTAGGGCCGGGAGAGGGGGGAGGAGGGGGGGGGGGGGGGCGGCAGGGGAGGTGGTTTTCTCCTTTACTTCTGGGGGCACCCACTAGGAGGTGGGGCACCCCCTCGGCTGAGGGTATAGGGTGATAGGACCTTATTTGAGCCTGTGGATCGCTCCTCCGGTCCCACCTTGTCTCTCTGGGGTTCGCCCTCTCAGGGTCGTGGGCCATCCAGAGTCCGGTTGGTCTTCCCC